TTCTTTGCTAGACTTCACACACAGAAAACACCCCATGCATGCTACAATATCCAAAATGTTACAAGAGAAGTCGAAAAAGAGCAAATAAACTGATTTTCCTGAATTTTTTCAGTTTTTTCCCATTTTCCCTATAAAAAAATATTTTTCCCGACATGCTGGAACCTCCAGAATATCGAAAAACACATAAAGAAAGTAATATAATTTAAAATAAACAACAAAAAAAAGAAATTTTTTTTTTGAATAGTTGTCCGTCCCTGGGATTCGAACCCAGGACTCCTCATCCTACAGCGAACTTGCTTGTCTACTGGCCTACCTTCCAGTTCACGGTGATACGTGACGCCTATAACAGTGTCGTTTCAAAAAAAGCTCCCTCCTCTCATCTTCGCAATATACCTTTTAGGGCCCACTGTGAGCCCCCTAATGGGCCTATAAAAATTATCTTCAGCAGCCGTGTTTGGACCATAGACCCCTATTTAGGGTCCGAGTTTAAAAATTATACCTTGATATTAAAGGGAACTAGGGGGTCTTGATATTTGAACCTTTCTCGAGCCATTTTATTTTTTTATTCTTTTTTTTATTATTCCATTACGCTTTCTTAGCTTCACACACAGAAAACACCCCAAGCTTGCTTGAATATCTAAAATGTTACAATAGAAGTCGAAAAAGAGCATATAAGCTGATTTTCCTTGATTTTCCCTACTTTTTCCCATTTTCCCTATAAAAAAATATTTTTCCCGACATGCTGGAACTTCCAGAATATCGAAAAACACATAAAGAAAGTAATATAATTTAAAATAAACAACAAAAAAAAGAAAATTTTTTTTTGAAAAGTTGACCGTCCCTGGGATTCGAACCCAGGACTCCTCATCCTGCAGCGAACTTGCTTGTCTGCTGGCCTACCTTCCAGTCCACGGTGATACGTGACGCCTATAACAGTTTCGCTTCAAATAAATCTCCCTCCTCTCATCTTCGCAATATACCTTTTAGGGCCCACTGCGAGCCCCCTAATTGGCCTATAAAAATTATCTTCAGCAGCCGTGTTTGGACCATAGACCCCCAGTTAGAGTCCGAGTTATAAAATTATACCTTGATATTAAAGGGAGCTAGGGATCTTGAAAATTGAACCTTTCTCGAGCCATTTTATTTTTTTATTCTTTTTTTTAATTATTCCATTACGCTTTCTTTGCTGGACTTCACACACAGAAAACACCCCATGCTTGCTAAAATATCCAAAATGTTACAAGAGAAGTCGAAAAAGAGCAAATAAACTGATTTTCTTGGATTTTTCCTGTTTTTTCCCATTTTTCTCAATAAATTTTTTTTTTCTTACATGCAGGAACCTCCAGAATATCTAAAAACACATAAAAAAATAATCTAATGCAAAATAAACAAAAAAGTAAAAATTTTTGAAAATTTGACCGTCCTTGGGAATCGAACAGAGGACCCCTCCCTCATGCAGCGAACTTGCTTGTCTGCTTGCCTACCTTACAGTCCACGGTGATACGTGACGCCTATAACAGTTTCGCTTCAAAAAAATCTCCCTCCTCTCATCTTCGCAATGTACCTTTTAGGGCCCACTGTGAGCCCCCTAATTGGCCTATAAAAATTATCTTCAGCAGCCGTGTTTGGACTATAGATCCCTATATAGGGTCCGAGTTTAAAAATTATACCTTGATATTAAAGGGAGCTAGGGGGTCTTGATATTTGAACCTTTTTAGAGCCATTTTATATTTTTATTCTTTTTTTTTATTATTCCATTACGCTTTCTTTGCTAGACTTCACACACAGAAAACACCCCATGCATGCTAGAATATCCAAAATGTTACAAGAGAAGCCGAAAAAGAGCAAATAAACTGATTTTCCTAAATTTTTTCAGTTTTTTCCCAATTTCCCTATAAAAAAATATTTTTCCCGACATGCTGGAACCTCCAGAATATCGAAAAACACATAAAGAAAGTAATATAATTTAAAATAAACAACAAAAAAAGAAATTTTTTTTTTTGAAAAGTTGACCGTCCCTGGGATTCGAACCCTGGACTCCTCATCCTGCAGCAAACTTGCTTGTCTGCTGGCCTACCTTCCAGTCCACGGTGATACGTGACGCCTATAACAGTTTCGCTTCAAAAAAAACTCCCTCCTCTCATCTTCGCAATATACCTTTAAGGGCCCACTGTGAGCCCCCTAATTGGCCTATAAAAATTATCTTCAGCAACCTTGTTTGGACCTTAGACCCCTACTTAGGGTCCGAGTTTGAAAATTATGTCTTGATATTAAAGGGAGCTAGGGGGTCTTGAACTTTGAACCTTTCTCGAGTCATTTTATTTTTTTATTCTTTTTTTTTATTATTCAATTACGCTTACTTTGCTGGACTTCACACACAGAAAACACCCCATGCATGCTGGAATATCCAAAATGTTACAGTAGAAGTCGAAAAAGAGCAAATAAACTGATTTTTCTGGATTTTTCAAGTTTTATCCCATTTTCCCAATAAAATTTTTTTTTCCTACATGCCCTGCATATAGTAACCTCCAGAATATCGAAAAACACATTAAAAAAATAATATAATTTGAAAAAAGAAAAAAAAATTTTTTTTTTAGAAAATTTGACCCTCCCTGGGATTCGAACCTAGAACCCCTTCCTCCTGCAGCGAACTTGCTTGTCTGGTGGCCTACCTTCCAGTCCACGGTGATACATGAAGCCAACCACAGTTTCGCTTCGAAAGCTCTCTCCTCTCATATTCGCAATATACCATTAGGGGCCCACTGTGACCCCCCTAATTGGCCTATAAAAATTATCTTCCGCAGCCTTGTTTGGACCATAGACCCCTACTTAGGGTCCAAGTTTGAAAATTGTACCTTGATATTAAAGGGAGCTAGGGGTCTTGAAATTTGAACCTTTCTCGAGTCATCTTTTATTGTTCTTTTTTTTTATTATGCAAGTACGCTTTCTTTGCTGGACTTCACACACAGAAAACACCCCAAGCATGCTAGAATATCCAAAATGTTACAATAGAAGTCGAAAAAGAACAAATAAACTGATTTTTCTGGATTTTTCAAGTTTTTTCCCATTTTCCCAATAAAAATTTTTTTCCTACATGCCCTGCATATAGCAACCTCCAGAATATCGAAAAACACATTAAAAAATAATATAATTTAAAAAAAAGAAAAAAAAATTTCTTTTTTTAGAAAACTTGACCCTCCCTGGGATCCGAACCTAGAACCCCGTCCCCCTGCAGCGAACTTGCTTGTCTGGTGGCCTACCTTCCAGTCCACGGTGATACATGAAGCCAACCACAGTTTCGCTTCAAAAGCTCTCTCCTCTCATCTTCGCAATATACCATTAGGGGCCCACTGTGATCCCCCTAATTGGCTTATAAAAATTATCTTCAGCAGCCTGGTTTGGACCATAGACCCCTACTTAGGGTCCGAGTTTGAAAATTATACCTTGATATTAAAGGGAGCTAGGGGGTCTTGAAATTTGATCCTTTCTCGAGTCATTTTATTTTTTTATTCTTTTTTTTTTATTATTCAATTACGCGTTCTTTGCTGGACTTCACACACAGAAAACTCCCCATGCATGCTAGAATATCCAAAATGTTACAATAGAAGTCGAAAAAGAGCAAATAAACTGATTTTCCTGGATTTTCTCCAGTTTTTCCCCATTTTAGCAATAACAAAAAAATTTTCCCTCCATGCAGGAACATCCAGAATATCGAAAAACACATGAAAAATAGAATATAATTGAAAGCAAGCAAAAAAAAAAAAGAAAATTTTTTGAAAATTTAACCGTTGCTGGGATTCGAACCCAGGACCCCTCAATCCTGCAGCGAGCTTGCTTGTCTNTAAAAATACAAAAATATATACTTGAGGTTACGAAATAATAACTTAAGGTAGAACGTGGAACACGTGACGTTAATAAAAAATTACCTTTCCAAGTGTTGAAAATACACTTCAGGTTGATTTATAACAACCAGAAGTGCAAAATGGCCCACCTTAGGTTGAAAAATATATACCTCTACAAGCATAAAATTGTATACCTGAGGTTGAAAAATAATTACCTGAGGTAGAACAAAATACATTTGAGGCTGATTTATAAAAACCAGAAGTGTAAAATGACACATCTTAGGTTGTTGAATAAATACTTCCACAAGTGTAAAAAAATATACTTCAGGCTGATAAGTAATAACCTAAGGTTGAAAATGAAACACTTTAAAGTAGTAAATATCTACCTCTCCCCAGATGTAAAATTAAACACCTCAAGTTGAAGCATATATACCTCTGGAGGTATATTTAAGGTATATTTGAGGTTGGTTTTGAGGTATTCATTTGCACCCTTTTCAACCTCAGCGACGTATTTAAATAACAACCTTCTTTATACCTTTAAAATATACCTCGTTTATACCTCATTTATACCTTGATTTTTTCATAAGGGTTTGGTCATGAGTTCCTGTACAATTCTTATTCCTTATATGGTTTGTTTTGCCTCCCCTCAAGGTTTACCTCATGATTTTAGAATCACCTTGTATGTGTATACCGTTAAAAATTTTTTAAAATGCCATTAATTTCATTTTTGAAAGCAAAATTATAACACTTTTTTTTTTAGGAGAACTCAGTTTGTACAAGTTAACATCTACCACCTAAAAATTATTTTTCTTAATTACTATTTATAAATTTATCATATCATTTCAAATTTATCATTTCTTAATTGCGGCCGCTAAATGTTATAATTGGATATTTGATAGGAGTCCACTGCCTTTTTTATTTATTTAAATTGAAATAAAATTCCTTTTAAAGTTTGTACAGCGTTTAAAAAAAAGAACCAAATTTATAAATAATATAGGCTCTAGTTGGGGAAAGTTTCGTTAGTGTCGTCATTCGGTGACGTAGGACTAACCCTTCCGTCTTGAAATTTCATTGCCACTCAAAAGATAAAGATTCCCTTTAACTTTAGGCCTAGTATCTACATCACTAAAGATAAAAATACATTGATTATATACTAATGGCAACCATACATTTTTGTCAACCGCGAGCTTGCAAGTATTGTTATGTTTTAGCGGTTATGGCCGAATAACTTTTGAAAGTTTTAATTACGCCGATTTATATTTAATGTATCACATAAGTTATTAACATGAATTCCGAAAACGTTGTGCTGAATTTGAGTATGTTTTTTAGTTACTCTAATAAAAATAGTATTTTAGTTATGATTAATTAAAAAGAAGTTACGAAATAACTTCCCTTCTCTTTATGCATGCAGTTTTGTATTTTTATAGTCATCACTCAGTTAATAAGTGCAGAAATAGCTCCGAACGTATTCCACACTCGAAACATTGTTATTACAATTATTATGAATGCATCACTAAGATTTTTTGTTTATTGAAAAATGTACTATTTACATTTATGTATCTTTAAAAATGTACTATTCGAGAATTTATGTAACAACATTTTTTTTTCTACGTCTATTAAATATCTTTAAAGTCTAATGTCTACATTCATTACATAACTTCAAAGATTAGATTATTGACCTTTTAGTCATTATTCATAAATTTTAAGAATTCAGAGCAAGAATCTGAGAAACTGTCACACCTAACATTGTGGGGTGATTCATGCAATCTCAGATTTTCTTCAAAAATTACTAATTGTTATATACTTTGTCAAAAAACAAAGTCTAAAATTCTTTGCCCCAAAGTTGAGTTGTTCATTTTTTATGGCCCCCTAAAGCAGGAAAATTTCAGCGTTTTTGCACTACATGGAAATTGCAATGACCCACAGCTCTTAGCGCAAACAAAGTGCCTCCAAGTAATTTAAATATCTGAAAAGTAAGGATGTTGAACTTATTGAAATGGGTAAAAAGTTTGTGGTAAGTTGTTGCCAGAGGGTCCCTGAAAGTCGTAAAAAGAGGTGTTTTTGCTGTTTTATGTAATTTTAAATGGCTAACTATAGTTTGCCCCTTCTAGTTGCCATGGTAAATGAAGTGTCATTTGAAAGATATACAAAAACATTTTCAAAAATTATATAATTGAGGCATATTTAATGCGCTCTTAATTATTTGAAGTTGAAACTTGAAAATTTTCAAATTTTACCTATATTTTAACTGTCATAACTTTTTGCGGCATAAATATATGGAAATAATTTTTTTACCTTTATTTTACTCCTTTATTAGTCTATTCAAAAAAGTTATATTTATTGAGGCATTTAGCTTTAAATAAATTAAAACATTTTTTTAACATATCATATTTTGGTATTTTCTTTCTCGAAGCAACTTATTCAAACACTTTACTTTCTATATACATTTCACCATAAGAACCGATATTTCTAACATTTTATTGTATATAATCTTGTTGGTTATCCATTAAAATAATATTTTATTATCATTGACATATACAATTTGTATAAAACAAAAGTACATAAAGGTAATGCTGTAAAACATTTGTTTTGTAGTTACAAAATGTGTGTGAATTATTTATTTAATAGTTTCTTGAATAACAGTTGGATGCCTTTTAAGCTTGGGACAGTAAAAGGATCCACACCGCATAATTGTATAGGACCGAAGAAGATGGCTCTTCAATATACTGTGTCAAAGTTATCACATATCAGCCATTTAAACTTTTGAGCTTCTCACTAGCCTAGAAATTTCATCTTGAATGAATCATTTCCACAGTCTTCTAGAATTTTTCGTCCTTAAAATCTTCTGTTATACATTACTGCATAAAATGAATGAGGATGAAGTTCAGTTTCCTTTTCTTCAAAAATTTTGATCTATTGCCTAAATATTATCTCTGAAAATCCCAAAATTTATTGAAAAGCTGTATTATATTTTTTAAGAAATTGTTAACTGTTGAAAACATTAAATAAATAAAAGATATATAAAATTAAAAACATAACAAACCTCATTTTCTTCAGTGGCAACTACTAAAAGATGGTCTTCGTATTCATTTTCATCTTCTTTCACAGTATCTAAATCTATACCTTTTCCATTTATTCTGCTGAAATCAGAAATCACTTGTTCATTCGGAAGATATTCTTCTGGGCAAAACGTTTTCTTTCCATCTACTGTAACACGTCTCATTATCTTGACTACATTCTGTGCAGTAAATTTTATTGCCTTTTTTTTATCTCCTTTGTAAAAATATTACTGTAGAAGCTGTTTTTGATTTTGGTTCAGACATGTGATTTTTCTTTTTGGTTTCACTGCCCATCCCAATTGTGATACCATAGCTGAGAAGTTTTCATTTCTATTAGATGAGCCAGCAATTTTTTAAAAAAATTAGTAGTTTGGAAGACTATTTTTTTTTTACTGTCTCAATTTTTTTAGTAAACATTTTTCAGCTTTGTCCACTTCTGATAGTAATTTTGGAATAGTATGTTCTCCTCTTGCTTTATGCAAAGACAATTCATCTGCTGTTTCAAATGTAAGAAGTACAGTTGTCTTCAGGACAAAATGTGAAGTTAGCAGACTTAGGGCTAAGAGAAATCGATTTATGATTTTGATTTTTGTCTAACTTTTGTTTTGTGCTGAATCGGATTACTGTTTGAATGCTACAATTAAATTTTATGTTATAAGAAGCTTTTTTCCTGGACCAATTTCAAAATATTTTGATATATCGTTAGATTCAAATTTCATATTGTTAGATTCAAATATCATTAGATTCATGTTTCATAAATATCGTTAGATTCATACTTCATAAAAAATTTTGTTAGATTCAAATTTCACAGAATGGTATGACTGTGTTTCATGAACCTTTAAATCAATTATTGATGAAAGGGAAATTTTTTTAGAAAAAGTGTGTTTTTTTTAATGAAAAAGTATTTTTTGAATGAATTCTAGTAATTAAAAATATTTTTATATTTTCTGAAAATATACAAATTTTTTTGTATAAAAATTTAGTGCTAGAACACTAACGTTTATAAAAAAAACTATTGTATTTGCCACCAACTTGACTAAATGTATCATGGTATATGACAATTAAGTCATTTAATAAAATTTTAGTCTTATTTTTGCTGAATTTTTGTTCTTATTTAGGCAACTATTTTCATGCTTTAGGCTACTAAAAGCAACTATTTTGGTTATTTTTTTCTGTGGCAACCCTGGAGAACAGAATTATGATGAACTGTTATCACAGCAAAAACAATATCATCCTTCTCACTTTTGTAAATAAACTTATTAACAAAACTTTGTACCAAAAACAAAAAATAAGCATTTAAAAAAAATACATCCCAGTGTTTTCACTACAGCGCGAGAATCTCGCATATATTTTTCTTTTCTCGCATTAAAAACATTCTATAANCAGGGGTCTGTCCAGGCCGAATTTACTACCGCTTAGCGGTACCTTCACAAATTCAATTTTAGGTGAAACGGTAGTTTCACAAATTCAACTTTAGGAAAAACGGTAGTTTCACAAAATACTTTTTCTTAAAATTTTATTTTTGTATCCCTTAAGAAACGATAAATCTATATTTTTACCATGTTTTTGTATTGATTTTGTAATATAATTTTTAATTTTTCACAAATTATGTCTAAATTTTCACAAAATAGGTACCTTTCAGAAAAACCTAGACAGACCCCTGACTTATGTAAGATGGACAAATACCTTGTAAAGGCAAAATCTTCTATGATGATGCACCAAAAATATTCAATGCTTTAAAAAATTGAAGACATTAAAAATGTATATTATATATAAAAAAATGATTTTTTTTCTCAAGATTTTTTGTGTTTTTTTAGTTTTTAGAAATCTTACTCAACTTTTTGAAATCTCACCCTGTTTTTGAGAAAGGGTGAGAAATTCTCACCCATTATTTTTTATGATGAAAACACTGCATTCATTTTTTTACTAGTGGTACACAGCATTACGAAAAATTTAGAAAGGAACAAAAGTCATAAGTTTAGGAAACACTGTTGTAGGTAATAGTTGTATCGATATGTTTATTTTTGTTGTTTCAATGAATAAATTAATCATATTTGGCACATAAATTTTAATGAGTGATTAAAAAAACAATTGTTTGAATTTTTTGATCTTTTTCTTCTTGTATCTCAAAAGTAAAATGCATAGTAAAATTAAAACTTGTTAATTTTTTGTACATTCTATAGTGCAAACTTAGAAAGTTTTACTACATGTCAGTTGTAGCATTTTCAACGGCAGGTATTAAAAAGTAACTTAGATTTTTAATATAAGGCGTTTAATGGCACTGACAGAGTAAAAAAAAATTTTGTTGCTACAAATTGGAATTGATTACCACAATCATGATATCATACTGTGTTCTGTCGATCAAAAATTAGCCTCATCGTTTCATATTTTACTGAAAGATACTTATGAGTAAGCAGGGGTCTGTAAGTTTTTCAAAGAGGTACCTATTTTGTGAAAATTTGCACTTAATTTGTGAAAATAAAATATTATATTAAAAAATGGAACACAAAATAGGGATTTATCGTTTCTTGCGAGATACATAAAATTTTAAGAAAAAGTATTTTGTAAAACTTCTGTTTTTCCCAAAGTTGAATTTGTGAAGGTACCGCTAAATGGTAGTAAATTTGGCTTGGACAGACCCTTGGTAAGGAACACTACTTTTAGAGCAAGCGATTTTTTAAAATTTTATTTCATAAATAGTTGATCAAAATTTCAGTTTGTAAAAATCTAGAGTAGAACTTTTTTTTTATTAGAATAAAATTGCAGAGTAGAAAAATAGTTCATGGTTTAACAGCTTCCCTTACCTATATTTTTATTTCATTAATAAATAGAAGGAGCTAAAACAAAACATATAGACAAGTTCTAAGTTGAAATTTTAATTATTTTATGTGTAAAAAATATTTAATTTACCATCAGAAATTTATCTCGGGCAAATGAAAAAAGTTAAATATTAGTCTTTGTATATGTTCACATATTCATAATCTAAAAAATCATTTGCATTACTTTCGCTTGCAAACACTATTTTTTTAATTATTTTTTTTCCATGTAAATTCATCAACCATCACATATACAATTGTACAAAACACGTCTGCAGTCCCACAAATAACAAAACTCACCAAAATGTGTAAAAAATATTTAATTTACCATCAGAAATTTATCTCGGGCAAATGAAAAAAGTTAAATATTAGTCTTTGTATATGTTCACATATTCATAATCTAAAAAATCATTTGCATTACTTTCGCTTGCAAACACTATTTTTTTAATTATTTTTTTTCCATGTAAATTCATCAACCATCACATATACAATTGTACAAAACACGTCTGCAGTCCCACAAATAACAAAACTCACCAAAATGTGTAAAAAATATTTAATTTANAACATTTCAAACTTGTTAATGCATTTTATGGGGGAAATGATCTTGAATTAATTTTCAAAGCTCCTGCTTTATGTACTGTTTTACTTTATTAGAATAAAATTGCAGAGTAGAAAAATAGTTCATGGTTTAACAGCTTCCCTTACCTAGATTTTTATTTCATTAATAAATACAAGGAACTAAAACAAAACATATAGACAAGTTCTAAGTTGAAATTTTAATTATTTTATGTGTGAAAAATATTTAATTTACCAACAGAAATTTATCTCGGGCAAATGAAAAAAGTTAAATATTAGTTTTTGTATTTGTTCACATATTCATAATCTAAAAAATCATTTGCATTACTTTCGCTTGCGAACACTATTTTTTTAATTATTTTTTTCCATGTAAATTCATCAACCATCACATATACAATTGTACAAAACACGTCTGCAGCCCCACAAATAACAAAACTCCCAAAAACAATATTAGAAAACTCCAATCACAGCAGATTAGTATTATTTTTTGTTTTGCTTCCGGTCGAATGAAAATGTGATAAAACAAAAGGTTTTGACAAATTCTGCTATGCTCAAGTTTACTCGATAATAAAGACTTGCAATATATACATACTCGAGTTTGCTCGGGATTATCAGGGAATTTCCATAAGAATTTTGAACCTTATAAAATCTTCTGCAATTTTGTTGTGAATTTTGTGCACTTTTAAAATTTATTTTAGCAGGTATGATGGTATTCTATTTACTTAAATTATTTTATCAGTTTATTGTTTTTTCTTCTTCAAATAAACTTGCTCTATGGAGAATATGTCAATAAACATATTGTATATTCAATAAACATTAATATTTCAATAAACATATTGTTAATGTCCTTTTTTTTAATTAAATTTAGATGACAACACTTTGTGGGCACCCTATAAGAAATTGTATTGTATTTGTTATAATGCTATTATACAAAAAGATGTCTCGACTATACAAGAATTTGAAACTGTTCTGAAAAAATACAAGCCTGATTTACTGTGTCTTTTAAGAAACCCTGTAAGTATTTGTTCATACAAGGAATAATTATACCTTCAAATGTTCTAGACATTTTCTAAAAGCTTAAAAATATATAGTTTAAAATTATACTAATTATAAGTGATCCCCGTGGCGACATTGTCGCAGAACATTAGAGTTATTGCAGAAATATTTTTTATTTGGGAAGCAAAAGAGCATCTTATTATCTGCAGAATTTTTGGAAGAGTTTTTTTTTCTGCAAAGCATTCCCCCCTCCTTTTCTGCAGAATTATTTTCAAAAAATGCCTTTCTCGCATATTTTTTATTCTTTTTTTACTTTGCTTTGAGAGTAAAAAAAAATTCCACAATGACTGATATTATAAATAGTAATTTCCAAATCAATAAAATTTAAAAAAGTTAACTACATAAAAAAGATTTTAGAACTGGAGAGTATCGGCAATAATATCAGACTATGTACTCTTTTATATGTATATTAAAAATAAAAAAAACTTCGTACATTTATAATTAAAAAAATATATATATATTTCAGGAGTCTGTTTAGAAGAAATTTGGGTCCTTTAACGGACCCTTCACAAAATATCTTTTCATAAAAACNAAAGTTAGATAACTTCGGACCCTTCACAAATTCGTTTATCTTCATTATTGTTTTGTTAATCGAATAAACCCTTCCCGATGGGGGGGGGGAGAATGATGGTTTGAGACAAACTAAGTTTCCCTAAGTTTAAATATTCCAAAGGTAGTATTCTAAAAAAAAAATTCTTTTTACTTTTACAAACACCGTGTGCGCATTCTTATAAATATTAAATCATAATTTTTTTTTGTAAATAAAGAATTGATCAATTTATATTTATTCATAAATTAATAGAATATTATGTAAAAAAAAATAATGTCTGGCAATTTTTAAAATAAAATATTATAAATTTAAGAATTGTTTAAGTTTACTTAATGCATACCCTATTAAAAGTGATACATTACTAAGTTGTGTTATTTAAAATGTGAGTGATTTTGTTTCCATTATTCGTCTGAGATGAATATTCTGTGTTGAGCAGTATAGGCTAAATGCGAAATATTTGTATGTTGCATCTCTAATTCAGTAGCAGCAATTGTTGAGCAGAATCTTGTATCTATTTACAATTTAAAAACTTCTTGAAAAGGTTTTTAGCAATTTTTGTAATAACCTATGTGACCCTTTGTAATAACCCTATTTGCACAAATTCACAAAAGCAGGACTTTGATTAAAAAATGTGACTTAACGCTTATTTTATATTCAAAAATTATGACTAGTTTTTTACAAAAACAGGACCTTTCACAAAATGTCTGGACAGACCCCTGTATTTGCTACTATTAAAAATTATTTTCTGAAAGGTTTATTTTAGGAATTATTATTATTAGGAATTATTTACTTTGTATAAGAGAGAATTGTTTCAGAAAGATCGGAAAAATTCTGCCACAGGTTAAGTGATAGGAAGTCTCAAAAGTATTTTTTTTAAATTTAATCTTTTTTGACTTTATCAATTTTTACTATTATTTTAAATAAATTTTTTCCGACCTTGTAGCAATATAATTTTTTCAGGCTTCCTGCGAAAAATTTCCCTAGCACTAATATTCTTCCTGCAAAATACTTTTAATAATAATGTATACTAGTTTAAAGTAACTAAAGCGTTGAGTTAACAAAAGAAAAAAAAATCCGTACTCACATAGAATAAAACTGTATTTAGTTTTTTTAAAAATTGTACATGTAATTTGTTTTTTTATTCCAGTATTATGGGCGATATCCTTGCATTTTATAGGTAGAAAGATGCACTTTTTATTTCTTTTTTTCATATTTTGTAGATCTGTACATTAAACAAAAAAAAAAATCAAAACTCCTTAAAACCTTGGCAGTAAGTACCAAAAGAAAGATTGATATCAAAATCAGTCAGATCAGATACTTTAAAACAATGTTACAAAAATACATGCTACATTTTGAATTTTGTTCTTTGTAAAAATTAAAATCGTATTTAAAATATGAGATTTTATAAACTATGTGGATATAAAAAGCTATTACTAACAAAAATTTCGATAGCAAATAATGATAGAGTAGTTGTGTTTCAAAGTCAATACTCGAAAAAGATGATTCGAATTTCCCGTATTGTCTGAAATATAACGGCATATTTAAGAACCATGTGGAAATCAATATCTACCTAAAATACAATTTGAATACCACATGGATTTACGATACAATTAGCACATTGAGTGTGTCAAAAAGCGATTACTGAAATACACAATTAGAATTTCATGCGTCAAAATGTTATCAACTGACAAATACCAGAGTTTTAAATACCATATGGAAACTAGTAGCATTATTAAAAACTGTCATAAAGTTGCACCCCCACCCCCCGATCAAATCATCATAATAAAAATAAATAACCAAATGCCCGATTTGAATTTCATATGTAATAGAATAGTATGAAAAAATATGTATTTTTCAAATAGGAAAATTCAAGGTTAATTGTCAAAAAACAATTGAAAATTTAATTGATTTTTTTAGTTTGATGATCTCTGTTTTTTGATTAAGACGAGTTATATTTCTTACCATTTGCTAATTTTTGTACATATTCATTCTTTAGTATGTTGATTATTGTCTGTTTTTGTGCGTTAGTTTTGAAGTAATTTATTGTTGCAAGAGAATGACTCTTATCAGTTTTCTTTTAAATGATTATCAGTTTTCTTTTAAAGCTTATTTGATGTTTTTATCTATATTCATTATGAGGAGTCTATATCCAGGGTAAAGAAAATTAAGATTCCGAGATTATGTGAAAATGCACTATTTTTTTAAAAATCATTTCTAATCAGTTTTTTTTATTTGAAAACATTGAGTGTTGCCCATTTCCTTTTTTATATTTTAGTGTAGAAATAAAAAATATATGTTACACAAAACAAAAATTACAAAGCTGTGGATTACAATTTATTTTTAGCTCTTTGTTTCACTTCTTAAAAATCTTTTAGTATGTATGTATTTCTACAAATAATGCTCTGATATTTTTGTAAAGTGTCCTGATTTTTATTAAGATTCACTACAAAACCTGTGGGTCTCATGTTTCAGGGTTTCCACATGAGACTAAAATGCGACTATTTGCAAATGTTTTTGAGAAAAGAAACTATTTTCAACTACTTTTCTGTACTCCTAGTGATGTTTTTTTTAAAGAATAAATTGGGTTGACAATTTGGGACCCGCGGGAGCTTCTGAACTCGCTGAATTCCCCCCCCCCCTTAAAATAGAACATTTTGAATTGCAAATTTGACTTGTCACTTTTTAATTTGTTCAATTTGCACACATTCCATCGTAAGTCTATTTCGTTTCTGGATCACCTTTTCAATGATTATTGCTATGAAATTCTGCATGATGTCAAAAAACAAAATTTTTAATACTATATTACAATGCATGAATTGTCAAATTTGAATTATCACTTTTCACAATATATATATATATGTATATAAGTTTAAACAATCGGACTTCTATTTAATGAATTTCCATTTTGCGAATTTTTTCGAGGAACCAAGGATATTTTGGAAATTTCTTCATGAAATAACTTTCAAATAGCGAAGTGAATTTTCTATTTAGTGAACTTTTCATTGAGATCCACTTTCCCTATTTTCTAACTAAAATATTTCAGATCATTTCAAATTTGTTAATGCATTTTATGGGGGAAATGATCTTGAATTAATTTTCAAAGCTCCTGCTTTATGTACTGTTTTACTGCTTTCTCTTAAATAACTTTTAGAATATCTTTCCCTTTTTGTTTGCATTTCAAACGAAAAACTCAGTCCAAATTAATGGATTTTATCAGTAGCAATTAAGTTTAAGAACGCATGTGGTGATGCATACTTAAAATTACTTTTGTAATAAATGCAGCTATAATTTTATTCATAAATTTAGCTTTTTTTTAGTTTGAAATGTATGTACCATTATAGTGTGATACTGTATAATGTTTTACATTGTTCTTGCTTTCCATGCATATTTCTTTTATGGTTATGATTTATAAAATGTATAGTAGATACTAGTTTACGAGGTAAAGGTGCATCAATTGATGTTTTAATTATGTCTAATGTTTATAAAATTATGTATACCTGTTTTGTGTTGTTCAAGTATTTTAAAATGTAATTTTCTAAGTAACGAATTTTCCATACAACGAACTTATTATCGAGATTTAGCGAATTCGTTACATAGAGGTCCAACTGTATGTATATATTTGCTGAATCAATTATTGATAAATGGGAAAATTTTCTTAGAAAAAGTAAGTTTTTTAATGAAAATTGTATTATTTTGAATGAATTTTAGTAAATAAAAGTATTTAATTATTTTTACTTAAAAATTTAGTGCCAGAACACTAAAGTTTATATAAAATTCATCCATTTTGCCACCAACTTGACTAAAGGGATCATGGTATATGACAATTAAGTCTTTTAATCAAATTTTAGTCATATTATTGAAATTTTTTTGTTTTTATTTAGGCAACTATTTTCATGCTTTAGGCCCTGTGGCAGAATATTTTTGAGCTATCTGTGACTAAAATCTCTAGCACTAATATCTTACTGCAAGATACTTTTAAACAAACATATATGTTACTAATTTGAAATAACAAAAGTGCTTTGTTTACAATATATATATTTTAAATTGAACATGTGATAGTTTTTATTGTCCTATTATGGGTGATTTTCTCGCATGTTGTATGGGGCACAGAAATTATTTCCTTCTTCGCATATTGTAAATAATTATCACAATAACGAAAATTATTAAAAATCGTGAAATCTGTAGAAGTGATTGCCGAAAAAAAAACAGACAACGAAATCGCGAAAATCGGACTCCTCAAATGCGTGTTTAGTTTCAAGATTAGGTAGTAGTTAATATCGAATTTAAAAACTAAAGAAATCAATAGCAATAACCGCTAAAAACTCGATAAATTATCACCTTAAGAAGTAAATGCTTAAACACGCGATTCGAATGTTCCCTACTGTTTGAAATATATCTGGATATCTAAAATCCGTGTGAAAATAAACATCAATAACTGCCGAAAATACAATCGAAACATTACATGGATTTACGATACAATCGGCGTAAATTGAGCGAGTCAAAAGTGATTCAAATATTACGTGAAAATTTCTGCAGAAATGAAAAATAATTTCTTTTTACTTTTCAAAAGAAAAATCTTTCTGCAAGAACTCTAACGTTCTGCGACAATGTCGCTGCAATTCTGCCACGGGGGCTTTAGGCTACTAAAAGCAACTATTTTGTTCAATTTTTTTCTGTGGTAACTCTGCTCAAAGGATAATGGTATATGACAATTAAGTCATTTAACAAAATTTTAGTCATATTTTTGATGATATTTTGTATTTATTTAGGCAACTATTTTCATGCTTAAGGCTACTAAAAACAACTATTTTATTCATTTTTTTTTCCTGTGGTGATATTTTGGTATAATTTCTTAAGCTTACAAAGATTCTTTTCTTTTTATATCTTTTTTAAAAACTTCTTATCCAAGGAATGATTTGATTATTTTTTTCCCCTCAGCCTAAGAGTCCTATCCATAGAGAAGCTGTAAAACAAGCTTCTACAAATGGTATTGCTGTGGTGGGCCGCCCTGTGCTTCAGATCCTACCCCAGTCTCTTATCGACGAGGCTCTCATCATTAGTGATATGTTTGATTTAAATGAAGTAACATCTCTTGAATTACTAATATCAGGTAAATATGACTTTAATTGTTGTATTTCATCAGAACGAGTAAATCTATGTAGGAAAACTGAACTGTCTGACTACGAATTTCAAGGAACAAGGTTTGGGTAAGTAGTCAAAAATCACAAGTTCGGAAAACCACTCGAAGAGGGAAGAAAGACTAAATTGATTCAAAGGAGGAAGTTTAAGTTTTTAAACTTTTAAAAAAAATGTGTTTTCTTTCTTTTCAGAATGTGAAATGTTTAAAAAAAATTTATTTTAGAATTATTCTACACGTATTGTGGAATGCTTGCATGTTGCATATGCTTCATATCCCCCGTGGCAGAATTACGGCGACATTGTCGCATAACGTTACGCAGTTCTTGCAGAAAGGTTTTTCTTTTGAAAAGTAAAAAAAAAATTTTTTTTTCTTCTTTCCTTTAAAAATTGACACATAATATTTGAATCATACATTTAGGTAATCTGTTTGACGCGCTTAATTTACTCCAATAGTATCGTAAATCGATGTAATGTTTCGATTGTGTTTTCGGCAGTTATTGATATTGTTTTTGACGTGGATTTTAAATGTCCCGATATATTTCAAACAATATGGAAAATTCGAATTGTGCATTTTAGTATACACTTTTTAAGACAATATTTCGATAGAATTTTTGGCAGTTATTGCTATCGATTTCTGTACAGTTTTTAAATCTGATAATCTCTAGGGGGGAAAAAGCATTTGAGGAGTTCTATTTGCATGATTTCGTCGCCAATCTTTTTTTTCTTCCGGCTATTACTACGGATTTAATGATTTTTAATTACTTTTTTATAGTGATGATTATTTACAAAATGCGAAAAAGAAATAATTTGTGCGTCCCCCCAAACAAAATGCGACAATATCACCCATAATATTAGAATAAAAAATTATTACTTGTTCAATTTAAAAATATATATGTAGTTTTTTTTTGTAAACACAGCACTTTTGTTATTTTAAATTGGTAACTTAACATATATGTTAGTTATAAAAAGTATTTTGCAGAAAGATATTACTGCTAAAAAGTTTTGCCGTAAATAGCTCAAAAAAACTCTGCTACAGGGTTCACATCTTGATAATATAAATTTAAATACAGATAGACAGAAAATTGCTCTTTACTAATGAAATAAGCTGTTAAAAAGTTGTAAATATTCGATTTTTTTAATGGAACCAAAACAACCGAATTTCATACAAAAAAAAGCAAAATAAATATTTATTCCACCTTTGATAATGTTCAGTTCTTTGTAACTCAAAGATTATTTCTTATTATGTAGAGGCTCACATATAAGTGTGCAAAATTTCATTCTTTAATCGTGTGTACACCTTTTAAACTCTTTTTGTAGAAGAATTTCTTATCACTACTTTTAGGAAACTTTAATCAATTTCAAATTATTGATTTACTATGATTAACAGAATGTCTCCTGAAATAAAATAAAAAAGACTCTAGCTGACAAATAGGACTTTCAATTGGCTAAGAAGATTTATTAAATCTAGGTTTCTTTCTAGAAAAATAAAGTTCTTCATTTAAAAAACTCTTGTCAGGTTAGTCCTGACGTATGCTTCTGAAGCTTGGACAATGACAAAACTGGAGGACAATTGTGTCGCAATATTTGAGAGAAAGATTTTGAGGAGTATACTTGGTGGTGTAAATGAAAACAATAACTGGAGAAGGAGATTTAACTTAGAACTTTACTGGAATTATAAACAACCTGATACTATTAAATACATAAAAATAGATAGAATAACATACCTGCCACATTTCCTGTTTTTACGGCTATCTCCTGTTTACCTGTTTTTCTCAAATTTCTTCGTATTTTTTTGAAGAAATTTTTAAAATTTTTTTTTTGCCAATTAAATATCCGCTGATGGCAAAAATACTTCTTTTAATCCTCAACAAATGATGCTTTTGCCAGTTCTGTAGCATGTTGAGTGTTTATAGTGTAAGTAATTATAAATAATGGTTTAAAAAAAAGACTTCTTTAGATTAAGATTTATATACATATTTTTTTCTTCTTTAAGTGTAAGGGCTTATAATTTTGAATTTCTGTCTTTGACTTACATGATTGTGCATGATGTATCAAAAATTTGCTGGTAACCTAGAAAAATGTTGCTCGTAAAGTCTCCATTTTTATTTCTGCACCGTTGGCTGGTATGGAATGAATTAGAGTGCCCATGTGATTCGAATGAGTGATGACAATACAATAAAAAAGATATTGGTTTTTAGACCAAATAGAAGCGAAATTTTTATTATTTTTATTTTTTTATTTTATCAATTTAAAATTCTAGCTGAAGCCAGCCAGTCATTGGCACTTTTTTTTAAATTCTGAAATGAGAACAGAAAAATCAGGAATATTTCTTTCCTTTCCGACAAACAAGAAAAGTATCTTTAGAATATAATTTTGCAGAAGAAAAAAAATTTATTTGCTTTTGTATTTTTTTAGCTATTTTATCACTTCAACTCTTTTTTTACTCTGTTTTTTTAATTTAAAATCTATAAATATGAAGATGCTGAGTATAACAGTTTTGGTTATACCTATCATTTCAATTAATGTTATTATAATGCCTTTTTTAATTTATTGTTGCGTTTATGAATTAATACTAGAATTAATATAGAAGTTTATTTAGTTCTGCCAGTTTTTATCAATTATAACCAGTTTCTGCCGGCAAAAAGCTATCCCCGTTACTATATTTCTTATTTTACAGACAATGTTTCATACTTTCAGGTCAGCATCAGCAGCCTCGTTTTCCTGGATTAACGAGAGGCCTAGTAGCGATGCTGCTGTACTATGATGGAAGAAGAAACCTGGTCAATACTCTTCAGCTTCTGGTCGAAGCACGTGAAGGCAGAACTTGGACTCATGGCATCAGCTTTGAATTGTCTTCCATCATAACTAATTTCACAAATCAACTGAAAGAAGATGGTATCTTTATGAAAATTATGGGTACATTTTCTGATTTTTTTTTTTGTTTTTTTTTTTTTAAATCTCAGCCTATCTGTGATATTTCTTGAGATTTAAAATTCTGAAGAAATGTTCTTTTCTGAAATTATCTGTGCTATACATTATCTGTCCATATGATTGAAATGTTTTAATCAATAATTTTAAATTTTATTGAATTGTTACTTTCATTCGTCATTAAGTTATGTCCATATTTATTGGTGCATGATATTAGAATATCTTTTAATCTTTTATTTTAAGGGGTCAGAGAACCCTTGCAACAATTTTTTTTAAATAAAGGTATAATCATTCATTTTAAGGATGTTTTACATGCTCATTTAATTTATAATCAATATTCTATCTTCAGAAAACAAAAATTTTTCTTAGTGATCAAGATTCATCTTAGTCAATATTCATCTTAGCAATTTTGTGCATTCATTTGTAGATATATCAATTAGAATATTTTTTATGAATTATTTTCTGAAAAAGTAGGAAAAAAGGTTAAAAATTCCTGTTTATATATAACGTACTGTAAAAATTGTAATACTTCATAAAATGTGTATTCCTTGCACAATTTAAATAAGTGTATTATACTTAAGATAAAATCAAAGCTTTATCTTCAAAGCTTTATCTTAAATAGAAAAAAATTCCTTAGAGATTTAATTAAGACTAAAACATAAAATTATCAGCTTTGAGAAAAAGCACTTTAAATTTGTCTGCTGTGCAAGTTTTTGTTTTAGGGCAGTCTAAAATCATTCATAACTTTTTTTAAAAATGTAGACAGGGATATGATTTTTTTTTCTAGTGCATTTGAAATAGTTTGAAGTTTTATTATAAACAGAAATTTTTTTTTTGGTTTGTAATTTTTGGGAGCTGTGACCCCTTAATAAATGAAACTGCAACAGTTATTGAGTATCATCAGGGTGGCCACCCACCTTGAAAACCTGGAATTATCAGGGAATTTTTAAGAAAAGCTGAAATTTTTTTTAAATTTAAATTATTTTTACCATCCGTTATATCCACTTTATTCAGATGGAAATTTGTCATCAAAGAGCTGAAATATCTTCAACTTAGCAATACTTCATTAATATTCTCTCCATTATTACCCTGCTAAACTGGAATGTCATATGAAACTTGGAGAAACCTTTGACCTCTTTGGAGATTATGGGACTAAGCAGTTTAGGAAAGTCAAAAATTGTGAGGGAGGTAGAAGGGGTTAGGTTAGTATATTTGCTTCTGCTCATAAAAATGGGTTTTTCTGTTTTTTATCTTCTAGACTGTGGGCTAAATTCATTTACTGTTCAAGTTTGTTCCGATGCTTTGGGGGTATTTTTTTCTTCTTTTAACGAAATGTTTCAGTATTTTAAACTTTATAAAATTATCCAAAAAATTATTGGTTATAATTTAATAACAGATTTTATCTTGCACTCTTTTTCTGAAAGCTTTTATACTCCCATCCAATGAATTATTTTTTCTCAGTGAAGCCAACCAATCACTCATTTTCTTGAATCACCAACAGCAAAATCAATTGTTGCATTGGTGCTAATTTTCTGGATTTCATTTGAACCATTTATAACATATTTTATTTAAAGAAAAAATTATTCTTTTATGAATATTTAATTTTTAATTTAAAATTACATTCTGGAGATGATATTTCTAAAACTGCCTCTCTTTTTACCCTAAAAAGCTGTCAAAAACCATCAATGCATGGAAAACATGTAAAATGATGTATAAACTTAGAATATAAAAAAAATATTTATATTTGTTCATTAGAAAGAAGGAAAACAAAACTTTCTTCTGCGCTGTACTGGTACATGTTTCAAGTTGGCATGACCAAAATTTTAAACTTAATATTAAAAAAAAAGGGATTATTTCCAGGGTGAAAAACTAAAAATTTCAATATAATGACTTGTAAATATCAGTTTTCAATAAGTTATAGTCTTTTAAATGAAAGCTTACATCATTTGAAATTTTTGACTGTGATATGTGAATCTTTAACAAAGTACATTTTATTATTTTTTTTAATTCATACAAATAATGGAAAATAATAATCAAAGTGAACTATAAAAAAACAAGTTATCTTGCACAATTGTGTAGAAACGTTTCACATTTTGATTTTAAAAAAAAAATCTCAAGATGCACTTTTGATATTTTATGTGCGAAGCCAAAACATGTAATTAATTGTACTGCGTCGCTAGGATTTAACATAATTAAATAATTTTTTCTGTTTATTTTGATAATAAATATTTTTATTGTAAATTAATAATTAATTATATTTACATCGGGCACCACTGCTTTTCTTTTTGTTGCATCTGTTTTTATTTATTTCCATCTCATATTTCGCTTTATTTTTATAAAATTAAGTGAAATATGAATAGAAACCAACTAAATATTACTATAGGTTAATTTACAATAACATATTTCTCCTCAGTAACCTACGAAAATTTGTGCAACTATGCTGTACTTTAAGTTAATTATATTATAACTTAAAATTGATCAATGAAGTTTTTATACATTTTTTAAAATTTAATTTATTATTTTTTTATTTATTTGAGCTAAGTTATTCAATTAATAATTTTAAATTTTTAAGAAACAATTTAACTTCATTTAGACACATTTTAAATCAATCATTTTGCTTAGAGCCTGAAAATGTATGTATTTAGAGAAAAAAATTTCAGAGCATTCTGTAGTTATTTATTTTTTGTTTATTTATATATTTATTTTTTTGAGTAAAGGAAAAAATACTTTTTTGAAGAAAAAAATAATAATAAACCTACTTGCATAGTAAACTACAACAATAACACACATCCTATTCACTTTTTAGGTAAATGGGATAAAAATTGTTAGCAGTTAATGGACCTGTAATTGGCATATGTAACTGGAGAAGGGGTATTAAAAAGAGATTAAAATTAGAAATTTCTTTCTTAAATTTGGCGCATCTCTTGTTCTGCAACCGGGGACATATACTCTTGTTCACCGCTAGTTATGCCACTAAATACAAGTAAAAGTTATATTGGTTAATATCGTATGCTTTGAAACATCAAATAGAATAGATTGTGAGAGCTTTTACTAAACAATTATTTAATTTTATGCTGGCAATAAATAAAGCTATTAAATTATCATTTTACCTATACAATCTTTTCCCCCCAGAAAAAATTGTTATAGACTAATAGTATAGTAAAAAAAAAATTTTTTTTTTCTCCTTTTAATGTACAGTGAAGTTTTTTTTTTAAATTTTTTTTTTGTTGTATATAAAAATAATTAAACTTTTCGGCATTCTTTCCCATATTTTAAAAAATAAATAAAATAGCAATAGCTTTTTTTTTGTTCCAAGATTTTTAAAACTATTCAATTTAAGGAAATATTGCTTAAATAAGATTTTTATTTACATTGTTGTTAATATACAATGCACAGTTAACACATTCGCTGCCACTAAAAATGATATTTCCATCCTCAGAAGCTGGATTACAAAACAGGGTTTTAATAGTTTAAGTGTTCCTTATACTTTACTAGGAAAACCAGAAAAACGAAGAAACATATTATTTTCCTGTTTAGAGAGCGTTTTTTTCTTCTTTTTTCGACGCTCTGGAGCATCAGTGCCCCACAGAATCAACCTATCTTCGGGAGTGCCACTGACACTCCAGCGCGTCTGATCAATATTCTCAGAAATTACTGGCATAAAATAGCAGCTTAAAAGGAATAAAACGGAATACCATTCAAGTATATGTAGTACCATTTATGAAACAATACTGAAAATATTTACAAATGATAAGCACTGTCTCAGAATCCGACATTTCTCTGGTGTCGTTTACAATATCACTCTCCATCTGATGCGTCCGAAGATTTCCAACCATAGTCTTCGTCTGTGCTATCATAATCCGAAAGATCACTATTTTGAAAAAATTCTAATATTTCAAAATCAGTCAATATTTTATTTACTTTTCTTTTCTTGGGCTGTGACGGTCAAATTCAAACAAAATTTTTTAAAACCAACCACAAAAAATAATGCTTCAATAACGTGCCAAAAGAACATGTCCATTCAACTTCAAAAACCACACTAAACACGGAGCATATAACTTTTCAGAGTCGATCGACCCACCAATCCTTCGTCGGCATACCAGGAGGTGTGGTTCTGCAGTGGCAGCGAACGTGTTAAAATTAAAATAATTGATTTTTCAACTAACTTTGACAAGATGGAAAATGTTATAAAGCACACTGATCCTTTTATTCCAACAGGAAATATTAGACAATTTAAATTTAAAGAAGCTATTCAAATTGAAAAATTATGATTATAGTATTAAAATTAAATTAATTATAGCCATTATGATGATTATCAATAACTAAAATTTATATCCATCTTGAAAAATTTATGTCTGACACTGAAGTAAAGAATTTCATATTAATTATATTACAAGTTAATTTCAAATTAATTATATTACAAGTTAATTTCAAATTAATTATATTACAAGTTAATTTCAAATTAATTATATTACAAGTTAATTTCAAATTAATTATATTACAAGTTAATTTCAAATTAATTATATTACAAGTTAATTTCAAATTAATTATATTACAAGTTAATTTCAAATTAATTATATTACAAGTTAATTTCAAATTAATTATATTACAAGTTAATTTCAAATTAATTATATTACAAGTTAATTTCAAATTAATTATATTACAAGTTAATTTCAAATTAATTATATTACAAGTTAATTTCAAATTAATTATATTACAAGTTAATTTCAAATTAATTATATTACAAGTTAATTTCAAATTAATTATATTACAAGTTAATTTCAAATTAATTATATTACAAGTTAATTTCAAATTAATTATATTACAAGTTAATTTCAAATTAATTATATTACAAGTTAATTTCAAATTAATTATATTACAAGTTAATTTCAAATTAATTATATTACAAGTTAATTTCAAATTAATTATATTACAAGTTAATTTCAAATTAATTATATTACAAGTTAATTTCAAATTAATTATATTACAAGTTAATTTCAAATTAATTATATTACAAGTTAATTTCAAATTAATTATATTACAAGTTAATTTCAAATTAATTATATTACAAGTTAATTTCAAATTAATTATATTACAATANAGAACAAGGTAACATCGGCGATCACGAAGTTAGTCCCACTGAAAATAATCTACAAGAAAAGTCGCGACTAAGAAAAAAAAAGCTAAGAGGTGAGAAAAGGAGCATGCGTCATAACAATATGTGTTCTCAAAATTCTGATTCTACAGCTCACCAATCAACATAACGAAACGAACATAGTCTTCCACAGCGCGAGTCAACATCGGAACATAAGAGAAGAGTCTTATATCGCTATCTTATATCCTTGCGTGTCTTATATCGCTATATCGTTTTGCGCTCGTTGTCTTTACTCGACAGCTTAAATCAGATTTCTGATGCATCGCCTCGAATGAAAGTCGCTGTATCGTCTTGCCGATATATGCGTTAAATCGATATGTCTTGATACATCGATTTATAGCCCAGTCCTACTTATGAAAGGAAATTTATATATTATAGTAGGAAAAGATTTATAACATTTAAAGCTCCACAATTCATTGAACAACAAAAGTGAGTACTTAATTCCTTAAATATGAATAAATGTGCTTTTAATACTGATAAATTGTGTGTTTGCTTAAGGATAAATAATGCAATATTAATAATAAACTTTTTTGATAAAATAAAACTTTTCTTCATTCTATTCCTTGCTCATAAATTAACCTTTTCTTTTTCACAATATTTTTTTAAAAATTGTGACATAATTTAAATAAAAGGGTTTTGGACAGTTTAAGACAAAGGGGTTTTGGACAGAACAGTTTAAACTGTGGATTAATCCATTTTGTCCTAAACCTTGCCAGCTCTGGCAGTATGTGTAAAAAAAACTGCAGTTATACATTAAAAATTATAATTTATTTTGTAGCCATAGTATACAATTCTTTGTATACAATGGTTATAACTAAGTAACTGTTATTTTTAAAAATCTAGTAATTTTTTTTTTCTAAGCTGTTACATATTTATTTTCCATCTGAAGTTCGTGAATTTTTCACATAATGTTAAACTTAAGTGATTTTGTATCTTTATTTTAAATTTTCATAAACTCTTATGTAATTGCAAATTTAGAAAAAAAAAGAAACTTATTTTTACTAAATTTAACGGGCTTTTTTTAAATACCCATTACGGATGCACTATCTTTTTGATTGAAGGGCCATTTGCACAGCTGATTAACCAGTGAAGGGCCACATACTCAAGTAAAACAATAGAAAACTGATTATTTTTTTATCAAAAATATTTCCTTCTTATCAAGAGATAAAATTAAAAATAAACAGTTCAATTAAATAAATAAAATCTTTAAGATTAAGTGATGGTTTCTTTTACTTGCTACAAAAGTCTCTTTTATCATAAATTCTAACAGTAAAAACTTTAATGTTCTTGCAATTAAATTTTTAAAAAATTCAATCTTTTAAGTAAAATAAATTCAAATTAAATACTTTAATTAAAGAAAGTTTAGAATGATTTAAAATGATTTCAATTGAAATTATTGTGTATAATTGTGACTGGATGTATACTATTAAATGTTCTTTTTTTTTAGATCTTATAGAAAATTATGATACCACAAAAGAACTCGAGCTTTTACACCGTAATCGTGCTTTAGGGGGACCTAGATATCGTAAACAGGTTTGTATGCAAATCTCTCTCTCTTTTTCTTTTTTTTTTGTTTCAATTGCTTTTGAGTTACCCATCAGAAAGTTGAATTTTTATAATCTGACTGCTATTTAATGCCTTTGAAAATAATATTCTTTTGCTATTCTGCTGTGTAATATAAAAATCACAATCAGCTAAATATTGAATTTTTTTTTAAAATCATTTTTCTGAAGTTCTATTTTGTCTTTAATAGTATTAGCAATTCAATAAAACTTTATTCTTTACTTTTTTTTTCTTCGTTTTTTTTGAAAATAGGGTAAAATATGGAAGAGAGATGTTTAGCTTTAAAAGTTCCTTTCAAAAATTAAGAAGCTATTTTTATTTTTTCTGTTTTGTTTTTGTATGTAATCTTTTATGGGCGTTTTTAAGATAGCTCTATTTTTACATTAATTATACCTTTTTTAATGTTTTATGGATAATTTTTTTCCCAGAAAATTTTTATGTTTAGCATTGAAGTTCTGTTTTAAAAATTAAAAAGAAAAAAAATTTATATTTCCCTTTTTCTTTTTTTCAACTTTACACAGTTTTTTATTTATCTTAAATATTTCTAATTATAAGTTTTCCCCCCCTTAACCTCATAGCTAAACAGGGTTCCAGGTTATGGAGAACAGGGAAAACCTAGAATTGTCGGATAATTTTATTTTAACTCTAAAAATCAGGGAAAGTTGAAAAGGGCAATTTTTTTACAAAAACCTAGAATAATCCTATATCATACCTGGAAAATAACCAGTCTTAGAATTGTCAGTAACAGTTATCAGTTTTTGAGATTTGATTTAAATAATTCTAACATCTATTATAATTATTTGTTATTTCACATCTCACATTTGTTATTTCCCATTGTTTGTAATTTTAGTCAGACTGAAATGTTCTCTTCCTAATTTAATATTTTTTTCATATTGTTTAATGGCATTTGGAGTATTGAATGGCATCATTTCCGAAATAAAACTCCTTTTGTATTTACTTCGAATAAATTAAAAATGGGCAATGGTGGCAAATTGTCTCATGGCATGCTAAACTACATTATTAGTTCAGAAAAAAAAGAGGAAGTCGAACTGTCAATTCAATACAATGATAAATAAAATGTGCTTATTTGTATGATATTTTTGAGAAATATTTTTTTTGTTTGTAAAAATCAACTTTTTACCAAAATTCAAATTTAGTTACAACTTTTTGTTTTGAATCAATCTTGTATTTTAGTACGAAATAGATATGTAGAGAACATGAAAACAGTTATGCTCCCTTTCATGGTCTTAATTTATGGCACATTGATTTACTAAGTTATTTACTGGGTTGCCACAGGCGACTGAATTGCAACTATTTTTGACATGAGGCGACTGGCCACTTTTTTTGCTCGAAAAGGCTAGAAAAGCATATATTTTCAGGAAAAGGAGACTGTTGGGAGATTTTTCTGTGCTCCTAGCGATGTTTTTTATATCATAAATTGGGTAGAAAACCTGCTGCCTGTGGAGCTTCTGAACAAGCCAAATTTTTTTCTTTTCTTAAAAAAATACAAAAATTTAAACATTTTTAATTGCAAATTTGAGTCATCACTTTTTAATTTGTCCAGTTTGCACAGATTCCATTGCAAGTCTCTTGTTTCTCGATCGCCTTTTCAATGGCTATTGCTACGGAATTCTGAATAATTTTAAAACACTCAATTTTTAATATGATATTACGATGCGTGCATTTCGAATTTGAGTAATCACTTTTTACAATATATCTATCTATATATATATATANTATATTGTAAAAATGCGTGCTAAATCAATTATTAATAAGGGAATATTTTTTTTATGGAAAAGTATTTTTTGAATGAATTCTAGTAATTAAAAAGTGCTTAATTTTTTGCAAATATACAAATTTTTTTGGTATAAAAAGTTAGTGCTAGAACATAAACGTTTGTATAAAAAATTTTATTTTTGCCACCAACTTGACTAAGTGGATCATGGTATATGACAATTATGTCATTTAATAAAATTTTAGTCATATTTTTGATGAATATTTGTTCTAATTTAGACAACTATTTTCATAGTTTTTGGCAGTTACTTTCATGCTTTAGACTACTAAAAGCAACTTTACTCATTTTTTTCTGTGGCAATCTTGTATTTAATTAATTAGTTATATATTTGAGTTCTTATTATTTTAAAACACTTTGTTTGCAAATGTTAGGTGACAGATTTAATCAATGAGATCAAGCTGACCCTCTCAGAGATTGTTTTTGGATGGTCTTGCCAAGGATCCTTGACGAAGGACGAAATTTTGCGAGTCTTGGCATATTTATCAAAGCAAGCTGGTGTTTCAAGCGATGGATCCCTCGATAAACCCACGCTATTCATAGCGATGGCATTTCTATATATCATTGATGTTAGCTGTTTGCAAAATTGTGATGAAGCTGATGGTAATGCTTATTGATAAATGCTTATTTTAAAAAAATCTCAACTAATTTTTTCTTGTTACCAACATAACATGCCAAGTCTCATGTTTCTTAACGAAAACTAATGTATTTTACAACTATCTGTATATTCTCAAATTTCTCCGTATTTATTAAAGAAATTTTTTAATAAAAATTGGCGATCAAATATTTGCTGATGGCAAAAATACTTCTTATTCCTCATCAGATGGTGCTATTGCCAGTACTGTAGTATGTTGAGTGTTAAAAATTTAAGTAATTCACAAAGGCAAAATTTTCCCAATACTTTATACAAGCATTCCTTTGTCTTCTGCATTGGGTTCAAAATTACAAGGCTCCGTAGTTGAGCATTGGTAGATTGAGAAAAATTTGGATTGGCTGTTCAACAACGGTTATAAAATAAAATAGTTTAAGTAATTATTAATAACGTTTTAAAATAATCTTCCTTATATTAGGATTTATACATGTATTTTTTACTTCGCGAAATGTAAGTGCTTTTATAATTTCCAATTTTGAATTTCTCTTTTTGACATATGTGATTAAGGATGATGTATCAAAGCTTCGCTCTTAGCCTAAAAAATGTTGCTAGCAAAATCTCCATTGTTTTATTTCTCCAATGTTGGCAGGTATGTTTTTTTTTTTTTTGTTACATCAAAAACCAGGAAAACATTGATTCCTCAGGGAGTTTAAAAATATAATTAGAAATACTTGTAATTTTGAATATAATTCTTAATTTAGCTTTACAGAAATCTATTTCTGCAATGAATTTTCCCCTTGACCAGGCAGTAATTGATATTTTTTACTATCTGGAATTTAGTTCTAAGAGAAAAGAAAAATTAAAATACTTTCAACAACTTCATGATGTTGAAATGCGTAAAATTTTAAAACATGCCCCTACTCGGTGGCTGTCTCTTGGTTGATGCTTAGGTCGAATTTTAGATCAGTGGGATCCTCTTCTCAGCTTCTTTCTCAGTGAAGTAAAAAGAGAAAGTTTATCTACTAGTCTAAAACAGAATATAACACCCAAAGTAGCAGAAAAGTCATCCAATAATTTGAGCAAAGAACAAGGATCAGAAAGAATTCAACAGGGCCCTTCAAATGCCAAGAAAAGAAAAGTAGACTGTCATCTGCCAGAGTCCAAAAAAAAAGAAAATAGGTAAAGCAGCAAATAAAAATAATTTTGTAGAAAGAGAAGAAAAAATAATCTTCTAATATTAATAAGGCATTTTGCTCTTTTGTCTTATTTGCCTGAGCGGACTTTGAAAGAATAAATACACTTTTGCAAACAAGTTCACCTCTAATACATAATCTGAAGCAAATACTTACAAATCTATTGAAAACCATATTTTTTTATTTTACTGATGCTAATTGTCTAAAAAAGTTTGAGTTGATTAAAGTCCCCTTTCAGGATCCTACTGTTCAAAAAAATGATGGCGATCTACGAGTAGGCAATCGCAAATTAAGTATATTGGAATCCTTAACAATTGAAGAAAGAAACGAATTTTATGCAGAAGTCAGGAAGTTTTTTGTAGCTTTGTGTGAATACCTTGTAAAGAGATTTCCTCTAAATGATGAGATATTGGAGCATGCTGAGGTGGCAGATTTGGCCAAAATTTCTTCTAAGTCTTTCGCCAGTATAAGATACTTTGTTAAAAAGTTTATTTTTTTATTAACAAGAGAAAATGAAGAAAGTGAAGATGAAGCTATAGATAATCTAGAGACTGAATTCAATTCCTTGCAAGTTGAACACTTAAGCATTTCCTCTGATCCTATGGATCAACAAGTTGCAACTTTGATTAATATCTATGACGCAGTAGGTTGCCCCAAATATAAAAAAATTTCAAAAGTATTGAAAGCTATATTGACTATACCTCACAGCAACGCTGAATGCGAAAGGGTGTTTTCTGTTTTGAAAAAAAATAGGACTCAACTTCACTCATCGATGTCTGATGAGACTCTCGAAAAACTTTTAATAATTAAGTCTAAAGAAGGTAGACTTTGTTTTGAAAGAGACTTTTCATAAGAATTTTTAGTAAAAGCAAAAAGTGCTTCTAAAGCATCTTTACAAAAATGATTTTTATAATGTTATTCTCTTTCCATAATTTCTATTAAGTTTATATACAGTGCATACTACTATATTGTAATTAAACTAATGTTAATGTAATGTTAAAATTTTACATATTTCCCTTTAATCAAGAATTAATAAATGAATATTGTACCATCAAGTAGCTGGTCAAAGGTTTTCTTAAAATGTTTTTCCTTTTCTTGTTTTAAAATAAAGGTGAGTATATTGCTTTCTTATGCTCATATTATAGTGAATTTATGAATAAATAATTGAAATCAGCTTTTTTTATAAATTCTTTTGTAATTAGTATGCATTTGCGAATCTTCTGCATTTTTTGGCATTTCTTCTGCATTTTTTTTTTGTCTATCTTCTGCATTTTTATAACTAGAGGTTGGCAGCTATGAATTAGTGCTGTCATTTTATGCTGTGCTACTCTTATTTATTTTATTGTAATAATTGCTAATTTTATTACTAATTTGGATTTCATGAAAAATAATTGTAATTTTTTTTTTAAACTTTTTATTAAATAAGTATTTTTTTTAAAATTTAAATTACATATTAAGATACTTAAAATGTTATTTCTGAAAATTAATATATTGATTTGAGCTTGTTAAAGTTAATGAATTTATTAAGTTGAAAATATAAATCTATTTATTTTTGAATAAATTTAACATTGCTTTTAGGCATGAAAAAATGAACAAGTTTTAATACGAGAATTTTTTACTTGACATGCATTGTTTATACAAAAAAAATCTATTTCAGGAATCATTCAGAAGTTAAATTTATTCAGCATTCCTGATATAGGATCTACAATTCATAAGTTGTTAGTTTTAAATCAAGATAAATGGAAAGTTCCAGAACTAAAATCTGTTCTTCTCTTCGCCTGGGGTGTTACTCTTACAACCTTATCACGATTCTCTGCAAACCTTCAAGGTATTTCTTTATTTTTTCAAATGAAAGTGTATGTATTTAAAACTTATTTTATGGATGTGTTTTAAAACTCACAGTTAGAAAATAATTTAATATTATGCTGGTGTAGGAAATTCAGAGAATTTGCAGACTTGGCCGATTAACTCTAGAACTACTGGACTCATTTTAATAAAATTTGATATGTACATACATTGATACAATACAAAGCAAATAACCATTTAACAATTGTAACAAACACTCGAGATCGTGCGTAACACTCATTGGAGTCTGAAGGCATGAAACAGCGGTTGCAGAATAAACAACAACAACAAAAATGGGTTAATAGGGGGTATGGTCCTCTCTTACAGATATACAGGCCTTGCAGTGTGATTTAATACTTAAAATAGGGCAGTTTATCATTTCCTGCGGCAATTGGCTTGAATTATCTTGTGTCAATGTCATACCTTCTGATTCCAATGAGTGTAATGCATGATCATGCATGTGTATTACAATTATTGCATAGTTATTTGTTTTGTATTGTATCAATATATGTACATATCAAATTTCATTAAAATTGATCCAGTGACTCTAGAGATAATCGACCAAGTCTACGAATTCTCTTACACCAGTGAATATAATTTTATACAGGGGTCGCATTCCCCCTAAAATTCATAAAATTCCTCAAACTATGTGCAAACCCTAAAATTCCTAAAAATCTGATAAAATTTTGTTGGTGTTCCTAAAAAATTAGAGTTATAGGCTAAATATAAATAAAAAAGCAATAATCTAAAATATAAGAATTTAACTACATTATTTAAAACTGTTTTAATTTTGCCACATGGGAATTCTGATCCTGAGAGAGGTTTTTCGATAAATAAAGCAATGCTTAATGTGAGTCACCATGAGAATACTATTATGTCTCTTAGACTAATCAAAGATACCATTCGAAATTATGGAGGAGTGTTGAAGATCACCACAACACTATTGAGGGCAGTAAAAGAATCTCACAAATCATATCAAGAATATATTAGAAAAATGATCATGATTAATTTGTTTTTCTCTAACTTCTAATATAAATTGCTGATTTGAAATCTAATAATATCACACAATAGTTTTTCTTAATAAAGTAAGGTAAAGGGTAATAATAAAGTTTTGATTAAGAAGGTAAAAATTAAATAAAAATCCAAGTTGGTGTTAATTTATTTTTTCTCTTCATTTATTCTCACTTTTGCCTGTTCCTGAATTATGCACTTAATTTCTGATAGGTAATATGTAAAGTTGAAATTTCATTTTTACACTTTAGAGATTTCATTCTTGACTTAGCTTCAGAGCTTTATTTTATGGCTTGCAATTATTTATGATATGTGTGGATGAATTGTAATAATCTTCTGTTATGTAATAAACTACTGTGTGATCTGTTTTTATCCTAGCAAAATCATATATTACCCCTAAAATTTACCTAAAATTTTTTGAAAAAAGTTCCTAAAGTTACCCTAAAATTTTAAAAACTTTGCTGCTACCCCTGTTTATAATATGAGATGTACTTACTTTCTCAGAAGTTGATATGATTAAATTTTTGTGGTTCATATTTATTAATCTAAAAATAATTCAATTTAGCATTCAATGTGGATGACTGTACAGATGATGACGAGAAAACTATTGATCTTGCTATAGATCAAAACGCATTTTTGTCCCTGAGGAGTCTCATAGTGAAAAATTCTACTTTTCATAACCAGGTTTGTTTTAAATAAACCCTTTTTTTTATTAATCTTTTGATTAAATGATTATTTTTCCGATGCTGTAACCATGGTTATGTTTTGGACGTTAAGCAATTGTTTTAATAGATTTAATAAAGCAGTGTTTTCACTACAGCGTGAGAACGCGAGAATCTCACATATTTTTTTCTTTTCTCACATTAAAAAATGATTACTGCGAGAAGTTCGCACACTCAATGAATGAAATTTAAAATGCACAAATCTCTCAAATTTTGGAGAAAATTTCGTTTTCCGTCATTTTAAATAAAATCCGCCATTTTGAAAAAAGACATGAGAACAAGTGTTGAGAAAACAAATGAGTCCTTTATTATAAGTTGTTTAAAGTTAGCTTTATTTTTAGCCGTTAATGAGTTACTAAACTCCGTCATCGACAATTTACTGCAATTAGTAAAAGTTTAAATCTGTAAAAACTATGCTGGATGACCTAACAAGAAGTATGAACATGGAAACAACTTCAACGAACTTCGCTATTCTATAGCAGAAATAATTAAAAATCCTATGCTGGCAGATGTAGAGGATAGGAAAGTGTGTGCGCAATGCTAGAAATTTAATTAGTGATTCCAAATAGTTTAACATTTGTTGCAAGGTCATTTAGCACCCAAAACCTAATTAAGGCAAAATATTGTCACAGATTGGCTGATGAGCATTTGAGCAACCTAATGAGAATAGCTGATGAAAAAGTAGAACATTTTCCATATGATGATGCAGCAAAAATATTCAATGGTTTAGAAATTAGAAGGTGTTAAAAATGTATTACAATTAAAGAAATATTTTTTTCCAAGTCTATTCGTGTTTTTTTAATTTTTAGAAATCTCACTTAACTCTTTGAAATCTAACCCTGATTTTTAGAAAGGGTAAGAAGTTCTCTCCAATTTTTTTTCTGTAATGAAAACACTGTAAAGAATAATTTAATGTCGTATTTTTTACAACACATTATTAGAAATAGTTTGTACACCTATTTCTTAGGTTCTAAAACTTGTTGATTTTTCTGATAGACATATTTAAAAGCAAAACTTGGAAAAATTTAAACTAGATTACTTTATACTGAACTATAAGTTATGTACTGCTGAATTGTTTTTCTTTTTAATAATATTCGAACAAGTCTATTTTTTCATTTTTTAACTTTTTTTTTTCTTTTCAAGAATGGAAAACTTTTTTAGTTTGTTTAATTTTTACTGTTTTTTTTGTTCTAATTATAGTGCATCATTACATTTCATATAGACTTTATTTTTTATTGCCACTTTTTTCTTTACGATAAGACAGATGATACAGGTAACATAGTAAAGTGTGGTTTTCATCGTTGAAGTCACATTTCAGAAGCGAGAAAAAAAATTTTTTCTGTTTTCTTTTGCTTTTTTTTAAAACTTTTCTTTTTTTCAAAGTTTCTATTATGACACAGAATTTTTTAAAGAGCGTTTCTAATGAATGTAGGGTTAGTGTGCACCGGTAAAAGAAAAGAGTAAAACAAAATCTGGGAATTATCACCGAAAACTTACTTTTACCCCAAAGCCGGGAATTGTCAGGGAATTTGATACCCTGTCAAATTGGGAGATTTTACTTTTCCATTTTCAACCATAATTTGCTCTTGGGCAATCGAGGATTTAATAAAAAATCAGAATTTTTTCCGGACCGACTGTCATCAAGTATATCCTCAAGATTTTATTCTTAAGCATTTTTAGAGTGATGTCAATTGGATGTCCAATTTAAATAACTTGAAACTTCTACTCTGAGAGTATTGACTAGTTAGGTTTTTTTTAAATCTACTTTTGTTTATCAATTTTCATCATCCTTAATTAAATTTATGTTTCATAATTTCGGATGATAGCATTATTTAAGTATGTTTAGCTGTACCTTTTTCCAGCAATTAAAACTAGTTTAGCTAGACTTAATATAAGTCACTCAATAGCACAGTGATTGTTTACTTCCTCTTAATGTATTGTGTATAATGTGTACAGGGATAACACAGTGAATTTTTTTCCAGATATGACTAGCAACCCTGTATTTGTTTTCAATTATATTGTATAAAATTATTTAGTATTAAATTTTTCTCTGATGTTTATGAAAATTTCTTCATTTCATTTTAGGAATTCTTCTTGAAACGTGTCCATAGCATTGTCACAGATTTTATTGTATTGATGCCTTTAAAGGTATGTCATTTATGTCTACGAATTAAAAGTAGTAATTTTAATAATTCTGCTATGTTTTTTTTATCACTCTTCATTTTATATTTCTGTGTCTTAGCAGCTTAAATTTTATTGTACTAAATATTTTTCTTTCTTGTCATAATATCATTTTTGTTTCAAGATGAAAAAATGGTTAATACGCTATTTTTTCTTTCGAACTTTCACGATACACTTAGTCTCGCAGTGAACTGAAATTCCTTACCCCATGCCAGAAATTTCACTGTTCTGTACAGTAATTTCTGATAAACTTGTTCTTATCTGAATTTTTTTTATTTAAAAGTATTGAATGTTGACCATATTTTTATTTCATTTCATTAATTAATTTTTTAAAAATGTTGGGGAAAATGAACGAAATATAGGCAGAGCATTACATTATTTAAAGTTCTTTGTTTCCCCCTTCTTAAAAATAGTTGAGTATAGATGTATTGTACTGAAAATATTTTAATTTTTCCGTGAAATGTTTATATTTTTAACCGCTACAGTACCTGGTAATTTATATCCCCCTCTCTCTCATTACTTCCTTGGAAAATTAGTTCTCTTTATTTTAGTTATTATTTATTTTTTAGTTATAAAATACGGCACTTTTTTAATATGTGATAACCTGATTGTTAAAAANATGTATTGTACTGAAAATGTTTTAATTTTTCCGTGAAATGTTTATATTTTTAACCGCTACAGTACCTGGTAATTTTTATCCCCCTCTCTCTCATTACTTCCTTGGAAAATTAGTTCTCTTTATTTTAGTTATTATTTATTTTTCAGTTATAAAATATGGCACTTTTTTTAATATGTGATAACCTGATTGTTAAAAAAAATGAACACGTGTTGCGCATTTTGTATGGGGAGTTTTATGATTTAGTTCTTTTCTTTTTTTTTCAGGTGAAAGAGCTACGAAATAGAGGGGATGAAACAGCTCGCATCATAGAATCACATTTCAGGGAAGGATTAGAGCCTCCATCCAATTTACCTCTGCACTTTGAACACTTATTAAACCTGGTAAAAAATTATTATATTCTTCTTAATTTTTTTATTACAGTCAAATCCTGTGATAAACTAATTCAAGAAACTAGTGCAAAATAATGTTCATAGTGTGTAGCGTTTTCAAAAAGTGCTTATTTTCAATTTTCGTTTTGTAAAAGCCCTTATATGTACTTTTTTTATTGAATGTTTTTGAAAAGAGCTTAATTTTCCCTCTTCGAAAATGAGATTTTTTCCCTCTACCGTGTTGATTTTTGCCACATACTATGCAAAAACTTGATTTTCTCATTGTTCTATTCAACGTTTTCACAATTCATTTTACAAGTTTGATGAAATACTTCAGAGTCCACATATGTATCTACTGAGCTGTGTTGGATTAGTTTCTTGTACTCTCATGTGCAACTCTGTTGCATTTCGCAAGATATTCTCCATTTTAGGCTTAATTTTTCACCCTCTGAAATTGAAACCGAAAAATCTCTCAATCGTTTTATGGAGGCTAATATAATCAAGAAAAAGAGTTCTTTACCAGAAAGTAGTTATTTTATCACGATCATGAAAACTATTTTTAGGGTATCACTTAAACATGCAATAAAATTTTAAAAAAAAATTCTGACTTATTTTTTGTTTGTTTTCATTTGTAATCTGCCCGATTCAGGGGTCTGTCCAGGCTAAAGTTACTACTGTTTAGCGGTACCTTCACAAATTCAACTTTAAGAAAAACGGTAGTTTCATAAAATACTTTTTCTTAAAATTTTATTTTTGTATCCTTTAAACGATAAATCCATGTTTTGATGTTAATCTTTTAATATAATTTTTCACAAATTATGTCTAAATTTTCACAAAATTGGTAACTCTCAGAAAAACTAAGATAGACCCTTGCGCTTATAATCACTATATTATGCTTTGTATTGTGCCTGATATAGAATCATTGCAACTATTCAGTATTATTTTTCTTCTAGATATCAGATTTGTATTTAAAAGATCCCCTTAATTTAGAATTAGCTGCAGATTTTTGGTGTCCATCTGATAGCTTATCAGAATTATCATATTACAATAGACCGTCTCATAGACAGGTAAGAATTTTCAAATCCATTGTTTTTTATGTAATTAAGAAAAGTCCATGTACGGTGCTCAAAATATGTCTCCCAAAATAACATGATATCATTGCTCTTGCCTTTTTTTTTGTCTTTTTTTTTTTTTTTTTTTTTTTTTTTTTTTTTTTTTTTCCTTTTTTTNTGCATTGAGGAAAAAAAGATTTTTAAAAAAAATTACATTTACGATGAAATCAGCATGAATAAAGAGTGTCAAATGGGGGATTTTAAATTTGCATGCTGTAATAAAAGTATTCAAAATTTTTAAAACTATGGGGAAAGTATTAAAATAACTTTTAAAATATGGTTGAAAAATGGAGAGAAATAATTGCCAAAAAAATTTAAAAAATCTCTTAAATTATCAATAAAATCAGCACAAATCAAGTGCGTTAAAAAGTGATTATTTAAATGTCGATTTGAAACTCGCGTGTCGTAACTATTTCATAACAAAAATACTGTTTTTTTAAGAATAATGTTAAGAAGTAAAAATAGTGGCTTACAAAAATCATTTAAATTTACCATAATATCTTAGCAAAGCGCGTAAAAAAGTGATTGTTTAATGACGTGATTCAACTTTGAGATTCATGGTTGACAGATAAGAGGTATTTATTTAAGAAATGTATGCATCTTGGCTTGGGTATATTATGTATCAGCAGTCCTTTGTTTATAATATCTCTCTCTATCCACTGTGTATTAAAACACTTAGAATCAATCTTGAGCCGTGATGGCTCAGGGGATAGAGCATTTGTCTACCAATGAGGTGAACTAAGTTCAAATCGCAGCAATGGTTGGTCGATACGAAATCCGCATCCGGCATGTGCCGACCACAGTGCTGACATTAAATATCCTAATTGATGGACGGTTCTTGGGTTAGAGTGCTTTTGCCATCAGGCTAACCGTGGGTGGTTTTTTTCTCCATGTAATGCAAATATGTGTTAATACCATCAAAAAATTTTTCACAAATGCAAATTTCTCCCAATACTTGATCCAGGAGTTCTTTTGTGTTCTGGATTAGGCTCAAAATTACAAGAGGAATTGAACATTAGTAGTCGTTAACCCAGAATTGGGTTACATTGGTTGGCTCAACGGCGGTTATAAAATAAAATATTTTTACTTTGGTCAAAATGAAAAGTTCTGATAGTAGAACATCGAATAGCTAAGAGCATTGTATGTTTTGATTTCATTGTAAAAGTAGCACTAGAGTTATATTGATGGCTATTCGCCCATGAAATTTGAAAACAACTAAATATGATTTCAGAGAAGAGTGTTTATTATTTTAAATGTTAGGTTTTTTTTAATGGCTAGAAAATATCGGGTTAATCAGCCAATTTTAAATAGGGTCCTAAACCCAAAATTGGGTCGGCTGTTCAACTACAGTTAAAGTAAAATAAATAGAATCAATCTTTAATCATTGAACCCTGGTTTTATGAAAATCATATATTTCACTATGAAGATCAATGATTTAAAAAACAATGTTTTTTCCTCTCCAGATGATTGAAAACTCTTTTATCTAATTGCAGATTGCCTTATTTAAATTTATTCACATTGCTGGAGATTTATTACCTGCTCCACTCTTCATACCTTTTCATGAAATGCTGAGGAGTATATCAAATTCTCCTAGATGTGCCCACAACTGCTTCACGATGCTAAAAATGAATTGCAAAAATGGTATGTTGGTCTAATGTCGTTTGATATATGATTGCTTATTGTGAATTGATATTGCTGTTTTTGTCTACACCAGTTATGGGCAAATTATGGCCTCTGGACCAACTGTAGCCTGTAGGAAGGTTTTATCCGGCCCGCTGATAGTATTTTAACCTGCCGATCTGTAGCGAATATAAACAATATACATTATGCACATAATGCGTAGTGTTTTTAAAAAGTGCTTAAAGGTGCTTTTTTGTTTTTTAAAAGCCCTTAAAGGTGCTTTTTTCATTGGGTGTTTTTAAAAAGTGTTTAATTCTTTTCCCCTTTCAAAAATAAGATTTTTTTCTTTACCATGTCGATTTTCGGAAAGTATTATGTAAAAGCGTACATTTCACATTGTTCTATTCAATGTTTTCACCATTCATTCTACCGCAATCCATTTCGGCGTACTTTCGATCCATAGCGTATGAAAGAGCCAATCATTTTGCATGTTTGATGAATTGTACTGTAGCACCAGGATTTAATATAATCAAATTATTTTTTCTGTTTAAAGCAAGATTTTATAATAATAAATATTTTTATTTTAAATTAATAATTAATTATTTTTACACACCACTGCTTTTCTTTTCATTCCATCTGTTTTTATTTATTTTCATCTCTTATTTCACCTTTTCTTTATGAAATGAAGTAAAATATAAAGAAAAACAATATAAATATTCCTTAAGGTTAATTTACAATAATATATTTCACTTCAGTAACCTAATAAAATTTTTGAAACTATGCTGTACTTAACTTAAAATTGATCAATGAAGTTTTAATATATTTTTTTAATTTAATTTTATTTATTTATTTGAGGTAAGCATCTCAGTTTTAATTTTTTTAGTAACAATTTAATTTCATTTAGAACATTTTAGATCAATCAATTTGCTTAGAGCTTGAAAAATGTATGTATTTAGAGAAAAAATATTTCAGAACATTCTGTAGTTGTTTATTTATTAATTTTTTTGAATAAAGAGGAAAAATAATTTTGTAAAAAAAAATATTAAACATATTTGCATAGCCAACTACAACAATATCTGACATCCTATTCAATTTTTAGGTAAATGGGATAAAAATTATTAGTTATTTATTGGGCCTGTAATTCGTCAATGAAACTGGAGAGGGAGTATTAAAAAGAGATACAAATTTGTTCTAGAATGCATGTTAAATTTTTTTTCCAAAAATTTGGTTCATCTTTTATTCTACAACCGGACACTCTTTCTTGTTCACTGCTTGCTATGCCACTAAATAGAAGTAAAAGGCATATCCATAAATATTGTGCTACAGAAAGATTATTTAATTTTATGCAGGCAATAAACAAAGCTATTATTATAATTTTTCCTGTGCCCAGAAAAATTTATTATAGGTTAATAATAGAGTAAAAAATTGTATTTATTCTTCTTTTTAATGCACAGTGATTATTTTTTTTCCAATATAATTTATTTTTTATTGTATATAAAAATAGTGAATTTTGTCAAAATTTTTTCCCATATTTAAAAAAAAAAAATTTTTTTTTTATTCCATGATTTTTAAAATGATTAAATTTAAGAAAATATTACTTAAATATGAGTTTCATTTATATTGTTAATATATTACATTGTTGTTAATATATGTTGCATAATTAAAATGAGTGATTTTACAACTAATTTTTATAAGATGGATATTGTTATAAAACATGTTAAATCTGACCATTTCAACCAGAAATAGAAGACAATTTAAATTTAAGGAAGCTATTTAATTAAAAAAATAATATTTGTAGCATTAAAATTAAAGTAATTTTCTGTCATTATAATGCTTATCATTAACTTAAATTTCTATCGAATTTGAGAAATTTACCTCTAACACTGACATAAAAAATTTCAAATTAATTATGTATCACATTTCACAAACAACTGCATAGAATTTTTTATTCAAATGTCAGCTTCAAAATTCAGTCAAGTTTACATTTAAATTACAAACAAATTCACAGAGTTTAGACAATTTGTAAATTAGTAATCATTTTTTACTTTCAAGCGATTCACATCCTACAGCAACAATTTAATCCATTTAATTTGAACTTATAATAATCAGTTTTTATAAAACAAATTGTTTTTTGTTCGGTTATGATATACTAAATATTTAATGTAAAAATTTTATGATTATAAACTTTTGTTTTATAAGATAGTTTTTCTAAGAAATTAATGTTCATTTTTATTCCCACACCATGGAATTGCCCAAATGTAAAAAAACCTATTAACTCATCTAAACTAGGAAACCATGTTAGATTGGAATTCTTAATATGTTCTAATTTCCATTAAGAAAGAAAAAAAAATGATAAAAGTTAAAGAATTTTATCTATTTTTTTCTCTCTATAGAATATGCAACAAGAAATTGACAATTTTTCCTTTACAAATACTGAATATGTCTTAAAATAATAGTGCTAATTTGAAGCAAACAACATTATTTAAACATTTGATTTATGATATCGGTATCGGTTTAAAGAAAATTATTTCAATAAATTTTATGAAGAGCACTGTTTGTATAAAATACAGTGTAAAATGGCTCTATATTGAAATATAAATAAATATTAAAATTTATTTGTTTCTAATCACCTGGAATTATTTTCTTTTGCTTAATAAAAATATATTAAATAGTACTTATCCAAGGCTGTTTTGGGTCATTGCTATTTGGTACATTTTGTGCAAAAACTATTTAACGCTTACAAATAATTTTATTCATTAAGAGCGCTATTTTCTGCAAGCTAAACATATTGTTTCCTCCACATCTATTTAAGATGATATATTTAAAAAATAACATTTTATATGAAATACACAGGGATGAAAGACTTCCGCAAAAGAGCTGAAATCCGCTTTTTTTCTCCCAATTTTTAAAATTTCCGACCATGTTCCAAAAACTAAAGTTTTTGGGCAGTCCAATTAGAGTACCCAAGACTCCCGAATAATAGTCGGATTACCGCAACTTCCGCTATTGAGTGGAAAGGAGTTTAAGCATTTTGTTCCCGACCGCCGTTATTTGATTTAATTTATTAGGCTGATTTTCGGAATTTTAAATATTTGGAACTGCGCCGGAATCTGCTAAAATCGCGATTTTTAATCCGACGAATTTAATATCAATCATCGATTTTCATATTTAACTGACTTAAAAGTTACGTGTTGCAACTTAAAAGCCGTACTAGCAATTCCTATTCTCTCAATTTAAAAATCCAATATTGCAATTTGTATTTAAGCGTTTTTAAAACCCAATATCGTGATTTGTATTCTCGCAAGTTTAAAATCCAACATCGCTATTCCTATTCACGCATTTTTAAATCCAATATTGCGATTCGTTATCACGCAGTTGTAATATCAGACATCGTTTTTCTTATATGTACGCAATTTTAAAATTACTCATTGAAATTCGTATTCTCATGATCTAAAAATTATGCATCACGATTCTTAATTACGCAATTTAAAAATTCAATATTGCAATTTGTATTTTCGTGTTTTTACAATCTAACAGCGCGATTAATATTCACGTGATTTTAAAGTCCAAAATCGCGATTCATATTCACGCGATTTTAAAATGCAATATCGGGGTTCGTATTCACACGATTTTAAAATCTAATATCGCTATTCTTGAAAGAAGTAGAAGTAAGTTTTCTCTTGAATTAGTTACTGTAAAGATGTATATTTTTCATTAGTAAGTCATTTAATAGTCGTGCCTTCCTATAATTGCTTAATTTTTTTTAATATAGTAGTGGTCAAAATTTTAAAATTATATTTAAGAAAAATTTAAAGTGAACTGCTTAAATGCTTCTGCCACTTTAAATATTAAATAAAAATTTCCCAGCATAGTTAAAAGTTGCTTTTATAAATCTCAGTATCAAATAGAGCACTCCCCCCCCCTATTCTCCCAGTGGCCTGCATTGTAAAAGCTCAGCTTTTTTTTATTTTTGTCCACTTTCATGCCTGAATACTACACTATTATATTGACTAATACACTAATATTGATACTTTTCTTGTACCTATACTACACTTTAGCAAGGGGGAAAAAAACACGCTGACCTGGAAATTTTAAAAATTTTACTGGAAAAATCAGGGAAATTTGAAACCTGATTTGAGTGACCACCCTGAAGGTGAATGCATGAGATCGTCATCTTAAACAACTGACGAAGATCGAACCTGTACCTTTTTGTTATTTAATCCTTTTAGCATTGGTCTAACATTTACAATGATCTCAGCGCAAACCAAGCGAAGAGTGATTACTTAAATTTTGTATGTTGTGTAATAATCTTAGCACGTTAACACAATGTACTGAAAAGGAAGCATTTTGGTGATTGCTGGTACAAGTGAAAAAAGAAAGAAAAAAATCTCAAATTTCACAAAGAATTTTATTTTCTAGGCAATCAAAATATTGTTTCCTGGGATCATTTCTTTTCCACCTTACATCGTTATTACAGTAGCTTACACGAAGAAGTACCATCTGCATTCGATCGTCAGCGCACCTACCCACAAAGAATGCATGCTAAGGTCATCACACCGCTGGAATTGGATGGTTTGATCTCTGTGTTGAAGCTTATTTCTCAAATAGTTAAATTGGTATTTACCCTCTTGCTTCTTTTAAAAATTAGTATATTTTATAAATTACTGCCCAGATAGCAAAATAAGGTTTATTTTCACTCAGCAAAAACCTTTTAATGTAAACCTTAAAGGGTTTCTTATATGGTCTATGTGTAAACCTTCTAATCTTAAAACAAGATCTGTGACAATCCGCTCTATTCTACTCACATTACTCTAATGCAAAACCTTGGAAAGCAATCATCTGTATAAAACCTGAAAATCGAGGTTGTCTTAGGGTTTTCAAGCGTGAAACAAATCTTCGAATAAAGCTAGTCTCAAGGTGAAAATAATCTTAAATCTAGTTAATTATAAGGTTTCTTTTCACAACGTTTGTATGCTCAGCTAAAATCCACCTGGTTGTAAGATGTTAATGGACAATGCAATTTGATCCTATTGCTTGTGTGATGTCAGCTAAAACGTCATTATGGACCTAAATGACCAATTTGCCTTAGTGACAATACTTTTAAAAAAAAGCTTTAAAACTAACTTAGAACTTTAGGATGAAAGGTTTAAAACTGCAACATTTTTGCTTTATTGAAAAAAGGTTTTTAATACAAACGTTTTCCTGACAAAAAGAAAATTCCGGCACAAGATTGCTATAAAGTTGCATGCTTTCTAAGTAGTATCTTTTATTGGTGTTTATTTTTAGTTAAATAGTATATCGTCATTGAGTTTTTAAATATGAACGCAGCTCAGAATGCATATTTACAAAAGTGGGCAAAGCGTGTGGAAATGCGTGTTTACAAAAAATGGACTACAAAAAAGCGCTTTTTCAGTTTTAAACCTAAATTTAACGACTAAGTAAAAAGAATTTGTGTGCTTATGTTTCCTGACTTATCCAATTACAAAGCACCATCATTACAAACCGAAGTCCTGGATTTGAGGCTCAGTATGACTAGGTATGTTACAGAAATAACTTAACAGACAATCTCTTCATATTCAGAACTATAAACAATTAAGTGGATTTTAAGAAGACCAATTTAATAAAATAGACCATGGAATTCATACAAATGAAGGATATCATATTTGTGTGGCGTTTATGAAAAGTCTGGGAGAACAGGGAAAACCTGGAATTGTCAGGGAATTTTATTTTAACTCCAAAAATCAGGGATAGTTGCACTTTTTTTTACAAAAACCTGGAGTATTCGTATATGATACCTGGAAAATAACCATCTTAACATTGTCAGTAACATTAATCAGTTATTGAGATTCGAGTTAAATAATTCTAACATCTATTATAATTATTTGTTGTAAAAATTTCACATTTTAGTCAAACTGAGATGTTCCTTTCCTCATTTTATAATACTTTTTTTTTACACAGAAAATCTAATATTTCACATTACAAATAAAAGAATCAGAATAGGGTCTCAATTTTAATTGAAATATACCTGGAAAAGTCTGGGAATTTTTTTTTCTGAAATTGAGTGGGAACCCTGAAAGTGCTTAAAATGTGCTTACTTTTGATTTACGTTATTTAAAAGCCCTTAGAGGTGCTTTTTTTATGCATGATTTTCACAATTTTCTCTGCAATATTTATCAGAAACTAGTTATTTTATCATGATTTTGTAAAGTTTCTGAACATTTTTTTAAATTTATTGATTATATTTTTAAAAATTAAGAGCTTTAAGCTATAGAAAAAAATAATTTTTATTACAGATCCTAATTATGATTTTTTTTTGGGGGGGGGGGGAAAGTAATTTACAATATTTTTTGGGTGCTTAAAAAGTACTTCAGAGATGATTGTGCTCCGGAAAAAATCCGGATTTCCGGATTTTTTGCTAACTACGATCCGGAAGTTTCCTGAAATCCAAGGTACAGAAGTTTTAAGAAATCATCGATTACATTTATGAATAAAAATTCTTGTATTTTGTTTAAAAAATGGTAGAACTAGAATTTATTCTTGGCATCTCTTTCATTTGTAATTATTTTTTTAGTAATATAATGAATGTGATTAGAGATAAAAGTAAACTTATAAGTAATTATTCATTTCAATTATACTGCATATAATTTATTTAGAATATCATTTTTTGAAAATATCAAAAATTTAAATTTATAAGACATTAATATTTTGAAATGCATCATTAATGATTTTATTCAAGAAATTTTCTGGATTTTTGAGTTGGGCTCACAATCACCCCTGGTACTTAAAAGGTGCTAATTTTTTGTTGAAAAATCTAGCTACTCACTCTGTTTTATTAATTCATTTGTTTGGAAAAGATAATCAAATGCTAGGTCTATTTCAGTGAACACATAGTTTGACCTGTGTTCATTTTTATAATTATGTGTTTCAAGCCGGGACCTTTTTCACAACCACACAATTTAAGCTTTGTGCATTTTTATAAGCACTTATTTCGATCTTTGTCCAGATTTAATGTTTCACTGACTAAATTTTATTGTAGGGGGTGCAACCTTTTCAAAGGAGGGCTATTATCTATAGTCCATTCCACCTTAAGTTGGCACTGGAGAGAAAGGCAGGTAGACCGGATTACAGCTGTTGTCATGAAAACTGGGTTACTCTTTAAGTCAGTTGGGGGATGAGGTAGCAAAAAAAGGGAGAAAGTGGCCAGTATTGGCGTTTAAGAAAGCAAAACGCTGATTTTATTTTTATTTTTTAAACCAAGAATCGTACTAAAATTTTGAATAGAATACGGATTAAGATTTTTTAGAGCATTTCTAATAATTATTATTTTAAGATACGAGTTGTAAGCTGATTTCTTAATTAGCATTTATAAGGCAGATTTTCTTATTAGATGCTCATAAATACTTTGTTTTAAATATTTATTTTTATATGCCTATGTTTTTTTAAAATTTACTGTTCTTTTTTTTATGTATAAAAAATTCAAATTTTTTTTTTCATGAAAGTTTCTATTTTTTTCTGAAGTATGTTTGCTTTTAAGAGACAAAAGAACTTACCTAAAAAAAATAATTCTCAAAAATGGTAAAAGGGTTTTTAGTAATATCCACATGGGGGGCACGTACTGCTTGTACGCCCCTCGTAAATTAAACTGTAAATAAATGACGGACCATGTGTCTTTTCATTATTTTATTTAGACACAAACATGACATAGAAAAGGTAAAGGTAGATATTGGGGAAAACTCCCGCAAAGAGAAAGCTGCCGTTCTCTTAAACATGAAAACATCATCTGCCCTGCAAAGGTGCTCGTAACAGTACGCGCATACGCGGACATCCTGTTTTCAGCTACCATGTCCCACCCTCTTAGACTCAACAGGAACTCTTTGAATAACACGATAACCACCTATCCTGGTGGTTATCATGTTATTCATTTAATATTTTAACAGTTGACAGTTCCTTCTGAAAACTCTTTGTGGGGGTCGCCCTGAATTTAATTCAATCCATAATCTCATCAGGAGAAATTCTACTTGGGTGGTTAGGCCCATTTCTTCAAAAGAAAATACATATTTTAAAATATCAGAACCTTCCTTTACTTTTCAGGATCTTTTCAGGTAAAAGGAGGCTTAAGAGAAAAATATGTATAATTAATTATTTAAGTATAGTAGTGAAATATCTTAATATTTTCTATATAAGAGAAAGAATCTCTTATCTTTTTTTACTTTGTATTTTAAAAATAATAATTAAAATATTAATTGGTTTAAATTAACCTTTCGATGTTTAAAAAAAATTAATGATTCAAATTTTGTCTTTTTTTAAACTACTTCAATTCCTATACATTTTATTTGTTTATAACTAACGGATTTGCACACTTATATTACGGAATTTGTATTTCAGATAATATTTAAAGGTCCCTTTAATTAAACAAACTGAAAGTCTTAAATTTCCGCCATCACATTATTAAAGTTCATATAAAAAGCGAATTGTACTTCAGAGCTACACATGGCGCAAAAGACGAAAAGAAATATGGTACATATGAGGTTAATATTTAGAAAATTAAATAATCAAATACAAAGAAAAAGCGAAATAAGAATTGCACAAGAGATAGGACACTTAAGCAAAGGCAAGGAGAATGGAAAGAGCTGGCTGACCAGTGTAAAAACATAGCCAACGCGCCAATTCTTGGCCTTGAAAACTAATCCAGCTCCAAACTAAAACACCTTCTTCTTCGTACATTCGCTTTACTGAGAATGTATTTATAAGTTAAATACATTTAACATGATAATGTTCTAATGCATGCTTCAAGATAAACTTTTCTTATTATACAACATTTATTTATATTTGTACGCACATTTAAACTGCAATTAATTCCAAAATAGCGATGAACTACTTTTCAAAGGCGGAATATTACATTTCCTACCCTTCCCTGCAGTGCCAATTTAAGGTGAAGCATAGTATAGGTGAATAATCGTGGTGCTTATTTTCCTTTCTTAAAAGCTCATAACGGTGCTTTTTTCATCAGGTGTTTTTAAAAAGAGCTTAGCTTTCCCTTTTCGAAAATGAGATTTTTTTTTACTGTGTCAATTTTCGCCACGCATTATGCAAAAACGTGCTTTTCACATTGTTCTATGTAACGTTTCCACTACTCATTCAAACACAATCCATTTGGGTTATCGCCAGTCCATAACTTGTGAAACCGCCAATTATTTTACATATTTGATGAAATACTTGCTAGTCCGCATGGACGTTTACTGAGCTGGTTTCAATGAGATTATTGCACTCTCATGTGCAACTCTGCTGCATTTTGAGAGATATTCTCAATTTCAGACTTCATTTTCCACCCTCTGATATCGAACCGAAAAACCTCTCGATCATTTTATAATCGCTAATATAATCAAGAAAACAGTTCTTTGTCAGAAATTAGTTATTTTATCATGATCATGTAAAGCCTTTGAAATTATTTGAAGAATCAAATTAATGCAAAGAAACAAATTAGTTGATAGAATATGAGAAGCAAACTTTTGAACTTGAGCAATGTAATCTTATATTTTTTAAAAGAAAAATTGTTAGTGTTTGCAAAGCAAAAAATGGAAATTAAGTCTTAATCTTTATTTTTACAAAAAGCCTTTAGCATGTAATTTTATTGAAAATTATTTTGTTTTGTTAATTTTAAAAATTATTATGTATGAGCAATAGAATCATAGAATTTAGTTGACAAGGACAATATTTTACACCAGATTTGAATGGCATTAAATATTATAAGTTGTTGACACAACGAATGTTTTTAAAATGAAAATAAGTACTTTCATAGTGTATTTGCTGTTTTAAGCAAATATAAAAGAGCTTTACTTTTATTTTTCCTAACTATAACAATTAGTCATATTTTAGTGGTAAAGAATGAAAATCGGTCCAAAAAAAAAACTGTTGTTCAGATGAAATCAGATGTTGTAACTTAATTCATTGAAAACACTAAATAATTTATATGTGAGTACATTCAAATCTAATAATTGGAATAAGAGTTATTCAGGATAATATCTTTCTTTTTTGGCTCACAGTATATAAAACAGATGTACTGTGTACCTGGAAATAAAAGGACGATCCTGAATAACTTTTGATCTAATGATTGGATCTTCACGCTCTAAGACTGAATCTTAATGGTTTAAGAATGAGACCTCAAATGTGCTAATTAATTAGTGCATGCAGTATTTTATGTTACGAAATGAGACATCAAAACTTAATTTTTCTAAATAGACTTACCTTTTTTTTTTTCAAATTCTTTGTTCCCCCAAAAATCCTGATCCAATTCCTGACCCCCATAATATAGGGGGTAGCCGCAATATGGGAAAGATGATCCCCATAGTTTGATCTGGAGAGCGATCGAAAGTTTGAACCTCTTAATGTTCCTTTTTGTGTATTTCGACATATCTTGAGAACTTTTAAAGCAAATTTCAAAAAATTTTCACACAATTATAAAATTCTTTTAACCAACGATAATTCCATACCAAAAGAACTTTTAGTAAATTTTTAATAATAGTTGAATAAATTATGATTTGTTCGGTATACCATTTTTTACATCATTTTAACTTACAAAATGGGTTGAATAGTTCCTGAGAATGCAAATTTTAAATGTACAACTTTTTTCACATTTTATTTCTGAGTAACTATTCTATCGATTTCGCTCAAATTTTGAAGTTATATACTTTAAAATGTCGAAAACTCCTTGCCTTACAGTTCAACCTTTTTTCAACTATTGCTAAATAAAATAATAAATATTTACTAAAATGTATTTTTGAAACAAATTTGAGAGTTGTGCACAAAAATTTTATCAATTTGCTTAAAAAGTTCTTGAAATATGGCAAAATATATAAAATTGTTATTAAGGGGACTGAACTTTGAACTGTTCTCCTGACTAAACTATTGGGATTATATTTTCACCGAATACAGCTATCCCCAAATACTTTCGAGGTCAGAAATCCGAATCCGTCAATAAAAAAAAGGGTATGTTTGTTCAGATAAAGTCCGTTTTTGTGACTGATTTTAAATCTTAAAATATCATCTGTGCTAATTAATTAGTATAATTGAAGTTACCTCCCTGAATCATTAAGATTGAGTCTTAGAATGTGAAGATCCGATCATGAGATCAAAAGTTATTCAGGATCGTTCGCTTTTTATTTAGCGCACTGTACAATGCAAAAACTTTCTAGCTTTGTATACTTTGATATGGTTAGAAATAGAACAGGCATATCTTATCAGCAGTGTTATTTAGTGTATCTATATAATTAGAATGTCGCATAAACAGAGTAAGAAATTAAGAAAATTTATTTACTGGTCCAGTTATTAGGGATTAAAACATTTTACCAGTTTGTGCATGATTCTACTGGTTTATTTACTTGTCTCTATAATTTTTTGGCTAAAAATAAAGTTAATAAAGTGAATTTTAATGAAAAATTGCAATATGAAGAATGTGAAATATTCATTATTTTAATCAAATATGCTATTTTGTGACAATAAGACAGACCAGACTACGTATTGAAAATCAACAAATTAAAATAGCATATTGTCCTTATAAATCAATTGCTGGTTAAAGGGACCACTGATACTTACATAGCTGCCAACTCTACTGGATTTTGCCAGTTTCTCTTGGTCCACTGGTTTAATAAAAATTCTCCTGGTTTTTGTAAATTTTTTGAAAATTCCCTAAAATTGAGTATGTTTCGGATAAAAATCCCTATTAAAATAGCATTTTTGCACTGATTATTGCTTGCTTGAATATTTAAATACGTATTACTGATACATAGTGCAGCGATCCTCATTATTAGAAATCAGTTTAAAACTTTATTGTTCTAAAAAATTTTTTTTTTTTTTTAAGTTTATTTATATGATCATAAAAATCTCTGAAATTCCCTATGCTTAAAATATGTAGTACATTATGCAACAATTATTGTACATTATGCAGCTGTGGTATATTTTGGGAGACCGAGTCAGATTTTAGAAGAAACTGGCCATAGTTAATTTCAAGCCTTGATGTAGCTTTGTTATTTTTTTTTTTGTACAGGATGAAATTGCACGAATTACTCTGTCTGAAAACACCCATTATGTACCTACAGTTGTTATTCTGGGACTGATAACTTGTAGCGTTCCAGCTTCTTTAAAAGCGGCTCTTTTGAATTGTATGGCTGCATTTGCTACCTCTCCTGACATTTCTCTTAATATCTGGCAAGGATTAGAAATGGCACAGGTAATCTCTTATCTGTGTTTAAAAAAAATATTAATGAAACACGGATATAATATTATTAATGATATGTATTTTTTCCAGGTTATACCAACTGTGAAGTCAGTAGCTGTTTATCATCCGTCTGGAATTTTGGTTTGTTGATGATGGAACTTTATCATTCTTTTTAATTATTATATTTAAAAAAAAATAGTTTTTGATATTTAAAGAGAAAAATAAAAAAAATTCCAGTGAGAATAATTTTTTTAATATTTATCATTTTTTGTAAAATTTCAGATTTGTTTTGGTAAGATTCCAACCAAAAGAGCTGTTTTAAAAATCAGTATTTTTTTTTTCCTTTTTAAAATAAATTTTTAAGTTAAAAAGCTTATTGTTAAATTTATATCTTATTAGTTGTACCTAAGTGAATTCTCTTCTAACTAAATTTTTAGGGTTTATATAAACAGAACTAAATAATTTTTTGTGCTATCAAAATATAAACGTTTTTAACTATAAATAGTTTTCAAGGTCTTCATTTTAAGCTTTAAAGGGTCCTCTAAAGTCTCATTTTTTACTACAAATGATCCTCTTTTTGCCCTTTTCTTGTCCTGAAACATGTTGGTCACCCTGCTGCCATGTGTGAAAGAGTAGGTCATATAACAAAAAAGCAGGATAGGCAGGAGTTCCACTTTCTTCTGTAATATGAATAATTAGTGTAAAATACTTACTATTTATTAATGAACGGCACAAATATAAAAAGAATTATGACTAATAGGACTCAAACTATATAGTTTTACTCGCGACCAAATGGCAGGTCGCTAGTCCGTGTGGGAGAATTTTTTCGTGCTTTATGCGACATACCTCTCTAATACTAATATCTTTCTGCAAGATACTTTTAAAAACAACAAATATACATGTTGCTAGTTTAAAGTAACAGAAGTGTCAACATCGGAAAAAGGACTTTTTGTATCAAATAAAGTAATTTTTTTCAATTGAATATGTAAATTTTTTTTAAATTCTAATATGGGCGATGCTCTTGCATTTTGTTGGGGGCAAATGCACTAGTTATTTCCTTTTTCGCATTTTGAGAATCATCATCACATTAAAAAAACAAAAAAAAAATTATTACAAATTCGTTAAATGCATAGCAGTGACTAGCGAAAAAATACGCGAATTACACTCTTCAAAAAGGGGTTACTAAATACATATTTTTATTTTGAGATTCAGTTGGTGTTATGAATAATATTGTATTAATAGCTATGTGGAAATAAAAAGTAATAAATACATAAAAGAAATAGAACCAAAATTTCTGCGGAAAAGTAAACCAAATTTTTTACTTCATTATTCTTTATTTTTCATTATTCTCAAATGAGAATTTTAAAAAATCACAAGCATTTATTTTCCACTCTGATGCCCAAGAAAGGCATCTTTTGAATATAAATCTGAAGAAAAGATAAAATCTCTCTGTAAGAACTCTACCTTTCTGAGACAGTGTTAACGTGTTGCCACAATTCTGCCACTAGGTCGATAGGTGTGGATTAAAAGCAGATTATTGCTTTAGCATTCCTTATTTTTCCACCCTCCCACCATCAGTTTTGCAATCGATTGATTTCAAAGTTACTCTGATTTTACTAGATATAGTCAGATTCTTTTATCAGTTATCTGTACTGGATAATTGTAAGCTTGATAGTCTAATGACTAATGCATAGCTGCCAATTTCACTGGATTTGCCTGTAGACTACTGGATTTTGCCATTTTCTCAAGGACTACTGGTTTAATTAAAATTCCCCTGGTTTTTGTGCATTTTAAGAATATCTCTAAAGTTGAGTAAGTTTCCAAAAAAAATCCCTATTGAAATAGAATTTTTGTAATTTTGTTTTTGATTGCTTGCTTGAATAATTAAATAAACATTACTAATACATAATGAAGTGAACCTCGTTTATAGAAATCAATTCAAAACTTTTTGTGTTCTAAAATATTCAGTTTATTTTTATTCAGAACTCTCTTTTTACATTAATTTAAAAAAATCTTTTAACTATCTTTGACGGATTAAATGCCTATTAATATTCAAAATTATGAGTAAACATAATACATAACATTTCAAGTATGTTTAATGTCAAACGTAACTAAAAATATTGCAGTTTTTCTATTTTGATGACTAAAAAAAACCAAAAAATTCCCTACATGTAAAATATTTAGTATACAGGGCATCCTCGCACCTGGAAAGTCACGAATTTCGGTATTGAACAAAATTTGTCATGAATTTTAACTATTTTTTGAAAAACAAAACATGGAAAGTCATGGATTTAGGTCGTCGTAGAATTTTATTTTTAAAATGGAATCCCTCCCCAGTTTCATGGTGATCCGAATATCTGAATTTGTAACAAAATCTCCACCCTGAGTCATATTTTATTAAAATATAAAAAGTTTTTATCACTTTCTTTAAAAATTATGCTGTTTCTTTGAAAAATGAAAGAAAAAACATCATTTCTAGAGCGAAGTATCTTTTAAACTTATGTGATTTCAGAATTATTATTATTCATCTTTTTTTTTTTTATCAATTTAAAATTCTAAGTGAAGCAAGCCAGTCATTGGCAAATTTTTTTAAATCCGAAATGAGAACAGAAAAATCAGGAGTATTTCTTTCCTTTCTGATGAACAAGTAAAGTATCTTTAGAATATAATTCTGCAGAAGGAAAAATTATTTGCTCAGCTATTATTTTTTCAGCTATTTTATTGCTTCAACTATTTCTTTACTCTGTTTTTTAAATTTAAAATCAATAAATATGAAAATGCAGAGTATGGCAGTTTTGGTTATACCTGTCATTTTAATTAATGTTATTATAATGCTTTTTAAATTTATTATACTGTTTTTGTCGGAGAAAATAGTAACTTTGTTAAGTCATGAAAAGTCATGAATTTGAAAATTTAAAATGTAGCAAATACCCTGAGTATATAATGCAACAATTATCATGGCGTTTATATTATTTTGTAAAATCTACTGGATTTTTCCTATTAGTGATGGCAGCTACACTAATATAGTTTTTAATGATGTCTCTGTAAAATTCAATTAATAATTTGATTTGTATTAAATTTCAGATGGAGTTGGAAGAGGTGGAAACACGTATGGAAGAATATCCTGTTACAAGGGGAATGTTGACTTTATTAGATTCTTTGCTGAATCACCCCTTCCCAAACAATCTAGGTCATGCCACACGCCATCCAGGAATTGAACCATACCTTGAATTTGTTCTTGACTGCGTCTTATTGAAATGTAATAGCCGGGCATATAAAAACCCTGGGGAAAAGGTACGCTTGTGTGAAATGAAAAATAATAATTTTTTTTTCAATGATCTTAATTATTTTTTAATATATTTTTTTTTCTTCTGATAGTGGAAAATAATGGCTCTCTGTTATAAAATATTGGAGAAGGTTATGAAAAGTTACCAGTTTGATAATATTGATAGCAAGTCAAGTATTTTACTGTTCTCCAAAATGTTACAAGACAGTGGACTTTTAAGGGTGGTTTTATTTACATTGGATGAAGGAATGAGAATTCTAGATCAATATGCTCCAACACCAGGTGACATTGGTTTAACATTTTTTATGAATTCTTATATAATCCAAAGCATCAGATTATAAATTTTAGTTAAATTATAAAATGTTATATAGTCCTATATCCGGCCGACTGTTTGCTGGAAAGGTCTCTTTTTCTGGACGCTTTTTAATATTTAAAATAAACAAAAATTTTCTTTTTCAAAAAAGGATCTTTTTTAACACTTGCGACCTGTAAAAAAATATGCAGAGATAAGAATCCTCCGCTTCCTTATGATTTTAACCAGAGATTTGCTTTCGATTTTTATTTGATTACGCTATTATATGGAAAAATAATTTGAAATCACAGAATCATATTTCGGCCTTTCATTACAGCATGAGAAAATATTGAATTTTGTTTCTCTCATATAAAAGGATTATTGCTGCTAAGAATCACACACTTAATTTCAAGAAGTGCAAAATCTTCACATTTTAATGACATGTCGGAAATTACATTTCTTTCCACCTTTTCTTCATTAATCTTCGTCGAAGAAAAATTATTACTAAGTAAAGTGTTTTTTAAGATAACATTTTTAAAAATTAAGGAAAAAAAGTAAAAGATATAATCTTGTCAGCTCACATGGTTATATCCACACAAAAAAGAGTGCAAAATATATTGTTCTGATAGTGTGAGGAGCATCAAAAAAATTTTGAATTTAAATTAATGATATTAAACAAAAATCCAAAATAAAACATATGCAAAAAATAGGAAATAAAAATTCAAGAAGCATAAAGAATAATACACAAAATGTAACATATTAGGCTAGCAGCAAAATCAAACGTCTTTACACTTATCGGCATCCCCCAAAGTTGATTTAAAATATCTTCGTAACAAGTTTGCAAGATTATAGAATTTGAAAATAAAAGTGTGAAGAAAAGATTGTGTTATGTGTTTTATATGACGGGTTCTTAATGAAGTATAGAATCACTTTCTTTTTTCAGTTACATTGACTTGAGATTGGATTTTATGTTACATTGGTTAATTCAAAGTTTATAATTAATAAAAGGTTTAATTTTAATTATAGCTTTTAATTACGATGATTTAAAGAATGGGGGTACTAATGATTTTAAGGAAATTATTAACATTTATTGAAAAAAATTTTTTTTTATTATATCTTAGAAGATTTATAGCCACAGATTCTCTAAAAAATCTAAATATTGGAAACAAAGAAAGTTTTTAAATAAATTCATTAATTAAAATTAAAACTTACTATTAACTCAATGATTTTATATAGAATTTAATTAAATCTGTTGGATATCCATTTTTTTATTTATTATTACTATTTTTTTTAAATCAAATTTTAGAAGAGTTTGTCTATTTGTTTTCTGCAAAAATAAACATTACTACAAATTCGTTTAATTCTATTCATTTGATTTAAAGTAGTTTTTAATAAAAATGTTTTAGAAATATTAGTATAAATGCGTTAGAAATATTAGAATTGTATATAATTAGTTTTTTTTTTATAAATTTTAAATCATCCCTTTATTGTATAAATCAACAATGCAGATATTTTCTACCTTTTTAATACCTGAATTCAAAACATTAAAATTATTATCACCATGATTGCAAAGCAAGATAAATTCCTTGGGGTTTATATTATTAAACAAAATTGTATAAATTTGAAAGTTACCGATAATTAAATCGTCAATAAATTTAAAAGCATAATTTTTTTTTTCATAAAAGTGTATAAATAAGTTAGCTAGAAGTGATGAAAAATTATATCCTTGTGGTATTCTCTCTATTTGTAAAAAAAAAATTTTTTCCATTGTAAAGATAATTATTAAAAAGGCAAATATTAATTGGAATTTCCCAATAATCAAAATTGCAATTAAGGATATTTTTATAATCGCAGTAGTAACAAAATAGAACCTAGTTTAGAAAAGGGAATGTTGTTGCAGAGATGTAATTAATTTTATTTTGTTTCATAAATTCTAAAATTGGTTGATTATTAGTGATAATCCAAGAAAAACCTTCGTTAATAATTTTATTTAAGTACTTAGAGAAAATAGCGCCAGATTTAGTTAAGTATTAGAGCCACAAGTGATTGTTCTAAACTTAACTGGAATTTATGAAATTTTGGACTGATAATTAAGTATGAGAATTGTATATTATCAATTAAAATTTTTTACCTCGAATAGAAAGCTAAAACAGGGCTCGGCGCGAGTCACTTTTCTNATTTTTTTTAGTTATATAAATTTTGTGAATTTATTGAGAACATTTTTACAAAAAATTTCAGTTGCTGTTAAGTAATGTAATGAATGGATTTTTATTTTCATTATAATTGATTATAATTATTATTGTTTTTTAACAGTTATACTTGATCTAGCTCAATTTTTTATGTTATATTAAGGGACTAAGATGTTGCAGGATGTTTGCATTGTTTTTAATGTAGTCACTATATGTAACTTTTTTAAAAATTTTAGTCACCTTTTTCACTACTTTTTCTGCATTAAGTTGTGCTGAGCCCTGCTAAAAAAAATTTAATGTTAATATTATTTAAACTACTAAGCTTAACATTTTTACTACTTTTTAACTCCTTATTTAAAATTTTTAACTTAGAATTTTATCGTTAGCTTTGTCTATGGGGGTAATTACACAATTGCTTGATCAATTTTAGAAAAAATTAGTGTATTGTTACTATTGTTTAAATTCCATTTATTATTACAGGTAAATGGTAATTATAAATAATAATTAACCACTCATTTTCATTCTGTTAACATGCCTAAAGGTAAAAAAATATATAAGATACCTTTAGACTAAATTGTTGATATCATTAAGTATTTTAGACATTTTATTAATTGATATTTGGTCAATGGGTCTAAATTAATTTGTGCCTTTTAACATTAAATTTCTTTCTATATTTAAATTACCTATAATAATATGTTTATGATGTTGATCAATAAATTCAAAATATTTCTTTTCTTCACTGTGACATTCATAATCCGTAATATTAATATTTCCTAAATTTTTGCTAATATCATTATAATTAAAAATAGCTCCCCCAAAAGTTTTATTATATTTATTTATTTTACTTATGTTGAAATCTTTTAATGGAAACAAATTCTATAAATTGTCAAATATATTATGAAATTTGATGACATACTATATATATTAAAGAAACGACTCTTTCAGTTTTAAACTTATAATTTGACAAAAATTGGTCGTTTATGAAAAAATGCAAGCATTTGGTCAATCACAGTGCAAATATTGCTGAACCAATATCCCTGAAAACAATATTGTTTTTAATTTTCTAGATTTAAATTTAAATCGTGTTAAAAAATTTTAAAAAAAAATTATGTTCAGCTATAAATGTATTTTTTATTTTGCTACCATTAAGAAAAATGTTCCTCAAAAAGTGCTTATCTAATAAGCATAGCTGTGAACATTTGTACTTATATATACATTATGTTTTTCTTAGGGGATGCCCGGAATTAGTTTTTATCACCGGAGTTCTACGGTATTTCAAAAGCATGCCTTTATTAATGTGTCTTATTTTCTCTCCCTTTATTAGGTCAATCTGATTTGGAAGAATGTGCTCTTCTATCATTGAAGCTTATGCATGCAACACTTTCAAAACAGGGAGCTTTTCTGCAGTGGATTCGAGATGCTGGTTGCGACCTCATTGTAACACCTTTTGAAAATTTACTCTTAAACATTAACCCAAGAAGTGGACAAGCTGATCATCTCTTAGTGATTGCCAAGTATACATTTTTATAAATACGTAAAGTATGCACACACAAAAAAAAATCACCCTCACTTATTTTTGTCCCAATGCTTTGATTTTCACGAACCAAGTGGCAATGCTAATAGTTCAAAGAGATGTCCTTAAAAATATGCTAGCTAATTATTGCAGAATATTTTAAATTAAAAAATCTGAAACAAAAGTGTTATTTCACGGAATCAGCCTATTTTTTTTATGATGGTTTAGGGTTTTCTTGCATAATATGAGGGAAAACCTCGTTTTGGAAACTAAATTAAAATAACTGAAATATTGGTATCTTACTTTCCAAAAAGTAAGATACCAATATTTTAGTTATTTGAGTAGTCAAAAGTTTCAGTCTCTTAGGACTAATTTCATTTTTTTGAAAACTGCTTGGAAAACATGCATAATTTGATTAAAATCGGTCAATAAGTTTCTGAGTAATTAAAATAAAATTTTGAAAAATCCTTTTTAAATTTTTTTATTTCTTAAGTACTATTCAACTTATTTTGTTAAATCTTTTTTTTTGTCCACTGAGATTTCATAGTTTAAAAAAGCATTACATTTTTATACTTTTCGATGAAGTATTAAATTCTTATGCTCATCCCACCTAACGTAACCAATATAAATAACATAAAAGCAATAAATAATTCTTTTACTTTTTTGCATAAAATTATCAACATTAAACAAATTTGAAAGACCTTTTAGCACTATGTATGAAACTAGAGTAGAAAACTATAATTGCATTGGAATAAGTGTTGAAAAGGCCTCTTAATTTTCTAAGTCATTCAAACTGACTTTGATGTTTTTCCTCTATAAATATTCAATATTTTTAGTGTTTTTCTCTTTTAATTATTAATCTTAGACCCTTAAAGTGCAAATTTAACGGCATGTTAATTGTGGCACATTCTGTAATTATATTAATTTATTTTTTAATAAACTAGGAGGGTTCCACTTGCCAACTCTCATAATTGCTTCTAATTCATTATTGTTTATTTCTTTTTGAACTTAATGTTCTCCACAAAAACAGTGAACATTTTGCCTTCAAAATTTACAACCGTTGTATGATGTTTGATCAATGTTTTATGTAGAAACATTGTTAATCATAACGAAATGACTGATTACTTAAATTTGAAAACTAATCATCTCTAAATAATAAAATTAAATAAAATTGACTCAAGAAATACAGATAATGAGGCTTAACAAGAAGCAATAAATCTGAAGTAATTTTACTCATCATAAAGACTTGTAGCAATTGTTTTTATCACTATTTATTAATAAGTTTTTTTATTTTTCAATAGTAGTTTGTATATGTAGTAGTTTGCTATTGTAGTTTGTAAAAATTAAAAATACTACACCACCCTCCTATTGTTATAATATTAAACATATCCCTTTTTTGCTCCTGATTTGGCTAAAGAATTATTTATCTGTTTTTGAATTTAGACGTTTTTCTTTGTCTTCCAGATATGTTACATACAATGCTTCATTACCTCAACATAGTCTCTTTGCTATAAGTATTATTCAAGCTTTATGCTCTTCTCTCAATATATCAAAACATTTTGTAGGAGTTTTAGATGGCGACGCTGTAAGTTTAAATAACATTTTTCTGTCTTTTCCCCTCTTTGTTAATATTTTATAATTCATTAATGGATATCAATTTTAGAATGAAAGTGATATATTACTCAAAGGTTTCGTAGAAGTTGTTGAAGTGGATGCTGCTGAAGAAAATGAAGATGGTAACTATTTTAGTTTTTTTTTTCCCCCATTACCCAAATGTGAAATGCGATAAAATATTTTCTTTTTATATCTTTCAGGGCTTCAAGTGCTGCGCATATTGCGCATTTTGCTCCAAATCGGTATATTTGCGCATTACTGCGCAGAAACGACATTTTATGTTAAATTTGCGCCGAATCTGCACCAAAAATGTTTTGGGGACCAACTAAACATTGCCAAATTTTAATAGCAAAAGAAAATTTTTTCTCTTGTTATTGATCATCTTGTTATTGATTTTCATCGTTATTGATGTACCATCGTCTTCGTCAATGGAAAGCTAATGACTTTCTTGCGCTATTCTATTTATAGATTAGTACCATGATCCTNTCTTATCTGAGGCTAAGTCGAGGATAGCAGAATATTTAACAGCATTGGAAGGTACCAAAAAGAAACTTAATTTGTTAATGCAGGGACCTTCAAAAAAGTGTAAAAAATAAGATATGTTATTAATGGACAAAATTAAAAATTCTTGTTATTAAATTCTTCTTTTAATTCTATTTATTAAATATGCTCCAAATCTTTGTTTTGCTGCTCCAAAATTGCTTTTTTGTTGCTCCAAAGATGCTCCAAAACCATGTTTTGCCACTTGAAGCCCTGATCTTTATTCATTGTATCTACAGCAATAATATTTGTGATTAATTTCATGTGAGTTAATAATCATGTCAAAAGCTAGATTAACTTATTCGATGCCGATCTTGCACCAGCGTGTGACAATATAAATGAAATTTGCCATTTTTTATAATTTTATTAACATACAGAGAAAATCCTCTGCTGTTTTAGGCATTTTTGAAGCTCTTTGCTTGGTTGCGCTTATAGCTTGCTTATTGTAGATTGAAAGATGAGATGAAGCTTGAATAAGATGAATATCTTTAAGGAATTTCATTAATGATTGTAGTCAGTTGTTGTCAGAAGTGTTCATCAGTGATGCAAAGGACAGAGCTCCGACGCCAAGTTGTTTTCGGAGTACGAAGCGCTGTACGGGGAGGGGTTAGAACTTCTACATTTTTGTAACTAGGGGTAGGCAGCTATGCCACTTTAAGTGCTTATTTGTGTAAAAGTTTCTTTATTTAAAAAATTTGGTTATATAACAGTCCATTCATATTATTCTATTCAAAATCTTAGCAATTATATTAGATTTATCTCTTTATAGATTGCTTTATTTGAGAAAATGTTTTTGAAATAATGTTTGGGGAATTTTACTATTTTCATCATTTATTTTTAGGAGTTAAAGATATTCAAGCCAGGAGCAAAGCTCGTCAACAATTATTACAGTTGCTTTTAAAGTGTTTGAGACAACCTGGAACGAATATTTCCCACTACTTGCTGGGCTTCAATTTACGTAAACCAGTTTCTCAAACTGAAATACAAGATCCTGGTATGTTCCTTCATTTTTTTAACTATTACTGAAGCCTGGTTGTTTTTCAATATTTTCCTAATTATTATTACTATTTTAATAGTTATCTTTAAAGGCATGATATGTTGGTTAAACTTTTAGGTAAAGATAAAAGAAATTAAAAGTATCTTACCTACGTAAGAATACAGACTTCATGATTGCGATGCTAAAATTTAATAAAAAGAACATATTGAAATTTCAACAAAATTTTGCTCCATGTCTTTAATTTTGATTGGCCAGCAATATTGCTTTTTTTAGAAAAGAGGATATAGCAATTATTAGTGTGTTTGTCAAAATTAAACAAGAGAGATTATAACTGTATTAAAGCATTATCTAACTTATGTACACTTTTGATTTTGATAGGTTTGATTGAGTAGATAGTAGCTTAGAAGAAAAATGTAAATGAATAAAATTCAAAATTAGCACTTTTTAAAAATCAAAAATCTTTTAGTACTATCAAATTAGAGTTTAAAGTAGGCATTCAAAATAGCGAGCTAATGTCTATTGGAATTTCTCTATGGGGATCTCGGATAGCTGCTCATGAAATATTTCTTTTGTTGCATACTTGTGTATAAACTATACATTGCTTTCCAAGAGCTTTCTAAGTACTTGTAAAGTACATTTTTTAAATGTAATTTTGCTAAATTGAATGACATCAATCCCAAGACAGTCAAACTATGTACAGTCCCTGAATTCCAAATAATTAGACACTATAATGCTAATTATAGTGTGTGTGCATAATAAAGCTAATTATTATGCACTTAATTATGAGGTGATGCTATACAGCTTTATTTTTTTTACTAGATACAATGTAAATTATCCACCTTATTGTCTATTTTTTGAACACGAATTATAGAAAAAATATGTATTTGTGAACTCTTGAAAAAATTAATGCAAAAAAGTGTTCATATTTTGTTCAGCCACCTTTAGCCGTTATGATAGCTTCAATTCTGTGCAGCATGTTATCAATACAATACTGTATTGCATTTGAGGAGGAGGGTTCCACACATAATGATCTCGAGCTGCGTTTTGTTTTTCGATCACATTGCCATTTACAATGTATATGTACATGTGTATAACAACAATCGAACTCTTCAGAAAGGGTTTACTGATTGTGTGTTTTCGAGTAATAAATAAATATTATATTAAAAATGTAAGATTTTAACAACCATTGTGGAAAATGAATGTAATAACTGCAACAAAAAAAAATAGAACAAAAATTTCTGTGAAAGCAAAAACCAAACTCTTTACTTCATTATTTTTTATTATTCTCAAATGAGAATAAAAAATCATAAGAATTTTTTTCCCACTTATATGTGCGAGAAAGGCATCCTTTGAATATTCGTTTTAAACAGGGTTCCCACGGTACTTGAAAGTCCTTGACTTTCGGTGGAAAAAATCAGAACCCTGAAAAGTCCTTGAATTCTGCCATAGGGTACTTGAAAAGTACTTTTTTGGAATTAAAATAATACTAATCTTTCTTACAAAAAAGCAGTAAAAAATTAATAAATAATTTCAAACAAAAATTATAGAAATTCTAGTAGATGCAATTTTTATTGCTGAAGTAAAAAGAGGTTAAGGAAGATACAAAATTATTCTCTCCTAGATTTTTCGCGCCAGATTATTGTTCATCTCTGATGTTTAGAAAGCTGAAATTTCTACCAAATTTTAGTTTTTGTAGTCATAGTTTCTGAATGATAACTAGTGTTTCATCGATTTAGAAATATGTTCAATGTGTTAACTTCATTATTATGACAGGTTAATATTGCTGTCTTCTTTTCTTTTTTTTTCTTTTTTAAATTTTTATAAGAAGGATCATTAACATTTAGTTTTTACTGCTAATAAATGAAATTTAGTTCTAGATTTCATGAATTATGAATAAAAATCGTGATTCACATTAAACTGATTTTTGATTAATGCATCGGAATTCATGTAAAATATTTTACGAATAGGCATTCAAATGAAGGTGATTAATGAATCATATATCGAATGTTGCTGTATGATTTTCAAATTACTCATCAGGATTCGTATAAAGGTATTTTGAAAATCACACATCATGATTCAAATTAAAATGATTTATCAAACACACATTATGATTTCAATTCAAGTTATTTCTGAATTATGTAACACGAAATATATTTAAGTAATTTCAGAATCATGCATCGCAATTCTCATTCAAGTAGTTTATATGGTATTGGAAGGATTTAAGAATTACACATCGCAGTTCACCTAAAAGATATTTAAGAATTAACGCTTGCAATGCTCATCAAAATGATTTATGAATTACGCATAGTTGTTCCAAATTAAGTAACTTTCAAGTCACAAATTACAATTTCCCTCATAATCATCAATATTCACATGAAAATTATAAGCTAATCATGCAACAGTATTCACAGTAAAGTCATTTACGTTTTGTTAGCTCCTGCTTTTTGTAACATTTGCTATTCATATTGTTCCGATTTAAGAAACATGCACCGCAATTTGATTTCAAATCGCAAATTGTGATACGTGATTTACGCAATCTTCAAGACTTACTTCGCCTTTCTTATAACTTTGATTTACATATAGTAAATCTAGATTTGTATAAATGTGATTTTTAAAATTTACGCATGCTCATAAAATTTCAAAAATCACGCTTCGCATTTTATGGATCTATTTTAAGGAAAATAAAGCTTCATAAGTCTTAGTTATCTGTAAAATATTGTTTTACAATAGATTTTATTGTGTTCAAAATACATTACTGATATTCTGAAGTGACAAGATCGATAATTTGTTATTAAAAAATTTAAACAGATGTGCTAAGTGGATATATTTTGATGTTTTATCTAATTCTATTAATTTCCTGTAACCTAAAATTTGGAATTAACATATTAAAAAAAGTATTTATATTTTAATAAACGTGCAATTACATAAACTTTATCAACTAATTTACTTCAAATTTTTCATTAAAAGTTTCACTGATGCTTGTTTTTAAATTTTTGCTAGTATCCATGTCTATTGGAGTTTTTTTAGTCAATTTATGTCAATTGGAATTTTTCAAAGTGATTTGAAGCTGCGATATAACTATCAACTATTTGCATTAGTAGCTGATAAATTAAATTATTATTATTTGGTCAACTAAGCATTGTGATTTGAAAATATACAATTTCTGCTTCGACGTAATTAGAAATCTGGTTGACATGTACTTTAGTATATTAACTGTGATACTGAATGGGTCCTTGAATAACTTGAGTTTAGGTCCTTGAATTTGTTTTCGAAAATTGAGTGGGAACCCTGTTAAAGAAAAGATGAAAATTTTTGCAAGAACTCGATATCATTCTGTGACATTGTCGCCGCATCACTATTATTCTGCCACGGGTTTTTTTCAGTTGATTTTATATGATTTTATAAAATAGTTTTTGATTGGAGACAAATTATTATGACTACTATGTATATTTTACATTTAAATATCTGAACTTCCTTGCCAATAATAATGTTCTTTTTTGTAGGAGTGATGGGATCCAAACGAACATGTTTTCATGCTGTTTTATCTTTTCTGGACTGTGGTAGTTATTCAAATGCCTATCCCTCTAACATTCAAAAAGCTCCCCTGGCTACGGAATTAGCCTATCAGCTTATTTACGTACTTTGTACCAACAGTGATACTTCTGGTCCAACTTTACGATATTTACGATCTACTCATGACTTTATGTATCGCCATCTGCAATTTTTACCTTTTAAATGCACAGGTGAGTCTATTGAAACTTTTTTTTCAAAAATCTATTTCGTTATTTTATTGTGCAGTAATTTCCGATAGATAAGAGTTAAATTATTGTGATGTGCAACCTATCCACCGATTCAGCCTATTTAGAAATCTGCAATCATTGTGGATTCAATCAAAAAGTAAATGTTCTGAAATAACAATATCAATTTGCTTGGAAAAGGAGATAATTTTCTCATTTTTTGTCCAATATTTTTTTGTTAAATTATGGCAGGACGTTACAAGATTTAATTGAGAATGGACTGTGCAATGTCAACTATGAATGTGCAATCTATATCCTATTTACAGCTTGATAATTATAAAATGTTTTTTTTATTTATTTATTTGAATGATTGGCACTGAGATCTATTTCCTAAAAGTCTATTAGAAACACTCTATTAACATGCTTTGCATTACTTATAACAGAAAAACAAGCAAAAATAAAACGAAAAAGTTCTTAATTTTTAAAACAAAATGTTGAAAAAACGGAGATTGATTTGCATGAATATAATTTTAAAAAAGAAAAAAAATCAGCATTACAAAATTCATGGCTCAGTATGAAGTAATCTAGTCTATATTCACATTATGATGTGTTTTTCAAAACATAAATTAACAAGTTTTAGAACTTAACAAACATGTGTGAAAAAACTATTCCTAATAATGTATAATAAAAACTATGATTTTAGATTATTCTTTATTAAATTTTCCCTCAATAAAAAATTTTGTTGTGAAATAATTTTCCAAGCAATACTTATCAGGGTGGCCACCCACCTGGAAAACCTGGAATTATCAGGAAATTTTTTTTATACTGGAAAAAACCTGGAAATATCAGGGAAATTTGGATAAAAACCTGGAAAAATCAGGGAATTTTAAAGAAAAGCTGGAAATTTTTTCTTTAATCATTTTTTTGATTTCACCAATTTAAATTATTTACTAATTTTCTTAATTTAAATTATTTCATCCATTATACCCACTTTTTTTAAACGGAAATGTATCGCCAAACAGTTGAAATATCATCAACTTAGCGATACTTTGTTTGCATCAAAATTTGCTCCATTACAGCTCTGTTAAACTAGAATGCCACCTAAAATTCTGCCACTTTTGCTAAGCGAATGTAGAAACCTTTGACCACTATGGGACTGTGCAATTTAGGAAAGATTCTGGTGGAGGTGGAAAAAGGGATTAGGAGATTAGCTTCTGTTTTTAAATTCTGTCCTTGGGCTGAATCCATTTATGGCTCAAGTTTTTTCCGATGCGTTGGTGGTAATTTTTTTTTTCTATTTTGACAAAATATTTTTTTATTTTTAACTTCATGAAATTCTCTAAAAATTAGTTGGTTATAATTTAATAATAATAGACTTTATATAGCACCCTTTTTCTGAAAGTTTTTCTACTCCCATTCAAAGAAATCTATGAATTATTTTTTCTCAGCAAACCAACCAATCACATTTTTTTGCAATCGCTAACAGCAATGTTTGTCGACAAATCTTTAAAATTGTTGTATTAATGATTTTTTATTCAAAATTTTGTACCAAAACATTAAAAATTAAATAAAAAATCTTGCCAAATTGTCAAAATAAATTATTTTTTTCAAGATGATATGTTAAAAAAAATAATATTTTGAATAAAATATTTTATAATACCAACACTTTTCTTGTACACATCCTACACTTTATTAGAAAAAAGAAACAAAACCCTGGAAATGTTAAGATTTTTATCTGGAAAAATCAGGGAAATTCGAAATCTGATTTGAGTGGCCGCCCTGCTTAGGCAGTAGTTAGGCCAAATATTCAAATAAAAATTCTTATTGTGACCGAATGTATTAACCCTAAACGTACCATAATCAGTGAAATGACCGTTTAAGAACTTCTGCATCGAAAATGGATTTATCATTTTATTGTTTTTTCGCATTTGACTTCATGACTTTATATAACAATTCTGTACAGTTAATATTCTAATATTATTTTATTTCCGTATTTTATTTGTTTCGAATAATACTTGTTGTATACCTATTTCTGCTGTAACTAAACTATAACTTTATAAGGTTATCTGATCAGAAATTATGATGTAATGCGTGTTAACCTATTGCATTTGATAAGTTGCACATTTCTGCAAAGACTGTTGTGTAATTAGTTCAATCAGAATAACTGTGAATTCAAATTTCAAGAAAGTGCCTAAACTTTTTGATTAGCATTTCGGTGTTAAGAAAAAGTGATAAAAACTAAATGTTTTGCTAATTAGGTTATATTTTATTTCATTTCTAACTAGCTGTTAGGTTTTACCCTGAAAAATGTCGGAACACTCAAGACAACACAAGTTCTTAGAAGAAATAATATTAATTATAATTCTTATATGTTCTTATAATTATAAGAATTTATAGAAATAATAATAATTAGAAGAAATATGTTTGCGGAAAATGTACATTGGAAAGACCCTGTATATGTAAAAAAGGCATTGAGTGATGAATTAAAAATTCTTATTCTTTGTGTTTGTAATACATAATTGGCAATATACAATTTGTTTAATTATAAGGTTTTTTTAGTTTATTTCTTTCCTAAAATCCATATTTCATAAATTCAATCTTACCGGCTATGGTAGAAATAAGTATAAATTAAGTGTATGTTTAGTGTTATAAGTTAATATAAAACATCTCTCAAAATGTGTGAAATTGGGGAGCTGAAAGATTGTCTACTAATTGACTTCTTCATAAAATATATAGTTTAACTGTTTCTGCTGCATGTCTTTCTGATTAAATGAGTATTCCGGTGCAGGTTCTTCTTCTGAAAAAATTTTGCGTCAACAATCTTGGTTATTGCGATCTCTGGCTGTGGAATTGAGAGTCATTTCTGCTCATCACCAGCGCTCTCACGTCCAGAGGCTCTTAAGTGGACTTATTGATGATAAACCTCCTATTGACAGCGGTAAGCATGTCGCCATGTTTTCGAATTGAATATATTAATCTTGTTGTTATGTTTTTTAAATTGAATGATTGTCCTATCTCATTCTGCTGTTAAATGAATTCTGCTGTTACAATTACGAGATATGATATTAATTTTTAGAAGTATAAAGGTAATTGTTTTTAACTTTTAATCAAATTAAGTTAAGTGTTAGATTAAGAAATACAACTGTTGTAATTCGAAAAGTATTGCAGATATATTTCATATAATGTGTAAAAAAAATCAAATATATTATTTTGGGCAATTTTGACTTGTAAACCTTCCAAATATTACCGTACTATGCAAATTTTTTAATTAAGTACCGTTTTGATATTGCTCTGTTGCAGCGCTACAATCAGCATTCTGCACATGCTTGGTTTGTACCTGCATCAATTCACATGGAAAATGTTGATGGAGGTGAACAAAACCAAACGTATGGGCAATGCCTCAACTTACCTTGAGCGCTACCAAGAAGGTGGGATTTTTAGAGCCAAATTATTACGGGCAATAAAGCCTGGTGGGCCTACAGTACACCTGAATTAAAATAGAATTGGCAGAATTCAACTTAACACTAAAAAGTGAAATTTAAGCAAATCAGCTTGGAATATCATGCGTATCCTGTTTTTGGACCGTAAAAGACTGTGGCTGGTGGTATTTTTGCACGTGGTGACAATCCATTCAACAACGTATTGTGAGACTTTACAAAAAGCACTGCGCAATTCAGAATGAAAGACGAGGCATGCTGAGTAAGCATGTCTTTTTGCTTCGTGACATTGTCTGCCCACATTCGGCTAATCGAACCCAAGACCTCATCATATCATTTTGCTAATAACTTGATCACCTTCCATTCTGATTGATTTAGCGCCCAGTGATTGCCACTTGTTCCTGCATTTGAAGAAACAACAGGCCGGCGAGCGCCATGTCGATTACGTCAATTGGTTCCGTTGCAGTGGCTAACAAATAAGACGGTAGTCTTCTATGACAATGGTATGCAAAAGCTTGTTGTATGATATGATAAGTGCTTCAATATTTGTGGCAATTATGTAGAAAAATAGATTAAAGTACAGTCTTTCATATAAAAATAAAATAGTTAAAAAAATCTATTTGTTTTCCATCTATTTCAAAACGGTACTTACTAAAAAAACACGCCTAGTATGTTGAAAAATATGATCGTTAAGATCATGACGGAAAAAATTGGTAAAGGGGTAAAACGTGCAACTCCAGCAAGGCTAGTCCTCCAGCAAGTCTACTTGATTGCCTGGATTTCACCATGGAAGAGGTTCTTGAGAAACCTCTCCTTTTCCTCGATTTTTGGAAGTCTCACAGCCTCATGGATCTGGTATAGCAGAGGAAACAACAGCGGAAAAAATTGAAGTGTTGAAAGTTGTTACTTCCCTGTAGAAATTTCTTAAAATTTACAAGAGGAAGAAAAATTACCAAAACGTTTGGCTGAAATTTTATACATTTGAAAAACCAGAAACATAATTTGATCACTTTTTATACATAATTTAACTGTTGACTTTTTTCTTTCATAATGACACCAAAATTAAAAAAAATTCATGAATAAAAAAAGATATAGCTATTTTTAACATCATAATATAAATATTTTTAATGAGCTACTATGTGTTTCGCAATTTTCTTTAAAATAAGTCAAATTTCAAAATGGCTCCCTAACTGCAGTTTCAGTCTAAAAAATTATTAAAATTTTTTCTACACAAAATTTTCATAAAAATCCTGTACTTATAATGACAACAGCCATTGGTTGATTTCGCTCGAAATGAGTCAGTAATAAATAAATGAATGAAATGTCATATTCAAATGTTATTTTCCGTATTTCAGGTAATCTTGATGCGACTTTTGAACAACCTTTAAGTGTTTCTGTGTCCTCTTATTCTTTCATGAAATCTGCTTCTGGTGAGTTCTTTTTTTTTTTTTATCTACCATTGACTATTTTTATTTATATTTTATATACTATATTTTATTTATATTTATTTATATTTTATATACTATTTAATATTTTTGGATTGGGAGTATAATATCATAACTTAGGCTGCGTTCTTCAAAAATATGTAAAGATATTTTTCTTTATCTAATATGCAAGCATGTAGCAATCGTCAACTTACATCTACATTGCTGCCATCCCTTCCGCATTTTGCAGAAGCTTTCCGCATTTTTACTTATTTTAGCTATTTTTTCGTGCAGACGATAAGATCTTCCGCATTTTACGCGTCCGCCCGATAGCTAGTATTTTCTTTAAATCAAATGTCGATGATCCTCTAGTAATGGCCTTAGGAAGCCCGCTTGCGGTGTTCCTCCCTTTCCTTCCGTTTACGTCGCATCGTTCAGTGTGACGTAATGGATTTCTCCTCTCTTCTACCAATGAGAGAAGGAATTCAGCTTATATTGCGCGAGCGCTTCCCGTTATCACGTGACTTCCTGTTTGCCAGCTCGAAAGCAAACGTTGAAAGAAAATGACTTGTGTTAAAGCAAAATAGCAATTGGTTTATGGCAATATTTATTTGCTCTTTATCTTGTTAATTTATTATGGCTGAACGAAAACAATACAAACAAGCCTTTAAGGAGTCCTATTCTCTTGAATTTCCATTTATTTCTAGATCGAATCTTGGAGTACATGATGTACGCTGCAACATATGTAAAAATGACTAGAATAGCGCATGGTGGTAAAACTGATATAGTCAGACACGTAAAATCGACAAAACACCAGAAGAACAAATTTTTTTTATGTAATTCTTTTTTCATAATTTCTATTAAGTTTATATATAGTGCNCCTCTTATTCTTTCATGAAATCTGCTTCTGGTGAGTTCTCTTTTTTTTTTTTTCTTTATCTACCATTGACTAATTGACCCTTCATTTAATATTTTTGGATTGGGAGTATAATATCATAACTTAGGCTGCGTTCTTCAAAAATATGTAAAGATATTTTTCTTTATCTAATATGCAAGTATCTAGCAATCGTCAACTTACATCTACATTGCTGCCATCCCTTCTGCATTTTTACTTATTTTAGCTATTAAAAAGCAGAAGAGAAGGAATTCAGCTTATGGCAATATTTATTTGCTCATTCATCTTGTTAATTTATAATGGCTGAACGAAAACAATACAAACAAGCCTTTAATGAGTCCTATTCTCTTGAATTTCTGTTTATTTCTAGATCGAATCTTGGAGTACATGATGACTAGCATAGCGCATAAAAATGACTAGCATAGCGCATGGTGGTAAAACTGATATAGTCAGACACATAAAATCGACAAAACACCAGAAGAAATTTTTTTTTTTTTATGTAATTCTTTTTTCATAATTTCTATTAAGTTTATATATAGTGCATACTCAGGGTTGGGATTTTGGACGTCCTAAACTGGTTTTGGACAGGACACGTGGGTTTTACTGTCTTAAACTGGGTAAAACTGTCCTAAACTGGGTAAAACTATCCTAAACTGGGTAAAACTATCCTAAACTGTCTTAAAGTGTCCAAAACCTTGAACTTTGGTAAAAGGTAAAAATTCTATAGGTGTAACCATTGTACACATAATAATTACATGTATCAATAAATATTTGATATTTTTTATACAATATACTATAACTTATTACAAGAAAATAATATAATATAATAGGAAAAGGCTTATAATTTTTGAAACTCCACAATTCATTGAACAACAAAAGTGAATACCTAATCCTTTAAATATAAATATGCTTTTAATACTGATAAATAATATTTTTACATAACGATAAATATGGCAATTTTAAAAAATAATAGTTTTTCTTTAAAAAAATACTAAATTTGTTCAAAAATTAACCTTTTATTTTTCACAATATTTTTTTTAAAAAATGTTATAATTTCTGCATCACAGGATGATAAAAATGACATCTTTTTTTAAAAAAATTGTTTTTGAATATAAATATATTAGTTTAAATTGAAAATACAAAATAACTGAAAAATGTATTAACAGTTTTGAAGGGCTTAACATCAGTTTCAGTTACTGACACTGGTGATGTATCACCACTATGCTAAAAGAATTGTACATGAATGAAATAAAAGTATTCTTGAATAGTACTATAGATAAATAAACCTGCTTATGACGAACCAAGTACTTAGTCCCTAATATTTTAACCTGTATGGCAAGGCCAAACTTCAGTTATGTACTATTGAATGAGAGGACCAATTGAACTTGATTACTGATTAATCTTCCTTTGTTTAAATTGAAAAGTCAAACAATATTAATAAAACATTATACTTTTAAAAACAAATATTCTCTAGTATATTTAATTATCGATATGTTATTAGTTCTATATTTATTTTACCTCTTAAATATTGTTCAGATAAAATTGTGACATAATTTGAGTAAAAGGGTTTTGGATAGTTTTAGACAGTTTTGGACAAATGGGTTTTGGACAGGACCGTTTAAACCGTGGATTAATCCACTCTGTCCTAAACCTTGCCAACCGTGTGCATACTATTATATTGTAATTAAACTAATGTCTAAAATAAAGTCTTAAAATATGACATATTTCCCTTTAATCAAGAATATTGTACCATCAAGTTGCTAGTCATAAGTTTTTTTTAAAAATTATTTCCTTTTCTTGTTTTAAAAAAAGTTGAGTATTGCTTTTTTATGCTCATATAGTGAATTTATAAATAAATAATTAATTAAAATCTGCTTATTTTGTAAATGTATTAGCAATTAGTATGCAGTTGCGAATCTTCTGCATTTTTAGGCATTTCTTTTGCATTTTTTTTTTTTTGTCTATCTTCTGCAATTTTATAACTAGAGGTTGGCAGCTATGCATGTATGATTGTCTGGTAGTCCAGTACAGTAACCAGTGATCGTTTTTTTAAAATAATTATAGCCCTTAATATTATTTTCCTTTTCAGTCACATTTTGCTTCTGATAATTTTTTATTTTTAATCTGAGTTGATATTATTTACGTCACCTAATTTTCTAAATAAGAATTTTTACTTCTAAAAATTTTTATTCAAGCTTTCTTATAGTTTGAATATTATTTATGATTTGAAGTTATTTTTTTATGGAAAAAAAATTTTGTTAAGTTTTTCTTTAATAAAAAAAATCCTTTTTAGTTTACAAGTTTACTTAAATCTGCTTAGAAAAGTCAAGGGGGAAAAATTTATTCTTTTTGAGTATGAACTCTAGAAATAAAACGAGTTAAAAAAGTTTATTTTGTTGAGTGATAATTTTTACTTCTGTACTTACACTAAGTTTTGAGGAAGGTCAGGAAATTTTATTTTTGAAATTGATTTGTCACCCTGAGACTAACGTTTACAATGATTTTTTTCACTATAAATTATGTGACAATGTGTAAGTTACTTAAGTAAGTTACATAAAGTAATTAAGTAAGTAAGTTACATAAACTATTTAACCTTGGAATATGTATTTTTTAATTAGCATGTTAACACCAATTTTATATTTATCAACAGGCACCTATAGAAGAAAATTGATGCAAATTCTTGATGGCATTGAATTTGAACACTCTTTACCTTCGATGCCCCATTGGGAGTATTTTGAGAACGAAGAGATTATTCGTGTTCTGAAAGAATGTGAAATTCAGGAGGGTTTGATTGACATTCAAGAACTGCATAAAAGGTTGTCTGAGGAAACTGTTGGCTTACAAAACGTTCTAAGGCCAGTTATGTTACAGGTATTATAAGAGCAATCATCAGTTATAATAACAATTTGATATGAGTCTTACACTGAAGTGGAAATTTATACATGGTGCATAGTGTTTTTAAAAAGTGCTTATTTTAGTTTTTTAAAAGCCCTTAATAGTGTTTTTTTTCATGAGGTGTTTTTAAAAAGTGCTTAATTTTCATTTCTCAAATATGAGATTTTTTTTTCATAAATAACCATGTCGATTTTCGCCGCATATTATACAAAAGCGTGCTCTTCCCATTGTTTTTTCAACGTTTTCACAATTTAATCAACCACAATCCATTTTGGCTTAATGACGGTCTATAGCATATGAAAACATCAATCATTTGCAGAGCTCATTCTAGGCAGAAAAAAGGGCAGGGTGCAAAAGTTTAAAAAAAGGGCATTATTATTCTAAAAAGGCAATAATTTCGCGTTCTATTAAAAAGCATTGTCAATCAGTAAAAGAATTTTTTTAACTTAACTGAGAGTAGCAAAGCAATCATTAATTACTTATTTTCATTAATAAATTAACATATATATCGAGTTAATGAGCTAATTAGCTTAGTAATTTATTTAAAATGCATGCATATATTAATAAAATAATAAATGTATGTTTTTAAGTGTCTGTAGTTATGATTAAATAATTAAAATGATTAATAATAATTATGATTTAATGATAGTGGAAGTAACTGCAAACTTTCAAAGACAAGTGCAACAATGGGTTGTGATGGCTATTTTTCCTTTCCCATATAAATCTATGTATTGACAGCAATGACAAACTAAATAAAAAGAGTTAAAAATAACAGTTCATGAAATCCATTGTAGAGTTTGGGGGAAAAGTAAAGAAGGGTTGGATGAAAAAGGAAAGAAGGGTTCAGGAAAGAAAGGGCAAAAAGGGTATGGAGTCTATTACATCAGGGCACTAATTTACTTCAGGGGCTTCTACAGGGTGAATTCTTTTGACTAAAAGGGCAGCAGGGTGCTGCGCCCTGTTTACCTTGCCTAGAATGAGCTCTGCATTTGACATGTTTGATGATCATGTTGCTAGTTCACATGTGCGTAAACTGAGCTGGGTTCAGTGAGATTATTGCAACTCTGCTGCATTTTGCAAGATATTCTCGATTTCAGGCTTCATTTTCAACCATCTTAAACAAACACTAAAACCTCTTCATCTTTTAAAAAAGATTAATATATTCAAAGAAAAAGTGTTCTTTGTCAGAAACTGGTTATTTTATCATGTTAAGTCTTCGAAAATTATTTTGTTAATGTATATAGTGCTTCAAAAAATGTTTTTTGAATATTTAAAAGGTGCTTATTTTTTGTTGAAAAACTTTGCCTGTATTAATACTAAAACCATTTTTTAAGAATGTTAAAAATAAAATGAAAATTCTTTGCTTCATTTATATATATGTATTATCTTTTGTTTCTAAATTTAGTATTAATAAGTGTACAATAAGTAGTCATAATCTGTTTTTGTGTAAAGGTTGTTCTAAATTAATTTAATCTTAATTGGCAGGAGATAGCCAAGGTGTTAGAATATGCTGTTGAGTGCAATGAAGCACGTGAGATTATTCTTGCAAAAAGAATGTCGTTTGAAGGCTGGCGTCAGGTGACTGAGGTGTTACTTATAGCTTGCCCTTTGGATATTCTAGGAAGTGAAAAGAAGGATCAAATGGTGCTGGAAATATCGCAAGAACTTTTATCAAAAGTATGTCAAATTATGTTATAAATAAAACACCTTTGTTTGATAAAATTAAAATTTCCTTATGTATTGAAACCATATCCTGCTTTCAGGAAAACGTCAAGATTTTGAACCATGTTTCTAACTCAATCAATTGATTAGCAACTACAAAATTAAGTTTTTTTTTTCTATGAAATCTTCCATTCATTTATATAGCAGAATTTAAAAGTTTTCAGTATATAGAATGTATTACTTTCATGGCATTAAAATCACTCTTTCAACTAAATATGCCATAAATGTAGAAATAATGTTACTGTTTAATATTTTTATTTAAGATAGACATTCTAATCATTTTGTTTTCAAAGGTAAACTTTATTTTTAGTATCTTTGTGTAGCATGGGTGTGACAGCTATCAAATAAAATATGTTTGTTGATTACTTTTGATTTGCTAAATATAGGAAATGTAGTAAAAAGCGACTTAATATTTATTGAGTGGACTAATGAATTTTTAAAAATTAGCACATTAAATTAATTTTTGAAAAATGTTGTGAGAAACAGAAATAAGATATCTAGTAATAGCTGTGCAGAACAAATATTGCCTATTCAGCTTCGAGTGAAAAATAGTGTTGAACTATCAATACAAAGCTGAGACTAACTGAAATTTTTAAAAACATGTATATCTCCTTAAATGCATAAACATTTGAAGAAATGATTTTTTTGTAATGATTTGAACCCAGAGATCATGGTATTTAACATGATATGTTGCAGGTGATGTCACCAGAAATACTAGCTGAATTAATGCCCCCTGCCTCTAGTGTTATTTTAACTTTAATGTCCACTCTTCGAAACAGCATGATTACATCTTTGATGAAACCACACACAGAATCTCTTGCTGAATCACCTCTAATCCCTGTTGCACATCATTCATCCTTGCTTGCAGTTTTGAGGGCAGTTGTGGACTGTTTGATGAAAACTGGTTTGTGATTTCATTTTATTCTTTCAAGACCCTTGATTATTCTCATAATTTAACATGGTGTGTATGTTTTTAAAAAGTGCTTAATTTTCCATTTTTGAAAAGGAGATTTTTTCCTTTACCATGTCTATTTTCGCCATGTATTATGCAAAAGTGTGCTTTTCACATTGTTCTATTAAACGTTTTCACCACATTCAAAGACATCGGCGTACCGTTGATCGGTAATGTATGAAAGTGCTAGTGGTTTTATATGTTTGATGAAATACTTGCGAGTCCGTGTCTACTGAGCTGAGATTCTAGCACTCTCTTGTGCAATTCTGCTGTAAGGTATTCACAATCTCAAGCTTCATTTTCCTCTCTCTGAAATCGAACCCAAAAATCTTTTTTTAATGGAATCAAGAAAAGAGTTCTTGTCAGAAACTAGTTATTTATCATGATCATGTAAAATTATTTTGTATTTTGCTAATGTATATAGTACTGAAAAATATTTTTTGAGTGCATTAAGAGTACTTTTAAAAAGGGCTTATTTTTTAATGAAAGCTTTGGCTACGCACCTTGTTAGGGGTAAATATCCTGAATCCATAAATAGCTTGTATTGATAAATTTAATTGTTATATTTTTAGCTAATGTTTTACAAAATTATCTATAGTTAAGGTTTATATATAATACTTTTTCCAGCTGTAGTTGGCGGAAAATTCATATTCTTATGCATTATTCTCAATATTTTCTACAATTACATTTTATGATTTGAAAACTAGCTACTAAAGTGGGAAAATTTTGTCAAAAATTATACTCTAGAAATTTAAAAAATTTGAATCAGTTTTTAAATATCAGAAAGTGTATCACACGAAGCAAAACTCTTGTTTTTTTCTTCATGTGTTGCATAATTCTTTTTTTGCATATTTTTTATTTTTTTATGTGATACTTTGATCTTGAAAATTACTCAGTTCGTTAATAGTTTAAATTGGCAGAAAGTTGGCATTGAGTTCTTAAGTATTCTTATTAGTTGATAATGAAAATCTATGATTTTCAAGAGTGCAAAATATGTAAGTTTAATATGGTAGGTTTTAATATTTTTTCGTATCATTTTAAAAAGAATCAGTAAGTTTTTTCCTGTGTGAAAAAAATTCAAGTGAAAAAGGTTATTTTAAAGTGAAAGTAATGAAGATATTCTATTCCTTATTAGGTATTGGTTTTCAGAGAGTTAGAGCCAATTTCTATACTGCTTTTCTCAATCTGTTGTGCATTGTTCATAAGCCTTATGATATGCAAAGTAAGTTGAATATCTTTTTATATTTGTAGTTTTAGTTTTAATTCAGCTTTTTTTATATATAAAAATAAATTATTTCTAAAAGCTGATAAACCCAGTGATGTTGGTTATGCTGTCCTTGATCAAAGCTCAGAGACTAAGAAATTGAGAACAGAATACATGGATGTTATTCTCAGCTTTGGTGAAACTATCATGGAAATTGTTTGTAGAGATGCTTGCACTGGTCATGATATTACTAAGGTATTGCTTTCTCCCCTTTTTGTAGTTCATTTTTAAAAGTTTCTCTTTTTAGCTATTAGAACCTTACGTTGGACGACCCCATGGCAGAATTTTTCTGGACTTTCTGCGACATGCCTTTCTAATATTAATATTTTTCTGCAAGATATTTTTAAAAATAACAAGCATACATGTTGCTAATTTAAAATGATGAAAGTGTCAACTTCAAAAAATAAATTAATTAATTAATAGCCTTTTGATTAAAATAAAATAATATAACTTTATTTGAATATGTAATTTTTTTTACTAATATTATGGCTAATAGAGCATTTTGTAGGGGGAAAACACACTAATTATTTTCTTCTTTGCATTCTTGAAATCATCATCACATTGAAATAAATAATTTTAAAAAGTTGTAAAATCCGTAGTAGTAACCTTGGATAAAAGGATCGAAGTTGAAATCAAGTGAGTCTGATTCTTTTGAAAAGGGGTTACTAAATGCGTTTCATGATTCAGTTGTTGTAATAAACTATATATTTAAAATATAGGGTTTTAAAAACTGTGTAGAAGTCAATAGTCATAACTACATAAAAAAAATAGAATGAAAATTTCTACAGAAAAGAAAACCAAAATTTTTTACTTCCCAACGGAAAAATCTTTCTGCCAGAACTCCGTAACGTTCTGTGACAGTATCGCCATGCCGCTTCGATTCTGCCGCGGGGTTCCCGAGCATAGCTTTAAGATACTTTTGATTACAACAATTATTAATTTAAAATAACAGAAACATTGTGTTTACTTAAGAAAGTTTAAAATAAAAATGTATAAAAAATTTCATTGTAAAAGTAATATTTTTTTAATTCTAATATGGACCTGGAACACATTATTTATAAATCTCCAGAACACAAGCGAAGACATAATCATTCTCATGTATTAAAGTTTAGTTTGTTTTACATTTGTAGACGGCAGCAAGCATCATCTATCAAGAGCTTGTCTTATCCTGCTGTATTTCAATGAAAAAGTGTTATTTAAAAATATACTTTTTTTTCTTCAGTAAATTGATATTGATTTTTTACTTTAGAATATTTTTACAAACATTTAATTTTGATTGAATCCACTTAGATTGCATAATTTTCACATGAAATTCGTGGGGGGAAAAAATCACCAGATAGGTTTTACCAATGAATTGGCTGAGACACATCTGCTGGAAACTACTGTACTTAATGTTAATTTATTAATTTTCAAGATCATTGCTTTATTATTCATACATTTTCGTGTTATTATTTGGTATTTTACGCTGACTCACATTTGTTGTTTTCCTTTATTTATCATTCACGGTAAATGGTCTAATGAGATTTAAATTCGATCACAGCCCCGAAAAATCACTCTCTTTTATTAAAAATTATTACCTGCCTTTTTTTTTTATCCTACCATGAGGCCTTGCATGTGATACCTAAATGTTTTTTCCTACATTTTTGAATTGGGACTTTTATTATAGATTGAGATGTTTATAAATATTTCAGATGCTTGCTATGGCTGTTCTAGATGTTGCTCTGTCCTTGAACACTCAACAACAATGGCTAGCATTCCTGGTATCCAAAGGCTATCTAAGACATATCCTTGACAGCTTGTCCAAAGATGATGAAGAATTACAGAATCTTTTTAACAAAAATTCGAATTCATTCAGAATTTTCTATGTCTTTGAATCAAAGATTGTAAGTTGCCCATTGTTTTATATTTTCATTCATTATTCATCCTTTCATAAGGAATTGAAAGATTTGTCTGTGAATCATTTAAGCCTTGTAGCCAATCATGTAAATTATTATTTGACAATAAAAAGATTTATTAAAAAGAAAGGAGAAAAAAAAAGACTAAACGTGGATGAAAATGGTTTGAAACTTTTAAATTATAACTTTCCATTAGCAGCATGTTAAAGAATTTGCTATTTAAGAAACATATTTTAATTATACCAATTTATGTTTATTTAAGTACAAATATTTTTAAAACTTATAAAACAATCAGTTTGTGCTTATAAATAAAAAGACTTTTTCTGTCATAGAATTATTGTTTTTAAATTTTTTTTATGTCTATGTTTCCTGATCTTCATTTGATATCTGACAAATAGGATCTTAATCTTTATAAATTCATAAATGCTTTAATAAAAACAATTATGGTTTAATGTTTACAATTATTAGTTTGCAATAATTATGTTTTAAATTAAACGAATATCAGTCTTTAATGTAACACTTTTAGCCAATTTTAAAAGTGTTTTATTTCAATATTGATGTGCATAACTTTGTGCAAATTTCAAACAATTTTTCAAATTTGTAAGGATAAAAAAAAGCATGCATAAAAAATAAAAAAATTGCGAAATAGTTTTGACTGAATTTATTTTATAATTCATGTTTACAATTTTTTTCCTGTTATTCTTTTTGATTGTGTGCTTATATTTAAGGAATATATTATGTAGGAATTGTATTATAGTATTCAATATTTTGTTTTAGGCTCTGTTGACTCGAATTGCTTGTTCGACCAGTGGTGCCTTAGCATTATTACGAAATGGTGCCATTCACAGAATGGCTGAGTGTAGAGCTTTAGATTTAAGGCCTGATGCGTTAGTATTCTTCTTTTTTTTTATTTAATACTTATTTTGAAGTATGTTCTTCAACCGATGCATTTTCATGTGTGAACCTGAATCAAACTTGTAAGGGGAAAAAAGCTATACTTTTTAAAATGTTTTTTTACCTCACCCGGCAAGCGGTTTGTGTCTGTAAGCATACCTACTAAGTCTCCTGTTTTTCAACGAAGACTCCTGTATTTTACGACTATCTCCTGTTTACCAGTATATTGGCATATTTCTCCATATTGGTTGAAGAAATTTTTTTTTAAATTTTACCGATAAAATGTTGACTGATGGCAAAAGTACTTATCTTATTCCTCAGGTGGTGCTTACTACAGTATGTTGAGTGTTTATAGTTTAATTATAAATAATGGTTCAGAAAAATCTTCTTTAGATTAAGGTTTATGTGCATATATTTTGCTTCTCTAAATGCAAATGCTTATACGGGGTTCGCACGGTCCTTAAAAACTGCCTAATTTTTATTTTGGAAAATAAAGGGCCCTTAAAAGTACTTAATTTTGGTTTTAAGGTTTTTAAAAGTCCTTAATTTTTTAGCATCACTGGTTGGTAGGAACAATTTTTCATTTTAATTTTTTAAAACAAAACATCATTATTTTATCACTTAGAATTAGACCATGCATCGAGGGTAAAGCATTTTAGAGACACGAAAAGTAATGTATGCTGGGGGAGGGCTACAGGCAAGGGAAGGGAAGGAAAGCATGTCCTTTCATTAATATATTGGTTCTTTCATTAATATATTCTGCCCTTTGCCTAGAATGATGCTCTGTGTGGAGAGAGAAGCATTCTAAAAAACAGAATGATGTGGACAAGGGAAATACTGCGCATGGAAGAGATAGTGCTTTTTTGGAGGTGGGCAGTTTTAAGGTACCTAAGTAGGAGACCCGCAGTAACCTTCAAAATTGCAAAATTCAAGGAATTCAATTCTACTGGTAACGCGTCTGCTTAAAGGAATTAAGTAAAATGCTATCTTTTAACAATCTGAAATTATTTTTTTTTTAATGACACTGGTTTGCAAAATTGCCTGGTAATTCTTTGGTAATTGTTAATTAATACAATTATATCAGTACTCACATTAAAATAAAAAATTTTATTATTATTTGCATTGTAGTGGTGGCATGTGTATATTCGATGATAAACAATCATACTATTTTTGAAGACCCTAATTTTTCAAAAAAAGAACTTAATTTTTGCTTTGTTGAACGAGTGGGAACCATGATATATTATTTTCAATTTTTGAATTACTCTTTTTCACTTGGATAATTATACATGATGTATCAATACTTTACTCGTAGCCTAAAAATTGTTGCTTGTGAAATCTCTGTTATTTTATTTCTCCAGTGTTGTCAAGTATGTGTAAATATCTCTAGATAGATAGGCTCTAGTATGATCTTAAATTTATACTGTAAAATATCTACTTTTAGATTTTTACGATCCATTATGTATAAGACCCCAAATCTGCAGTGCAAAAGAAAAATCGATGTAAGCAACAAAAAATTCAAAATTGAGATTTGTTTGGCATCTCTCTATGATAAATTACGCATTTTCAAAAACAAATTTTGCTTGATAATTTTCTGAAACTCTATTTTAGCTTTCATAGCATTAGCAATAGAAAAAAAAAGTTTTATGGCCTCTTTTCTCAGAATTCTAGTGCAGTCAGGATCTTGAATTATAAATGCTAAACAGCTGCACTTATTAACAGTCCCGAAATGGAAAGGAAAAATTTATAATTTTGTGGCAAAAAAGATTTTACAGACATTTAATTCCTTTATCTTCTTCATTATCAAGGTTTCCACTGGTCAGGAAGAAAAGGGAAGACCTGGAATTGTCTGAGAATTTTATTATAACTCCAAAATCAGGGAAAGTTGCAATTTTTTTTGCAAATACCTGGAATATTCCTATATTAAGTTTGGAAAATAACCAGTCTTAAAATTGTTGATAACAGCAATCAGTTATTGAGATTCGAGTTAAATGATTCTAATATCTATTACAATTATTTGTTGTAAAAATTTCACATTTTAGTCACACTGTTAATAATATTATTATTAATAATATTTTTAATAATAATATTAATAATATTTTTTTCACGGGGTAATTTTATTTTTTCTACCCTGGCTATAAATCTGAATAATTTATTATGGTTTCATAGCAATTTTAAAAAGTGCTTAAAGGTGCTTATTTTCGTTTTTTAAAAGCTCTTGAGGGTGCTTTTTTTATTGAGTGTTTTAAAAAAATTCTTAATTTTCCCTTTTCGAGTTTCCCCACTTATTATGCAAAAGCTTGGTTTTCACATTGTTATATTCAACATTTTCACAATTCATTCAAGCACAATACATTTCGGTTTACTGATGTTTGATGAAATATTTGTGGGTCCACATGCGCACATACTGAGCTGAGTTCAGTGAGATTTTTCCACTCTCGTGTGCAACTCAGCTTCCGGGATATCCTCAAATTCAGGCTTCATTTTCCATCCTCTGAAATCGAACCGAGAAATCTCTTGACCTCTTTAAGGTAGCTAATATAATCAAGAAAAGAGTTCTTCGTCAGAAACTAGTTATTTTATCATGATTATACGAAGTCTTGGGGAAAAAAATTTGCATTTTCTTAATGTATATAGTGCTTAAAAGGTGCTTATTTATTTATTTATTGGAAACAATTGTCTATACACCCTGTTTATTGTGGTTTGTATTATACTTCTTCTTTTTTGTAGATATAATGAATACAAACAGGACAGCAAAAGCTGGATTTCTCCAGATTTAATGAAATGCTACAGTCAAATATTTATGGCAATCATGAAGTTGATATTGTCAATAGCTATGACTCTGGGTTCTTCACATCGGGAAGCATCTTTGCAGGTATACTTTCCCTCTTTCTTTCTATTTTGTGTACAGTTAAGTTTCTCAATTGAAATTAATGTATAAACAATTCAGAATGTGTAGCATTTTTAATTATTAATCTAGAATTAATTAAAAAGTCAGAGAAAGTAAATAAATTGGAGTTTCAAGTACCAAAGTTGGTTGAAGAATTTTTATTTTAAACTTATAGCAAGTTATAAATGTTTTGTTTTGTAATATATTTTGTGTACTAGAATAAAAATAAATAATAAATATATGCCTCTGCTTACAAAAATCTAGGAGATTCACTAAAATCATTCTGAGCATTTATACCCCCTCCCCCTGTTTTAGCATTCTCTTCAGAATTCTTCCAAAGATTCTTCAGTATGAAAATCACCTGTATTATTAGAATAAGCACTGCTAAAGGTATCCTACAAGTTCCATAAATGCAAACAGAAACTATGTGGGAAAAAATTCTATAAAATTGCATTAGGCTAATTGCCTTTTATAGTAGCTAATTTTACTATTGTTATAGATTAGATGAATAAAGTCTTATGTCCTTAATTATTGTTTATTAACATTTTTAGGAAGTGCTCATTTTTTATTTAAGTTTTTTTCATTATTATGGGTTTTTATAAAGTGCTTAATTTTCTATCTTTTAAAAAGATGATTTTTCTTCGCCATGTCCACTGTTGTTCTAAATTACAAAAAATTCATGATTTTTCACATTTTTCTCTGCAATATTTATCAAAAACTAGTTATTTTTATCATGATTATGTAAAAGTTTTGAAAATGTTTAGGAATTTTATTGATTTTATGTTTAATAAATTAAGAACTTTGAACTATAGAAAAAAATAGTTTTTATTACTGCACAGATCCTAATTAATGATTTTTTTGGAAATTAATTAAAAATATTTTTTAAGTGCTTAAAAGGTGCCTTATTTTTTTATTGAAAAATCTGGCTGCACACCCTGCAGTTCTTTGATTGAGTTTTTTTTTTCCATCTCAGATTATGTCTAATGAAATATGTCTGCCAGAAGCAGAATTATGTCTAAGATTCTGTTACAAGACCCAAGTGAAATTACTAAACAAGAAACCTTAATTACTTTAGTCTGAAATAATGCATAAATGCTTAGAACAAAAAAATATTTTTAGCTTTTAAAATGTTTAGTGTGGTTCGGGTATAAATTGCATAGCTGCTGAATTTCTGGATTTTTGTAGGAATTTCCTTTTATTTTTTTTATAGGTAACAAAATAAATGAATATATGCTAGTAGAATCTCTCTTCATAAATCTCTAAGAGAATTATTAACTTTAGAAAAGATCATCGATTCAGAACTTTTAAAGACAACTGTTAAAGAAATGTTGATTATGATTCTTTTTTTAAATTAATGCTAAATTAATGCTAAATTAACTCGCTTTATTTTGTTACTTTTTCAGAAAATATTTACTTTTTATGTGTATATTATTAATTCGAGATTTATGATTATGTTATTACTTATAGGAATGCAATTAATGCTTATTATTGTTTTTTTAACACTATTGTTTTTTAGCTTTTAGAATTTGTTGTTTGCAATGGAGAACTTTTTTCTCATGTTATACGAGATCCATCTAATTTATACAGCCTTGAAGCATTGCAAGAACTCAGCATTATTTCAGCTGTTTTATCTCGAGCCAGCTTTGATGGTGAATTTCTTTTTATTATTTTAGCTATTTTTTATTTTCTACCTATCTTTCTGTCTAAAACATGATACAAATTCATTGAATTATACATTTATAAGTTGTGCTTTATAGTTCTATTTTAAAAGTAATTATGCCACATACATTCTTTTAGTCTTTTATCTGGTATTCTATCTGAGAAAACTTGTGCAAAAGTTTCCTTGCCAAGTAATTTCTCCTTTGAATAACAAACTGGATTTATTCAATGGAGATAATTATTTTGGCAGGTAAATTTTTTGTACAAATTTACCCTCATAGCTCATTAGTCATGGAGTAATCACTGTGGCAGAATTTTTCTGAGCTTTCTGCAACAATTCTGCCTAGTACTAATACCTTTCTAGTACAATTTTAATGGTAGCAAATATCTATATTACTGATGTCGATTAACAGATGTGTTTTCTGTTTATATATATTATATATATATTTATATATATTAAAAAAAAAAAGCCTTCTTGTATGGAATAGAACATTATATATATACAGCCAAGCCCCGCTACAGTAAACCTTCAAGGGACTGAAATTTTAGTTCACAATATCCGTTATGCAGGCAATTTAACTAATGGTTCCCAAACTCCTCCCTTTTATTACACATTATTCAAATAAATGACTGAAAAGTATTATGTAGTGTTAATTTTCATTACTCTTCGTCTTGCATGCAAAAAAAAAAAGGAAAAATAGTAATTTTTAGCTGATGAGCAATCCTCAACATCAGATATAGAAGCACTACCTGACTCTCAGATAATTTTTCCTGAATTTCTGTTATTCCGCTTTTTAAACCTGTCTAACCTGCCATTCGAGCACATAAAAGTAGTCTCATAAAATCGATTAGCAAATTCATCTACTTTAATCCAGATACTGGAAGATTGCGGCTTCTTCGAATGGTGAACCACTTCAGTAATGCTTCTTCAACATCCTTGTGATCTGCTTTTCTCAACTTCTTTCTTCCATCTAAATTTATTTCATGAGCAGAAATTATTAATTACCTATTTTTCAATATGTTACAAATTGCAGATTTGGATAGTTTATAGTCCCTGCAAATATCAACTTGATTGCATCCATTTTCAATTTTTCTGATTATGCCCATTTTATCATCAAGGGAGAAAGTTTTTTTACTGCTCGCCATAGTTAGAGACAGTTGTTTGCAGACATTTTTTAACTGAACTGAGAGCAAAAAGGAGTTAAAATGAGGGCCTTATCAACACATATTAGTGTCAAACCCTTTGACCAATAATGAATAACTCATTTCCTCACTCCCTTTGACCAAAAACTCATTCCCTCTGACAGAAAATGCATATTGATCCCACTGACATCTTACAGGTGCATCATCTGCCTGGGTTGGAAACATCTGCTTGGCTTGTTTGGGAAAGTGAGATAAAAGAAGCAAACAAGAAAAAGTCCTTATCACTACATTCCCCTCTATAGATGGTTTTAAACATTGGTATATGTATTTATTTTGAAGTAGAAATTTAAAAATTATTACAAAAAAAATGAGTCGAAGACCGAAAAAAGCTCATTATATCCATCTTCCTCACTTTTTTGGTTCACTATGTCCACGAAAAATAACATTATCATGTATAGCAAGGCGCGGGACCGAACATTTCGTTCACTATATCCGGAAGTTCACTATAGCGGGGTTTGACTGNCTCACTCCCTTTGACCAAAAACTCATTCCCTCTGACAGAAAATGCATATTGATCCCACTGACACCTTACAGGTGCATCATCTGCTTGGCTTGTTTGGGAAAGTGAGATAAAAGAAGCAAACAAGAAAAAGTCCATATCACTACATTCCCCTCTATAGATGGTTTTAAACATTGGTATATGTATTTATTTTGAAGTAGAAATTTCAAAATTATTACAAAAAAAATGAATAAAAAAATCCGTAGAAGACCGAAAAAAGCTCATTATATCCATCTTCCTCACTTTTTTGGTTCACTATATCCACGAAAAATAACATTATCATTTATAGCAAGGCGCGGGACCGAACATTTTTGTTCACTATATCCGGGAGTTCACTATAGCGGGGTTTGACTGTATATATATATATACATATATCGTGTTTAAAATTTCGAATTAGAAAAAAAGAAGTTTAAGTCATTGTAAAAAAAGATCTTGAAAAGTAAAAATGCTATAAAATGTCAAAAAGTGATTTTTGAATAAATCGGTGATAAATGACCGTTACTGAATTGCGAAGTTGAGTGTCTTAATAACATTGTGTGATTGTATCTAATTTGAAATGTAAAAATATAAGAAACCACATTTTAAAAATAAATAAAAAACGATCATAAAATAAAGTGGCTGCAGAATGGATGAAAATTCAGATTTGTAACAGAAAAATTATTTTATCGATGTGATGAATTTACTTGTTTTATTTGGGTACAATTAGATTGAATTAATTTTTAATGGAACAACATGCAATTCTTGATTAATTTATTTCAGAAATCACTTTCCAACGGGCACAATACCATCGTAAATCTGTATTTTAATAAAATTATTTGATAAAACGAAATTTCTTTCTCACTTTAAATTTTGTAAATGTTACTTTTTTTCATAAAAATAACAATGTTTTATGTACTAACGAAAAAGAAAATTACTCAATGAGAAAAATATTTCAGATAATTTCTTCTTCCAGCAATCACATGTCTGGTTATAAAAAAGTTGTCTTTTTCTCAGATATTAATGCTGGTGGTCGAACTTTTGCAAGCGACCAAAGAGGTCACCTTCTTCTCCTTAGGCAACACATGCTAATGCTGATTCCTCGATTGATGGCTGTCGACAGCAGAGCATCACACTCATCACATCTCAGTCCAGAAATATTAGCTCTAATGAAATTAAGCAGGCTGCAAATTGCATACCATATTTTGGGTTCTTGTTCTAGCATAATGACTAAATCAGGTATGTATCTCCCCTTTCAGTTGGAATTTCAACGGAAATAATCATTTTTAAAAATAATTAAAAACCTCCGTCCATGCTTGCTTCAGCCCTAAGATTGCTTCACAATCATTTTTATTTCTCCTTGTAAAATAAATTTACAGTTGGAATTTTAGCATAAGTAATCATTTAAAAAACAAAACTCTGCTCTTGCTTTCTTCACAATCATTTTTATTTCTCTTTGTAAAATAAGTTTAATTTAAAAATTAAATTTATTCCATTCTGTATTGCTAAGCACTAAGGGCTGTTCTAATATTGTGTACAAGAAGTCAAAATTTGCTATTATTCTAAATTTATTCTAATAGACTATTATTTTTTTATAAAAACATTTTTTTTATCTGTCGAAAATGTTCTTATAATGAAGGTAACTTTTAGTGCTAGTACTGTTTAATGTATGTTTTTTATTAAATTCAAGTTAAAATTTAACTGTGGACAATGATTTTTATGGATTTTTAAATTTGGATACAACTTTAAGTCCAAAATTTTACAATAGCAAAATTGTTTTAGAACATATGGGAAAAATAAATATAGAAATTAACCATTTATTTTTTTATTTGTAGTGGCAATTTTTGAAAATATTTTCTTTTTTTACTATATTTTTGTGTCAATTATTTAATATAATTTTTTATTATCACAAAATATGTACCTTTTAAAAAAACCTAGACAGAACCCTGTAGTTATACTATTAGTTGCTGTTTAATTTTTTTATTGCTTAATTTTTGTTCTTTTAGGAACTGATCCAAAAAATTCAACTATAATCTTTGGACCCTTCGTTGGTGAAGCGTTAACAGTTGATTCATTTAATATGTTGTCAACAGGTTTGTTCTAATATTATTGATTTCCATGACTTCCTTTAAATTTCTGTTTTATTCATTTTTTCCCCCAACAGTGATTTTTTATGTGTTTATCAGAAGAATTGGCTTTTTTTAGCAGTATAGTAATTGTTCACTCTTCATAAAAAAAATAATAATTTTTCAAATAACTTTGAGGGAAGATTTTTTATTTGTTATCTTATCGGGATTTGCAAGTTTTTGATAATTGACGGTTTTATCCCGTTTTAACCATGGTTTTAATTGTCCTGTACAAAATCAAGCATTTTGGTTTAAGGTAAATATGAATTGTAAATCTGAAATTATTTTTAATTAAGCATGCCTTGAGCAAAAAAAAAAAAAAAAAACGGATCACCATGAATAACTTTTGATCTAATGATCAGATTTTTACATTCTAGGATTCAATCATAATGGTTTGTGGGGGTGGCCTCAAATATGCTAATTAATAAGTGCAGATAATATTTTAAGTTACTAATTCAGGCATAAAAATGTACTTCTCTGAATCAACATACCTTTTTTTTCCGACCGAGTCTGATTTCTGACCCCCAAAATATAGGGGGTAGCCATAATCTAGGAAATAGGCTCTCAATAGTTAGGTCAAGAGAGCACTCCAAAGTTCAAAAGAAATTTTCTGGATTTTTGAGTTAGGCTCACAATCACCAGTGGATATATACAATTTAAAGTGCTATCAAATGTGAAATGGTAAAGGAATTTGCACAAGCACTTTTAAAAAACTCTGATGTGAAAATTCTTGAAGGTGAAAAGGGAATACATAATTTTTCCCTTTTTTTGCCAGATTATCTTTCACTTTGATGTTAAGAAAGTAAGAATCTCTAGCAAATAATTTCTGATTTTGTACTTAGTTTCAACATAACCTGGATGTTGAATTTTGCATCTGGTACACTCACAGCATGATGCTTGCACTTATGCACAGGCATGTACTTTTTTTTTTTGAATGAATGTCATAACAAATTGATGCATAACAGGGTGCATAGTGTGTTTAAAAATTCCTTAAAGGTGCTTATTTTTTATTAACATTTCTTAAAAACTCTTAAAAGTGCCTTTTTTTTTATTCGGAGTTTGTAAGAAGTGCTCAATTTGCTCTTTTAAAATGAGATTTTTTCTTTGCAGTGTCGATTTTCTTTCTTAATTACAAAAAATATGTAATTTTCTACAATTTTCTCTGCAATATTTAACAGAAACTAGCTATTTTATCATGATTATAAAGTTTTTGAAAATATTTTTGAATTTTTTTGAATTTATGTTTATGATTTAAGAACTTTAAACGATAGATAAAAATAATTTTTATTATTACGCGGATCCTAATTATAATTTTTTTCAGGAAAGTGATTAAAAATGTTTTTTGAGTGCCTAAAAAGTACTTAGAAGGTGCTTATTTTTTGTTGAAAAATCTAGCTATGCACCTTATATAATAGACACTAAATATATGTTTACCTAGTAAATATATATATTTTATTACTTGACTTTAAATCTTGTTTAATTGATAGTCATCCAACTGTAAATTCCTAGGTTTCCAAAAAAGAAGTGGCCCCGATTTGGGTCTTCTTATAAGACTTTTGTACCAGTCTGCAACTGAACTCCAAATCAGCACTGGTGAACAAAAACTAATTCATCATAGGCTTCAATCTATAGCTACTCTAACAAGTGATGAACTTAGTGAGGTAATCAATTCCATTGCTCTTAAATATATATACATACCTACCTACCAACTTATATGCTCTTTTAGAAAGATTTTACGAAGTGGTAGTAAAGTTTTGAAAACAAAAAGTACCTAAGTTTTGAAAACAATACTATCCAGACATCTATGAGCATCATTAGCCAACAAATAGATTTGATCAACATGATTTTTTAAATTATTGATTCCCTGTTGTAGTAAAAAAAATATTTTTGAAACTTGAAGATTTAATGTGCCTAAACACTAATGTTGCTGCCTCTAAGAAAATAATTTCTCAATGGCTTTACAAGTAGGCAGCTATGTATATATAACTATGGTATTTGTTTGTATGAATGAATAATTTACAAGATTTCATTGCTTAAAAAAATGAAATATGCTATGGCTGAATCGCTTAGAACAGTTTAGTTATGCTATAGAAAGTTTGACTTTGTACTTGGCCACTCTATCATTTTGTAACTACTATACTATACTATGTTACCTGTCATACTATGTTACCTTAAACAGGTAAACAAAAGAAAATCCAATAAAAATGGAGTGTGTTCTTTGCGAATAACATTAGTGAATTAGTGCTTTTTGATCTTGTCGATTTTTCTAAAAACAATCTTAAATGGGATATTTATTGATTTAAATTATAATGACCATGATTAGTCTTTCTCATACACTAATTTGTCTTTATGTGTTATCCAGAAGTTCCCTTGTCTTCTGTGTTGAGTTTAAAATTTCTAAGACATGAAGTTTTACCTTGATAGCCAGAAACCCAAAAATGAATCCACTGTTCAATGGTTATAATATGAAATAAAATAATTACTAATCTTTATTTTTTACGAATATTTAATACTATGTAATCAAAAACCCCTTTAAATTATTATATCCGTTGGTCTGTCCAAGGCAAATTTACTCCTTTTTAGCGTACTTTCACAAATTCAACTTTAGGAAAAACAGTAGTTTTACAAAATACTTTTAAAAAAGCAAGTTCTTATGCAAACCGTGTTCTCGTTGCAGTCTATGGAAAGGAGAAGCTTTTCTCCCAGCTGTCTTTTAAGCAAAGGTAGCAAGTGTTTGGTCAGATAGTGCAATATGGTAATCCTAACTGGTTGCTTACACCGTAACAAAGCGAGATTTTTTTTAAAATTGAACAACGAGGCTCTGTCTTCACACAAAGTTGAAATTCAAACATTGTTCTAAAAATTTGAGCATTTTCTTAAACTCTATTGTAAATTTATTCTAACAGACCTTTATTTTTTATGTAAATTTTTTTTTTTTTTGTGAAACTTTTTTGGATATTTAAAAATTGAAATGTTCTCATAATGAAAATAACTTTTAGTGCTAGTACTGTTAAATGCATGGTTTTATTAAATTCAAGTTGAAATTTAACTATGGACATTGAGTTTTATGGATTTTTAAATTTGAATATAATTTTAATCCCAACATTTTACAATAGCTTACTTATTTTTGAATATATGACGAAAATATATAGAAATTTAACAGTCATAAATAATTTTTATTTGTAGTGACAAATTTTGAAAATATTTTCTTACTTTACTATATTGTTGTGTTGATTTTTTAATATAATTTTTAATTTTCACAAATTATGTCTAAATTTTCGCAAAATAGGTACTTCTAAAAAAAAACCTAGACAGACCCCTGATATCAATAATTTGCCCCCAGAGCAGTATTAACACAGACAAGCATGCATTTTTTATCAATTCTTCTAAATTTCTGGATATTCAATTATCTGCATTATATCCCCTGTGGCAGAAACACGGCGACACAGCGACATTGTCGCAGAAAGCGACTGAGTTCTTGCAGAAAGATTTTTTTTTTATTTGGGAAATACAATTTTTTGGTTTGCCACAAACAAAAGTTCTCCAAAAATATTCTGCAGAAACAAAAGCTGTTTTACCAAAAAAAAAAAAAAACATCTACAGAAACAAAATATTTCTGCAAAAGCAATAATGGTTCTGCAAAATTTTTTCTTACAGAATTGTTTTAAATATTTTTTTTTCGAGCGTACCGCGGAAGGAGAAAGCACTCGTAATTCTCCGTTAATCTCCAACACAAACAGTTACTGGATAAAAAGGGGAGAATTTTTTTCCCCTTTATTAAGCTATTTTTGGAAATTTGCCACCTTCGGCCTCTATCGCTGGCGCGGTAATTTGCTTTGTGTTTTCTTATTAGAGCAGAGTATTTTATATTTTTTGCACTTATGTGGAAAATTTTATGCGTAAAAAGATTTTTTTTTTTTAAAAAAATCATGTCTAGATTCTAAAAATCAAGGTTATTTGTTGCAATTGTGAAGCCACAATAATTAAAGCAAATTTGAAAACTGATTTTTCAAGGCGGCATTCCGAAGAAGAAATAAGATGGAAGTCGACAACATCTAGCGATGTCAGAGATTTTTTTTCCTGAAAAGCGACAGGAAAAGAAGCTTCCCACGTTACTAATATTGAAACAAAAAAAAAGTTCTAGATTCGAATCAAATATTCTTACTAGTAGCGATATCGTTAGTAAGGATGAGACAGCATTTCAACAAATCAAGAAATTTTAGAAGCAGTAAAAAGTAAAAAATTACTATATATATATATTTTTTAAAGATAAAATGCCTATATCCTTTGAATTAAGTCGTCGATAAAAAAGAAGAAGAAAAAGAAAAATCGCAATCTAACGATAAATGAAATAAAGCCTGAAAGATATCTCACTATCTACGATTTTTTGGCATGCGAATGAAAACCAGATGGGTGGAAAATATTTACTGGTGAAACACTTTCAAACAGGTTTCCATACACATGCGAAAAAAATTGCATCCAATGAGTATGGCTCTAATACCGCTGTTTCAGTACTGATAAAGACTATTTCTTTTCGAGATGTTGAATAGACTTGAGCATATTGAGTAGGAAACCGCTTCTGCATACTTCGTGTGGAATCAATGCTATATATTTACACAATACAATGCGAAATCACAAGCGCTGTGTATTTTTTTCGTTCTGAACTTAATCTGATCACGAAAAAAGTCTTGTTTACCTCCTTTTTTTTAAAAAAAAATCTTTCAATAAGTCAGTACAATATTAATCGAATCTAATTAATCTATAATTAATTAGAGTAGAAAAAATTGAAACAAACATTGCTTTATTTTTTTTTTGCTTTTAGAATTCGGTTATAGTCAATTCTATTTTATTATTTTGTTTACTCAACTTCAATATTAATTTTTTCACCTGATTTGTTTCTGTACCTGATATAACTACTACAATAAAACATTAAACCATACTGTTTTAAACTGCTTTAATAATTTAATTTTGATACTGTTTTAAACTAATACTTCAAATTCAGTTACCTTGTTTTATAATTTTAATTTTTTTGTCCATTCTTAGCTATTTCTATAAGTTCTGTCTTATTACAGGTTCTGGGTAATCTTTATTTATGCTCTAGTAAGCATTTTTGTCTGCAGATCTATACATTTATAACTTTTCATTATTATCGAAGATTATGCAAATTTATACTTAAACAATTTAAACTTATTAAGAAATGTAAACTTATATTATGAAATTAAGAAAAAAAATCTACACAGTTTTATTCTATGCATGTAGACTTATTTTATAAACACGAATTTCATCTATTATTATAAATTCATTACACATACATTTATAACGATAAAAATGTCTTGCAGAAAGGTATTGGTTCTAGTTAGGTTTGTCGCAGAAAGTCAGAAAAAATTCTGCCACAGGGATCATATCCTAAGACAGTTTTTATGTGTATTGATAGAGTAGAATGTCAAGATTTGTAAAAAAAATTGCGGAATTTTTAAGGAATTTAAGACAATTTTAAGGAATACATTAATTATCATAACAGTGTTATTTCATGGTCTGCTATGTTAGTTTATTTGGTATGTATTTAAGAAACAAGAAAAAATATTTTTTTAATTACATTTGATTTCTCATAGGTGCAATATCATTAGCAAGTTTTGTCAGAATCACATCTGCTTTTGTTAAAAATGATTTACTTTTATTAAGTAATAAAAGCAGAAAGTTGTATATTAACAGAGTTGCCACTCTACAGGTAGAGCAAGGAAAACCTGTAAAATACGGGGAATTTAAAAATCACCTAAAATAACAGAGAGTTTTATTTCCGATTTATGAAGCAGATTGAAGCTTTCTCTTTTTACAAGTGATGCATTTTTGATAATTATGTTGGCTCTTCTTTTAACTGTTTCTGTTTTTGGTCATTTTGAAGTATAATTTTTATTTACGTTGCTTAATAAGCTTCCCTTGTATTTTATAATTTTCTTTTTTCTTATAAATTAGATATGAAATTTATTGCGTTTTTTTTTTATCTTTAATTTTGTTTTATATTAGTTCATTTGGTGATTTTAACACATTTTTAGTTTATTGTAATTTGGTTTTATAAAATTTGATGTAGTTTTGCTGAGCTTTAGTTAAATGAACAACTTCAATTAATTTATACATTTGTATTTAGTATTAATGTCAGTTTTTTTCTTTTTTAATATTTTTTATTGAGTTTGTGATTTTAGCATCTTAATTTATGTTTTTTTTTCTATTATTCATCTTATTTATGATTCATTTTTTTTTTTGGATGGAAAATCTTAACAGATTACATTATTCTTTAAAGTTTTTGTCAGTGGATTACATACAGATTATTTGTATAATATTTTTATTTTTAGGATAACTTAGTTGTTTTATTTTATTGATTAATAAGTTCCCCCTTAATCTTTCATTTTTTTGCAGTTTTGTTTCATATTTAAAATGTTTTATGGATGGTGTTTTCAATATAAATGTAAACAACAAAAATCTCTTGCCCTTTGACCTGCTTTACTTCCGGTTAGAAAGTATACTGCTGCTTACTACAGCTTATTCTGTGAGGCGATTTTTTTTTCAAACAGATTGTTTTTTGTAAAAGAAATAAATGTAGTAATTTCTAAGCTCAAATCTGATATAATCCTACGATATTAAGTAATTCTGGTAAATTCGAAGTGAAAATTTGTTTGAATTATTTATTAAGGTATTGTTAAAAAGGGCGACATGGGGTTGCTAGATTTAGAAAGATCTTGCTTTTTTGGTTGCCCAGATTTACTTGTTTATTACTGTTTGTTCTTGTTGCAAGCCGTGCACGACCATACATTAGTGTTAGCATACTCTTCGAGCAGCGAGATTAAGTTCATTTTACAAATTATCATTTAGGTTTAAATTTCATATTCTGTGTATTGTTAACAAAGAAGTGTTTTATAAAGAATCTTTTTTCAAATAACAATTTTTACCTCTTGAAATGACAATAAACACAAATAATAAATCACAAATACACGTAAACAAGAAATACTACTCAAAATTTTCAAAACTCAATGATCACGTTGTGAGCCAAATATCTTCAAAACACACCAAAAACAGTAAACTGGAAGTATAGGCAGTCAAGAGCTTACAGCACTCTATAGTGTGGAAAACACCATTCATTTTTCTATTTCATAGCTAAGGAATGAAAATATTACATTTTTACCCATTGGCAAAATGGGTGTTGTTTATGGTTTGATGGCGTGCGCACATTATTTGGACGTCATCACTCTTTTCAACTGTATTCAAGAGTAATAGTATACAGTGTGCATGCTTCATCGTTGCATGTGTTGCCATGGCAACCGCTGCTGTTTGATAATTTTTTTAGATTTTTTTTTCCACTTTTAATTTTGTTATGCATTAAGTTGGTGAGTTTATTTTTGAGATATAGAGCCAGAAAGATCCGATAAATACTTCTTGAGGTGTGAATAAAAGAAAATTTCATCATTTGAGCGATATTTTTGTTTTTATTGTTTTAATGAAGAATCAGAAATTTTAACCTACAATTCAAACTGGATTGTTTTCAATTCTAATTCAGGTGAAGATCATAAATGAAGAGGGTTAAAAATAAAAATAAAAAAAACCAATTGACAACAACCATTTTGTCATTTGCCTGTGATTGCCTTTCGGCTGTCAGATTTTTTTTTCTTTTTATTTCGAATTAATTTTACAGTGATTAGTTGTTTATATAGATGGCTTTAATTTTTTAATGTAAAGGAAAAACTAATCACAATAAGATTATATTTTATTTATTTGTTTTTGTTTGTCTTTAATAGAAAGCATTGTTTTAATTATTCATTCTATTTGATTTAACTTAAGTAATATGGATTAACCTGAAGTAAATATGGATTGTTTATATGTTTGCCAGTTTCTTTTTAAGATAATTTGGGTTTAAGAATTTTTTTTTTTTGTTTAATTTTATTTATTTATCTTTTTAAGTTAGAAGTTAGTATTGCTCAATTAAGTGTTATAATCTGTTATATGTTCTATTAAATATGATTTCACTTCAATTTTACCCACACTGGCTTTATGCTGCTATGGTCATGCCATAATTCTAATTCCCATTTTTATTAAATATATATTTTGCTGAATTTTTTTTTCTAAAACCCTGGAATTTTACTACTTTAGAAAATCGGGGGTAATTTCTTCATATTGTGTTATATATTGACAGGGCTCCCTCGGGCCAGGGAAAACTTGGAATTGTCATGGACTTTTATTTTAACTCCAAAAATCAGGGAAAATTGCAGGTTTTTTTTTTTTTTTTTNTTTTTTTTTTTTTTTTTTTTTTTTTTTTTTTTTTTTTTTTTTTTTTACAAAACCATGGTATACCTGAAAAATAACCAGTCTTAAAATTCTTACTAACAGTAATCAGTTATTGAGATTTGAGTTAAATAATTCTAATATCTATTACAATTATTTGTTATAAAAATTTCACATTTTAGTCAAACTGAAATTTTCCCTTCCTCATTTAGTAATAATTTTTTACACAGAAAGTCTTAACATTTCATGTTACTAATGAAAGAATCAAACTTTTCTGATGAAAATATGGTTTCAATTTTTATTGAAATTTACCTGGTGTACCTGAAAAAGTCAGAATTTTTTTTTTCTGAAATTGAGTGGGATCCCTGATTGAATGTTTTTATTGTCTCATGTGCAGTTATTTAAATCTTATATTTTTTTCTCCTCAATTAGTACTTGCCATCATTTGTTATTGAAGAGCAACCAACCATTCAACTTCAACGAGAACTGGCCAAGTCTTCTCTTCAAAAGTTGATAGAACTTAAATCAAAGGAAATATCTGTCTTATCGTGTATCCTTTTTCTTTGAACTTATAAACTCAAATATTGATTTATTGGGCCATTCTGCACATAGTAAAAAATTTCAGGGGTAAACCAAATGTCGCCAAATGTTAACATAAAAATTTATTTTTGTCATTTTTAATTCAAAAAATTTGCCAACTTTTTTTTAAGAATAATTGAAGTTATTTGGATTTGTGAAGAAAAAAAATATGACTCCCGATGCTAATGAAGAAGAAAAAGAAGATTTGTAACAGTTAGAGAAAAACATCTCTAACATCAGTTGTTGAAAATATTGAAACGTGTGCTGCTGTGGATTCAAAAATTGATTTCAAAAGAAGAAGAAAAGCTAAGTAATGCCATTAAAGGCCAAAAAGCAGAACCTCGAATCCTGAATGTGGAGTTTGCTGTACAATGCGCCAGGAATACCTCCCTGAATAACTTTTGATCTAATGATGTGATCTTTATGTTCTATTGTTAAATCTTAAGGATTCGAGAGAGTGGCCTCAAATATGCTAACTAATTAGTGCAGACGATATTTAAAGTTACAAACCTAAACACAAAAACATGCCTTCTCTTGACATTCATAGACATGCTTTTTTTCACCGGATTTGGTTTCTGATCCATAAGATATAGGGGGTAACCGCCATCTGGGGAATTTAAGAGAGCACTCAAAAGTTTGGACATTTCATGTTTTAAAGAATGTAATTTTATAAAGCGGAGTACAAAATTGGAGCAAAATCGGTTGAATAACTCCTGAGGAATTGAATTTCAAAAAAGTCAAATACTTAAAATTCAATTTCTCAGGAACTATTTGTTGCTTAAAATATTGCTCAAATTTCGTACTTTGCTCTATAAAATTGCATTCCTTAAAATGCTTCAAACAATTTTATACCTGTTATATAATTCATTTGACCATTCTAAAATAAAATAATGAAAAACAATTTTATACCTGTTATATAATTGATTTGACCATTCTAAAATAAAATAATGAAAAATAATAAATATTTCTGAATGTTATTTTTTGCATGGAATTATTTTGGATAAACAAATTTTATAATTGTGTGTAAAAAATTTTCGATTTGCTTAAAAAGTTCTCAAATTCGCAAAAAGTAAAATTAACCTGAAGGGGTCCAAACTATGGAATGCTGTCCTGACCAACTATTGGAACCACATTCCCCAGATTGCGACTAACTCCATATCTTGGGGGTCAGAAATCCAAATTTGTCGGAAAAGAAGGCATGTTTATACAGTGATAGTACATTTTTGTGTTTAGGTTCGTAACTTAAAATATTGTCTGCTCAAATTAAATAGCATATTTGAGATCACCTCTTTGGACCATTAAGATTGAATCATAGAACATGAAGATCTGATCATTAGATCGAAAGTTATTCAGAATGGTCCTTTTTCTTTAGTTACTGTACATTATATTCATATTAACTTATAGAAAATGAACAACAAACTATTATATGGTGCGTATCGTTTTTAAAAAGTGCTTATTTTTGTGTTTTAAAAAACCTTAAAAGTGCTTTTTTTATGGGGTGTTTTTAAAATGTACTTAATTTACTCTTTTCGAAAATGAGATTTTTTTTCTTTACCATTTCGATCTTAGATGCATATTATGCAAAAACGTTGTTTTCACATTGTTCTATTCAACGTTTTCACAATTCATTCAACCACAATCCATTTCAGAGTAACTTCAGTCCATAACGTGTAATAGCACTAATCATGTTGCATGTTTGATGAAATACTTGGGAGTCCACATGTGCGTCTACTGAGCTGGGTTTGGTGAGATTCTTGCTCTCTCATGTACAACTCTGCTGCATTTTGCAAGATATTCTCCAATTTCATTTTTTACCCTCTGAAATGGAACCGAAAAATCTATTTATCTTTTAATGGTGGCTAATATAATCAAGAAAATTAGTTCTTTGTTAGAAACTAGTTATTTTATTATGATCATGTAAAGTCTGAAAACTATTTTGCATTTTATTAATGTATATTGCATGGCTCTTAAAAATATTTTCGAGTGTGTAAAAAGCACTTTAAAGGTGCTTATTTTTTATTGAGAGATTTGGCCATGCAGCCTGCTTCACAAGTGTCGAAAATTCTTTATTTGTGCAGACAAGAAAGAAGAGGGTTCAAACCAAAATTTCCAAATATGTTAAATTAATTAATATGCTTTTTTATTGTACATATTTATGCATTAAGTACAATTATGTTATTTAATGGCTTTTTCTTAATCTATGCTAGATATAATTGAAACTTCTGCTTTTCTTCTTTTGAGACATTTAGAATACTATTTCTTTGCTTTTAAAAAAGAAAGCAATTCTTTCACAGCTTCCAGCAAGCCACTACAACAGATTCGCCGTCTACAAGGTTTGTTTTGTTGTTAGTCAATATGTTAACTATATTCTGATTAAAAATGTAGCTTTGTTTTAAGGTTTTGGAATTAAAACTAAACTCAGTAGCGCGACAGTCCATAGAAGGCCAACGCCTACTGTGCCCATCTCAGTTTTTTTTACCTTGGGCTCTGTTGTGCAGCAGCAGATGTTCCGGTCAGGTGGTCAGCCAAACGAGGAACCCCCAGTGTTTAGTTTCCCAAGCATGCTTAATACTCGTTTATCAACTCACTAAAGAGATGAGTCAACCTTGCCCGACCGAGGATCGAACCCCGGACCTGTGGCTCAAAACGCTACCACTCAGCCACCGGGCATCAAAGTTTCAATATAAAGAAATGTGTCTATAACATTTTTTTTTAACATTCATGCGAACCATTTAACTGTCAGTGCATCGTATTGTTGTACCCAAATATATGTGGTGAGAAGTTTATTGCAGCTTTAACTCTTTGTCATACCTGAATCTGTCATGGGAAAAATTAATTTGGATGCAATTTACATAGCTGCTAACTATACTGGATTTTCCAGTAGACTACTGGATTAGGCCAGTTTCTCCTGGTCTACTGGTTTAATTAAAATTCACCTGGTTTTTGTATATTTCAAAAAATTCCCTAAAATTGAGTAAGTTTCCTAAAAGAATCCTTATTAAAATAGAATTTTCGTACAGATTATTGCTTGAATATTTAAATAAGTATTAATAATTCATAATGATGCGAACCTCATTTGTAAAAAATAGTTCAAAACTTTTCCTTTCGTTCAAAGATGTTCAGTTTATTTTTATTCAAAACTCTCTTTTTAAATTCATTAAAAAAATCTTTTTACTATCTTTGAAGAATTAAATGCCTATTACTATTCGAAATTATAAGGGAACATAATCAGGGCCGGATTAACCTATAGGCACACTAGGCACGTGCCTAGGGCCTACGAAAAAATTGGGAGAAAAAAATTTGTTGACAAAAGTAATTTAGCTTTAAAAACAACAAATGTATTTTGCCCAAAATTATGTGGATACAAATTAAAATATAATATTTTTCGGTAATAAATTATTTTGCAGAATCTTATTATCTAATATATTACTTTTTTGCAATTTTTGGATTCAACAAAATCTTGTATTTTGCTGTCGAATTCCAAACTACGCAAAATGTCGTATTCAAATTAAAATCTATATTAATAAAAATATGGAAGAAAATTTAGCATATATTTTGGAAAGAGGGGAGGAGTGGGGGAAGGAGGGGAGGGCCCAGAAACGGCTGTGCCTAGGGCCTACGAAAGGTATAATCCGGCTCTGAACATAATACATAACATTTCAAGTATGTTTAATGTCAATCATAACAGGGAAATATTGCAGTTTTTCTATTTTGATGACTATAAAAATCCTTAAAATCCCCTATGTGTAAAATATTTAGTACATACATTATGCAACAATTATGAAATTTTATATTTCGTAGACTCTACTAGATTTTTTTCTATCCGTGTTGGCAGCTGTAAATTTAGAACTATAGATGGCAGCACCGTACTGAGGGTGTCAAAGGATAAAGGTTAATGTTCAAAGGGGGCAGAATTTTTTTGTTGCGCAATGACGTCCAGTTCTTTGAAACGTTATATGGATTATTTTTTTAGAAAATTATTACTACTTTTTTTTGTTGCAAATTTTAGAAAATAATGCTCCCTTCGAAGTTATTTTTACCAGTACCATGCTGTGTGGCAGCTGCCTCTAGCAAATATAAAGTGGCTACAAAACCTTAAAATTTTTATGCATCTACTAATTCAAAATATCGCTTTTTAACTACTAAGTGTATTTTATTTTGTACTAAACATTTGATTTTTGCAATAAAAAACAATTGATAATTTATGTATCCAAATCATCAAAATATCTTGATACTTAAAAGGTTAACACTAATAATAGTTTTTGACTGTTGAAGAGATTTCAACTACTACATATTCTCTATAGTTTTTTTGAACTTCGGAAATTATAACCATCTGATTTTGAACTTCCTCATGAAAACTTACGGTAGTTTCACAGCAGTAGTATTTGCTAGCTCAATTATTGATAAAAGAGAAAAATTTTTAGAAAAAGTATGTTTTTTTTTAAATAAGAAAATATTTTTTGAATAAATTCTAATTTTTAAAAGCATTTAAATATCTAAAATATGCTATTTGATGTAAAAATTTAGTGCTGAAACATATACATAAAAATACCACCAACTTCACTGAATGGATCATGGTATATGACAAGTCATTTAATAAAATTTTAGTCATATTATTGAAAATTTTTTGTTCTTATTTAGGCAACTATTTTCATAGTCTTTGGGAACTATTTTCATTGTTTTGGCGACTATTTTCGTGTGTTAGGCTACTAAAAGCAACTATTTTGTTAATTTTTTTCTGTGGCAACCCTGTATTGAAAAACGAAAAATAAGGGGGGGGAATTAACTGTTTATAATTATTTACTTTTTTTTTTAATTATATACTATTATCATCCCATTATCCCAAAATTGTTGAGTAAATAATGTGTAAATTGATTTCAGATGTTGAAGGAAGTGCTGGTGATAATTTTGTAGAAAAGTTTACAGATGTCTTTCAATCTCTCCCCTCTCACTTTGATTTTGACAGTTTCAAAAACGATGTCCAAACAACACTCGGGGAGCCTTTCTTCCGAAAATTAAAACCAGCTGAACAGGTAATCAGATAGTTTTAACATTTTTACGCTTTTTAACCTCATTAATTTAATGATCAAAAGAAGTCATTAATTTTTTCACACCTAATTACTCATTTTAATTAATTCTCTTTGGAGATATTTTGCAAAGGAACAATAATACGTGTGACTGTAAGGTCACAGTATTCTTTTTCAGAGATATTACATAACTGCCAATTGACTGAAAATTATATTTTAGTTCCAAAAATATAATTTTTGCTCAAAATGTTCTGATTTTTCGGTATTCTAGCGCCTTTTTACCCCTTATGCCGATTTTCTTCCAGCCCGGGACCAGTCTAAAAATTAGACGCAGGGTATGTGACTTTTCCGCGAATATCACAGAATTCTTCATATCTCAAGACCATTAAATTTTAAAAGTTACTCTTTGCGATTCGTTTCTCACGTCATTTAAAAATCATACATCAATATTCCTATTCACGCAATTTAAAAATCCAATATCGCGATTTATTTTTACGTGTTTTTAAAATCCAATGTCGCTGCTTGTTTTCCCACGTTTTTAAAATCTGATAGTATTACGATTCTTATTCACGGAGTTGTAATATCACACATCTATTTTCGTATTTATACGTGATTTGCGATTCGTATTCTCGCGACCTAAAGATTACGCATAATAATTCATATTTACGCATCTAACATTGCGATTCATATTCACACAATTTTAAAATTTAATATCCCAATTCATGTTCATGCTATTTTAAAACCCAATATCATGTTCCTTGTAAAAACTAGGTTTTTTCTGGAATTAGTTGTTATGAAGGCGTGATATTCTTCATTAGTAAGTAATTTAATTAAAACCATTAGTTTGAAAAATTACGTTAAATATAAAACGTTCGTGGTTTATAAATTGATATTTCGATATGGAAATCTTGATTTCTGAAACTTTGTTTTCCACTTTGTATCATAATTAACCCTGATTACCTTACCATTCTTTGTGTTCCTATTTTTGTTTTTAACAAGTTGGCAGCTATGGATATTGATATTAGGGGAAAAAAGATTGAGTGATAATCCTGTATAAAAGAATGCACAGATATAGATATATTCTGGCAGTTAAATTAAATTTAAGGAGCTCTTAAAAATAACTTAATTTTTGTTTAAGAGAGGGAAATAAATTACATGCAGATGTAATTGATGATTATTGTTTCTCTTTCCAGTATTTAAATGAAGATCGAAGAAGCCAAACCAGCTTTTTAGAAGCTATTGTTAATCGCCTGAAGAGACTTGTGAGAATTCAGATTAGGTGAAAATGGACTAGTTTTTGAATTTTAGTGATCTATTAACATGATTCTTTCTACTGTACAGCATTTTCAAACATTAAAACAGATGTTGCCTCTTTTTTTAGTATAAAATAAATATTTTTTAACATTAGTCCTCAATTAATTTTCGTGAAGAGTCATGAATTCGAATAATTTTTACTCGATGGTGTTTTCCTGTCAACGGATACTAATTGATGTTTTTCTAGGAAAGGGAACATTTCATGTGTTTTATTGTATACTCCAATGTTCTTTCCTTTACTGCAGATTAACATATTAATTTTAAATCCAAAAGTGTTATGAGATGACTGCTTACATTTAGAGTGGTTTTAGCTGCAATATCAGCGCGGTTATACCCTTTTCCACGGACAAGATAGATACCTCCTCATCAGGGTGTTAATTGAATTGAGACAAAAAAGCCCTCACTAGTAAATGTATCAACAAGGGAGAAGATTAGTTATTACAAATGTAGGCAACAAAAATAATCAGAGATAATCTAAAAATATAACTACTAATCAGAGTTTCAAAGTAAACGAAATAAGGTTCGATCATTAGGTCAAAGTGAGAGCTGGAACTCAAAACAGAACCATCGCAAGGTAGGTACTTTTTTTTTTATCTCCATAGTTGAACAGCCGACCCAATTTTTGGGTTTACGACAACCAATGTTCAACTTCGTAGCCTTGTAATTTTAAACCAATTCGGAAAACAAGGAAACTCCTGCATCAAGTATTGAGAGAAAGTTGCCTTTGTGGAGAACTTTTCGATGGAATTAACCCGCATTTGCGTTACATGGAGAGGAAGACTACGAGAACCTCCCACAGTTAGCCTGCGTGCAAGGGGACTCTAAGCCATGATCCATCTACCACTGATGATATTTCACGTCAACACTGGTCGTTGCCAGCTGGTGCGGAATTCGTATCGACCATCCATCAGTGGGATTCGAACCCGGTTCACCTCATAGGAAGGTGAACTCTCTATCCCCTGAGCTATCACAGCTCAAGGTAAGTACACTGGTGGACAAAATTAAGAGATGGAAGACATTTTCCCAAATATCTCAAAAAATACTGAATATAAATAAATGAAATTTGGTATGGATATAGCTTATTCCATGATAATAAAGTATGCAAAACAAAAATGAAAGTGCCATTCACTGGCAAGACCTATTGCCAATAAATCCAATGTAGTCTGAACTTAAGGATAAAAGATGACAATAAAAGTGAGGCTTGTACAGTGTGTGTTGCCTCTAGTATGGTGTATGGTCACCCCTGACAGACAGAGAGACAGCATGCACAACGAGTATGCATGCTGTTAATAAGGGAGTTAAGGAGGACTTGTAGAAGACCCTCCCATTCTTCCACCAGAGCAATTTTTAACTCCAGAATGGTTCTGGGGGGAGGTTGGCGCATCACAATAGCTCTCCCAAGAGCATCCCAAGCATGTTCAATAGGATTCTGGTCAGGGATATTGGCTGACCAATCCATTCGTTGAATATCCTCGCTTTCCAGATACTCATCAACCCTGAGAGAACTATGTGGTCGCGCATTGTCGTCCATAAAAATGAACTCAGGGCCAGCAGTCCCCCTGAAGAGACGCACATAGGGCTCTAGAACCTCCTGCCTGTACCTCTGGGCATTCACGAAACCATTGTCAAACACATGGAGCAGTGTGCGGGTATCTGGCATGTGCGAAAATGTTTTCATCTCTTAATTTTGTCCACCTGTGTACTTTATTTATGTCGCACTGGAGCTTCACAATGGGCTATTGGCGACAGTGCTGTGAACATCCCTATGCAGGGCTCTCAAGGTACTTGAAAGTCCTTGAATTCTGCCATAGGGTACTTGAAAAGTACTTGATTTTTTAGGATTTCAAATACTTATCTTTCTTACAAAAAAGCAGAAAAAAAATAATAAATAAATTCAAAGGAAGATTATAGAAATTCTGATCGATGCAATTTTTAATGCTTGAAGTGAAAAGGGGTTAAAGTAGATGCAAATCTTTTCTCTCCTAGATTTTCACACCAGATTATTGTTCATCTCTGATGTTTTGAAAGCTGAAATTTCTAGCAAATTTTAGGTTTTGAAATCATAGTTTTCGAATGATATATAATGTTTAATCGATTTGGAAATATGTTCAATGTGTTAAATTCGTTATTATGATAGGTTAATATTGTTATCCTATTTGTTCTTTTAATTTATGATTTGTTCTTTTAATTTATGAACGAAGGATAATTAATTTTTATCATTTATAATCAAATTTTTGCATTTAGTTTTTACTGCTAATCAGGGTTTGTATTTTTTTTTTTTAAAAATTCAAATACACTGTAAGAATTTTGATTTATGATTTGAAAAAACTTTATGAATGCTTAATCAAAATTAAATTAAAACTATATTATAACAATTTTTAAGAACCTCTAACTACCTAAAACAATTTTTCATTATAATACATAGCTTTGAATGCATAGCAGCCATTTTGAAACAAATGCAGGATTGAAATTTAAAGACTATATGAAATAGAGAATTTAAACCCTATTTTTGGCATATTGGGGTAATTTCTTTTTTAGGTAACCTCAAGCTTTAGAAATATACACTTTCCACCAATAAAATATAATGTAGATTTTAATACCGTGCTTTTTCAATCAAAAGGTAGAATTTTTAAAAATCTTATTTCAAATGTGTTGGAATTTAACACACACCAAGAAAGATAGTAATTTTGTTAACTAAAATGAATTAATCCAGCAATTTATTTAAAATAAATTTTAAAACTAAGCAACGAAAATAATAAAAGTATCAATTATCTAACTTTTTTTTTATTTAACTTTTTAAATCAATATATAATATTTAAAAAAATCAGTTGATTTAAATCAATGATTTTTTTTAAAAAATCATTTGAATTAAAAATCAACAAACCCTGCTACTAATAAATAAAATTTAATTCTACAGGTCTCATTGATTTTGAATAAACATCGTGTTTCACATTAAACTGATTCTTAATTTTCGGTTTGGAATTCATATAAAATGCTCTACGAGTTGCGATTTAAATTAATATGATTAATGAATCACATATTGAATATGACTTTAAAGTGATTTGGTAAATTGCTCATCAGGATTCATATCAAGGTAAGGAATTTAATAAATCACACATCATGATTCACATTAAAGTGATTTATCAATCACACATCATGATTTCAATTGAAGTTATTTCAGAATCATGTCTCACAATTCTTATTCTAGTAGTTTACAAATCACGAATTGCAGTTCACAAAAGTATGGTGTATTCTTAAATTTGATTTAAGAATTACCACTCACAATTCTCATCAAAATGATTTAAGAATCACACATGGCTGTTTTATATTGAGCACCTTTTGAATTGCAATTTGCATCATAATGATCACTATTCACCTGAAAACTTGGCTAATCGCGCAACAGAATTCACATTAAAGTGATTTATGTATCACACATTGTGATTATGTCTTGTTAGTTCGTGCGTTTTGTATCATTTGCTATTCATATTGTTCTAATTTAAGATACACGTTCACAAAATTTTAAAAATCATGTTTCACATTTTATGGATATATTTTAATGAAAATAAAGCTTGATAAGTCTTAGTTATCTGTAAAATATTGTTCTGCAATAGATTTTATCATGTTCTAAATACATTACTGATATTCTGAAGTAATAAAATAGATATGTTTTTAAAATTGAAACAGATATGTTAAATGGATATATTTTGATATTTTGTCTAATTATATACATTTCGTGTGAACTAAAATTTAATGTAACATATTAAAAAAAATGTATTTATAATTTAATAACCGTACAATCACATATACTTTATCAATTATTTACTATTATTTTACTATGCTTGTTTAATGTAATATGCGTTATTCAATAATTCAGTTTCATTAATTCTATTTCACTTCATTTATTTTTTCACGAATAGCTTCACTGATGCAAGTTTTTAGATGTTAGCTAGTATTGCTCGTATGTCAAATGCATATTTTTATTTATTTACTTAATTTGGTCAGTTGGAATTTTTTAAAGTGGTTTGAAACAGCAATGTAACTATCAACCATTTGTGTTATTAGCTGATAAATTTAATAAATATTTTATTTTTTGTAGTCAAATAAGCATTGTGCTTTAAAAATATACACTTTCTGCTTCTGCGTAGTTATAAAATTTGGTTCACATGTACTTTAGCATATAACTGTAATACCGAATAGGTCCTTGAAAAATTTGATTTTAGGTCCTTGAAAGTCATTGAAAAGTCCATGAATTCAGAGACGATGGCTCACCGGCTTTGGTAGTCCGACGATCGGTTTATGTTTTTAATTTAGTTTCGTTTTTTAAATATTATTTTCATTTATTACTTTTTAAGGGTGGCAACACTTATTATTTTTAATATTAGTTTTTAAGGATGGCAATACTAATAAACTTGGTTATTTGGGGGAGAAATTGTATATTATGATGTAATGACGTCATCTTTTATTACATAATAAATAAATGATATTATGATTTTCTCTAGTGGCTCCATCTATGTGGGAATGTTAGAAATAAAATAACTTTAAATCTAATTTAATATTTAAGTCTGTTTTATAATTTATTAAATATATTCGAGGCTGAGGATTGAACTCATGCCACTCAAAAAGCCTTCTTGGGTCAGTAGTTGGATATCATAACCACTGGCCTACGAATGCTTGGTTAGATATGTGTAAATAAGTTAAACTTTTGTATTTTGAACACGTGTACAAATGAAGAGGATTTGATATCAATATCATCCTACAATTTCATCGATATATTTTCACTTAACCTTTGACAGTTATTAAATAATTATTTCTGCCCCTCTTAATGCTATTATAACTTTCTCTTTATGGCAACGGTACTGACCATACACGAGTTAAAGTTTGATGCTTTTAGGGAGAAATCGTATGTTATGAAGTAATAACGTCATCTTTTTATTACATAATTAATAAATGATATCATGCACATGCTTTTACTCTAATGGCTCCATCTATACTTAAAGAGAATATATTTATAACTCTTCATTTTAGTTATTAACATAAATATAGATGATATAAATGACTGTAATTATTATTATCCTAATCATAATTAATTAATA